ATGTCGGAGGTATACTTAAATTGCTCAGATCAAGAAAATTCTTCACCTATGCATTACTGACATTTTCTGTTGGCCTTCAACCCATACGATGTATCTCTAACTCAAATATCCCCTGGCATATACCCATACAGGCTTACATTAGTTATATTTGTCATGTAAATGTCTGCACAAAGAGAGCAGACTGTGGAAAGTTTTATCACATATTTCTATAGAGAAAGCTACATCTAAGGACCTTCCTTACAGATGCGTGTGGACTACACTCTGACACCATGACCTGTCACTCACTGCTACAAACGTGACCTGACCTGACATCAGTAGAGCTAAATGTCACCGAGTTTTGGACTTCACTAATGTGGAGAAAGGAAAGAGGAGGGGAGGGAAAAGCAGGGCTAGGAACTAAGTCAAGCCACCAGGCCACAGCATGTTAACCTGTCAGCCTGTTTTTCTGCCTGATTGGCCGGGCCTCATTAAAACTAATGGAAACTGTCACCATCACTCCCCACTGGCCAAGGCAGAGCATGACAAAGAGAGGGAATAAAAGTGTGTCTTACAGAGAGAAAAGCAGAGGGAGTTGAAAGTCAAGTCATAAATTGATATAAGAACAAGACTAAGTAGAACAGAAAGATGGTGATGCCAATGCACAAAGAAACGATAAAGACCTTTTCTCAAGTTAAAAATGTGATGGGGAGTGAAGCGCAGATAATTAGGAGTGATGTTTATGATAATAGCCCTGCCAATGTTTCTCTTCATCATCAGCATCTGTAACTCTAAGGAGTGACTTCATGTCAGTTCTTGGCTATAATAGTGCTACAAGTAGTGGTGTTTGACATTAAACTACTCTTCTAGGTAACTTGGTGGTAGTGCAGCTGTTTTTTATTTTTCATTTTTTAATCAGAAAGCTTTTCAGTACCTTAGCTACTTTGAACATCAAGTACTACATCATCGTCTAACAAGCTACATGTTTTACTACACATTTTTTGTTGACAATGGCATCACTATTCAACTTGTCTCATGTGAAGGAAAACACTATTTTATACTGTTGCAGCTGGAATGTGGATTTTATTTTGTATAAAAATGGATCAAGGTTATTATGGCGTCTAAGATACATGTGATTTTTCTTATATAATTAATTCAGTCCAGTAATGAGGCTGTCTGTGATTAGTATATGCAGCCACTGAACAGTAATTATAATTTCAAATGAAAAAGGCTTCCATTTCTCTCCTTGGAGAGTAACATATATTTTGCTGCCACAAAGAAACTTTCATTGTTTGTGTGATCCTCTCTGCTCTCATTAAGACTTACTTTTTGTTTCAACCTTGTCTCTTTGTTTTATGTCCCAGTCATCTTCATGAATAAGCTGAAATTAGCAGAACTGGGTATTTTTAGCTGTACTTGTGGCACAGATGCTGATTGCTTTAGTAGTTTTTTTTTCCTCCACAGTTTTTCACAGCAGTGCTTGGCTCCATTTCAATGACGGATAAATGAGTCCTTTAGACAGCTATAACTACTCATTTGACCCACCTCTTTGGCTATAAAGGTTGTTTGCTGTCACAGGTGTGTTGCAATGTGAAAGTGGCTGTTGTGCCAAAAGGGATGGAAAAGCACAAATTTCCCAACTTCAGTGGAATTGGGTTTTGTACATTTATAATAGTCTAAGTAGTCGTACATGATCATTAAGACTTAGTCGTATCCAGTAAAGCAGAAAAGTAAGTAAATATAGTGCATTTTATCATCTACATAATCATACTTCAATATGACCTCGGAGTCATTCATGTATTATCATTATCTGCTGTTAAAAAGGTTCTAGGTCAAGTGAACCCGCACCCTAGAAGGTTTGAACCATTTCAGACAATTACTCTTTCTCCACAGGATAACAGGTATGCTCCCCTCTTTAAAAGGGCAACCTCATTAGGGATTACTGTTTAGTCTTATTACATGTTAATGTGGCATTTCCTATGCAATTTTGTCATGCCTACTTAGAGTACCTTGAATCTGCTCCGATGTAATTTACATACTAATTAATGCAAATCCAAGGACCTGTGCATTAGAGATGTCCCTCAGTCAGCAGGAAGATCAAAGTGTTGTTAACATTTGGTTTGAAAACATGAGGACTGTGCCGGTGACAACAATGTCTCAGGAGAGTAGCGGCATGTCTTATTATAAGTGCAAATAATAAAGGCTTATTCAACAGCAGAATTAAACCTCAAGAGCCTGAATCAGTGGCTTATATTAGAAAAAAAAAGGTGCAATCCCAGGCTGCAACATGAAGACACATCCTCACAGGCTCTAAAACCAGTCAGACTCGAGGCTCCTATGCCTCGAAGCACAACCATGATCTGCACCAGGAGATTGTGATGAAAGACATGACAACAACCACCAACATCTGGACTTTGCAACAACTTTTACCAGCAAATTACAAATCTTGGTGACTGATGGAGATAAGTACTTTTCCAGGGGAATGCAGTGTCCAAGATATGAGCGGCTTCAAAGAGACAAGACTCAATCCATCCATCCATCCATCCATCCATCCATCTTCAGTCACTTACCCAGGATCGGAGCCCAGACTCCCCTCTTCCCTGCCATTTTGTACAGTTCTTCCCAGGGACCCCAAGGCGTTCTAAGGCCAGCTGAGAGACATAGTTTCTGACCATAGGTGAGGGTAGGAACGTATATTCACACCGATCCCCCTGTCGATCTCCTGCTCCATTCTTCCTTCACTTGTGAACAAGACTCCAAGATACTGGAACTCCTCCACTTGGGGCAGGATCTCACCTCTGAACCGGAGAGGACACTCCACCTTTTTTTGGCTGAGAACCATGGACTCAGATTTGGAGGTGCTGATTCTCATCCCAGCCACTTCACACTCCTCTCAGAGATATAACAGCTCCTTTGCAAACCAAATGAATAAAAAGTTTATTATTGCAATTGCAAACGTTGTCCACCCCTCACCAATTACCACATCCTTCACATCTTTCATTTACCACTACAAGTGTCTAGGCTCCAGCAGGGGGTCATCCTTTCTTGCTGTCACTTCCTTAAAGACATGAAGACAGACTAGACACACATTTTCTAAATCTTGTAAATAATATATTCTACATTTTAGCATCCCGTGAGTCAGGGATCATTGTAACTTTTCGCTGCAATAAAGCAGGGTATGCTCTTACACACAGGTTTCATTATACAAACGGTAATTGCCACGAAGAGGAAACTTATAGGTTTCCTGGCATTTGTCCAGACCTATACTGGCAATCAATAACACTTGTAACAAGTGAAAGGTGCTAAATGTTGCTGAGTTGAAAAATAGTGCTATCTTACAGCCACAGCTGGCCACTATGGTGTCCTGACTAATTTCTATGCTATTCAGCAGGTTGTTTCAGCCTCCAGAGCCACTTAATCATGCTCTTATTTGCAGCATAACTAAAAAGACATTTCTCCGCTGCGGCTGCTGCTCCCTCCCAGGGTAGATGGAAAAATGGCACCCAGAATTATTCCCACATCTAACACCTTTAATTGAGCTGCCATGTGCTCCAGAGAGTGTTTCTTTTACTCATCTACTGCAGGCACTCAATTTCGTTCATCTATTTGAATCCCAAGGCTGCCTGCCGGTTTGTGAGGCTCTCAGTGAAAAGGTTGAATGTCTGCTGTGATCTCCACTGCCCACTGTAAAAGGAATTATTGAATCAGTTATCTATTTACACTTTGCCCTCAATTACTAACTTTATCAAACACTAACTTGTGGAAGTCAGCGCACACTCGAGCTCTAAGCTAGCACAAGCCCGATCCTACTATATCAGTACAGGAGACATGTGTAATTTTGAAATCACTATTAAAAAGGTGCCATTTTAAAGGTTATAAGACAAAGAGGAGAATGGAAATACAACAGAAGTTTTTTTGTAGATATTCTTCACTGTACATTCATTCCAGCTCACTGGCAGAGAAGTAAAGGGGGCTTGACGGGGTGTTAGGCCTGTAAATAAGTCTTTGAATAGGAGAGTGGGCACAAACAAAGGAAGCATGAACAGGCAGACAAGCTGACACCTCCCAGATAATGGAGCTGCCAGAGCCTCCCCAGTATTACATCTCACCTTCCTGAAACACAGCACGGTCACTGGTTTACACTGACACCCTCTTACACAAGGACCAAATCTCATCTACTGTACGCAGGTGGCTCACAAACACTCAGGGTTTATTCTGAGCTCTTTTAGATAAATGTGTGAGTAAGACAGGTTAAACAAGAGAGTTTGCATAAGGTTGGAAAGGTGTGAATACATATCTCTTCACTGCTCATAGGCCAGAGCTTCCATCAGAGAAAACAACCTCTCCTTTTCTTGATGGTTATCTCCCCCGTTAGCTCCTTGAACCAGACTGTAATTTGAGAAATCACAGGGCTGAGATTAGAAGAGCCTTGATAGCACGGCCTCCCATCCTGTGACACAAAACAGATTATCCTATTTTACAGCCCACTAAATACAGAGGTATAGAGGTTCATGTTCAGAGCCAAACCAGAAGTTCACGTCCCCAGGAGAAGAGTATGATTGTGGAGTAAAAGGCTGTGGTTGTCATTACAGAATATCCTGACCTAATGCACCACTTGAATTGGTGTGAAACAATTACAAAAAGCATCACAGAACTGTTACTTTCACACATTTTAACCAAGAAAACATCGATTAATGAATCCACCAATCAAGAAATTAGTTATCTCTCCCAAAGCTACTGTTTAATCAGGACTAAAATAGAGCATCTTAGAGCATCTTAACTGCATTACATTGAGACTTAAATACAGCACATCTTTCAACTAAGTGCAAACAGCATCCTAACACTCTAACAGCTGCAATGCTGCTCGCTAACGTGCGTTTTGCGTTGACCAGTGACATGTGGTCGAGCAGGACGTGTGAGCCTTATATGGCAACATTCAGCTCTCCAGGCAGTGTCCAACTCGGTGTTACGGTGTGTTAATCCCTCTAAAACTGGATACTGTTTAGTTTAACATTGATAGTGCCACAGATAGTGGGCACCACTTTCAAGTCCTGAAAATCAACAGGGCATAAAGCAACAATGCCTTGAGTGTCCTCGTAATTGTTAGCGAGAGGCTTTTCTGAACTCCACCTCTCTGCCACTTGCCAGATTGACTAGAAGTTAGGCTGAATTAGCATTTCTGATATGGCAACCGTCATTGACAGGCTTCAAAACTTTGCTTGGGTGATGTTGAGACTACGTAGTGTCTTTGGTGATGACCCAAAGGGTGGTGCTCTGATATTACTGTGAAGTTCAAACCCTCTAAACCCTCTGATGTGTTTCCTGCAGTTAAAGCCTCAACTGCCTGTTTTGCTGCAGGTTTATCTGACCTCCTAAAAGTCACAGGCGCCAAGAGTTTTCAAGAACCCAATAAAAACAGCTGGAGGATACAACCTGCTGCCTTGCTTACCTTCTCAATTTCTTTAAAAGGACAACTGATGTTTTGATGTGTCTACTATTTATCTTGCTTATGGGAAACACTTTGCAGAAACAGCAATCTCAGGCAATGTGTTATAAATGAATGTTTTCAAAGGTAGTAGTTCTTCGGTAAAGACCCCATAAAACTTGGCAAAGTGCAAAATGAATAAAAGAGTAAAATCTGATTTGAAAATTGTAGAAATCCTGCAAAGAGCTGCAGAAAAAAGGCAACAACGTTAGCGCAGCAAAATACTATTGTTCCTTAACCCTAACCCTAACCCTAGCCCCAACCCTAACCCTAACCCTAGCTCTAACCCTGACCCTGACCCTAGCTCCAACCCTAACCCTAACCCTAACCCTAACCCTAGCTCCAACCTTAACCCTAACCCTAACCCTAGCTCCAACCCTAACCCTAACCCAAACCCTAAGTAAACTTTTCAAAAAACTTCCCCCAGAATTAGTTTCTATAGACTCCCCGTGCCCTGAAACGTGCTCCTAACACAATTCTGGAAGGTGGAAAATTGGGTTGGCAATTTTTTTTTCCCATGCATTCCTATGGAAAAAAATCAAATTTTTTTAGGAACGTCCTAGAGACTCGGGAGTTGGTTCATTGCACTCAGAAAAATCCTAGCTCCAAGCCCATCCCTAACCCTAGCTCCAACACTAACCCTAACTCCAACCCTAACCCTAACCCTAACCCTAGCTCCAACCCTAACCCTAACCCTAACCCATGCATTCCTATGAGAAAAAAATCAAATTTTTTTAGGAACGTCCTAGAGACTCGGGAGTTGGTTCATTGCACTCAGAAAAATCCTAGCTCCAAGCCCAACCCTAACCCTAGCTCCAACACTAACTCTAACTCCAACCCTAACCCTAACCCTAACCCTAGCTCCAACCCTAACCCTAACCCTAACCCATGCATTCCTATGGGAAAAAAATCAATTTTTTTTAGGAACGTCCTAGGGACTCGGGAGTTGGTTCATTGCACTCAGAAAAATCCTAGCTCCAAGCCCAACCCTAACCCTAGCTCCAACACTAACCCTAACTCCAACCCTAACCCTAACCCTAACCCTAGCTCCAACCCTAACCCTAACCCTAACCCATGCATTCCTATGGGAAAAAATCAAATTTTTTAGGAACGTCCTAGAGACTCGGGAGTTGGTTCATTGCACTCAGAAAAATCCTAGCTCCAAGCCCAACCCTAACCCTAGCTCCAACACTAACCCTAGCTCCAACCCTAACCCTAGCTCCAACCCTAACCTTAACCCTAACCCATGCATTCCTATGGGAAAAAATCAAATTTTTTTAGGAACGTCCTAGAGACTCGGGAGTTGGTTCATTGCACTCAGAAAAATCCTAGCTCCAAGCCCAACCCTAACCCTAGCTCCAACACTAACCCTAGCTCCAACCCTAACCCTAACCCTAACTCCAACCCTAACCCTAACCCTAACCCTAGCTCCAACCCTAACCCAAACCCTAACCCATGCATTCCTATGGGAAAAAATCAAATTTTTTTAGGAACGTCCTAGAGACTCGGGAGTTGGTTCATTGCACTCAGAAAAATCCTAGCTCCAAGCCCAACCCTAACCCTAGCTCCAACACTAACCCTAACTCCAACCCTAACCCTAACCCTAACCCTAGCTCCAACCCTAACCCTAACCCTAACCCATGCATTCCTATGGGAAAAAATCAAATTTTTTTAGGAACGTCCTAGAGACTTGGGAGTTGGTTCATTGCACTCAGAAAAATCCTAGCTCCAAGCCCAACCCTAACCCTAGCTCCAACACTAACCCTAACTCCAACCCTAACCCTAACCCTAACCCTAGATCCAACCCTAACCCTAACCCTAACCCATGCATTCCTATGGGAAAAAATCAAATTTTTTTAGGAATGTCCTAGAGACTCGGGAGTTGGTTCATTGCACTCAGAAAAATCCTAGCTCCAAGCCCAACCCTAACCCTAGCTCCAACACTAACCCTAACTCCAACCCTAACCCTAACCCTAACCCTAACCCTCGCTCCAACCCTAACCCTAACCCTAACCCATGCATTCCTATGGGAAAAAATCAAATTTTTTTAGGAACGTCCTAGAGACTGGGGAGTTGGTCATTGCACTCAGAAAAATCCTAGCTCCAAGCCCAACCCTAACCCTAGCTCCAACACTAACCCTAACTCCAACCCTAACCCTAACCCTAACCCTAACCCTCGCTCCAACCCTAACCCTAACCCTAACCCATGCATTCCTATGGGAAAAAATCAAATTTTTTTAGGAACGTCCTAGAGACTCGGGAGTTGGTCATTGCACTCAGAAAAATCCTAGCTCCAAGCCCAACCCTAACCCTAGCCCCAACACTAACCCTAACTCCAACCCTAACCCTAACCCTAACCCTAGCTCCAACCCTTACCCTAACCCTAACCCATGCATTCCTATGGGAAAAAATCAAATTTTTTTAGGAACGTCCTAGAGACTCGGGAGTTGGTTCATTGCACTCAGAAAAATCCTAGCTCCAAGCCCAACCCTAACCCTAGCTCCAACACTAACCCTAACTCCAACCCTAACCCTAACCCTAACCCTAGCTCCAACCCTATCCCTAACCCTAACCCATGCATTCCTATGGGAAAAAATCAAATTTTTTTAGGAACGTCCTAGAGACTCGGGAGTTGGTTCATTGCACTCAGAAAAATCCTAGCTCCAAGCCCAACCCTAACCCTAGCTCCAACACTAACCCTAACTCCAACCCTAACCCTAACCCTAACCCTAGCTCCAACCCTTACCCTAACCCTAACCCATGCATTCCTATGGGAAAAAATCAAATTTTTTTAGGAACGTCCTAGAGACTCGGGAGTTGGTTCATTGCACTCAGAAAAATCCTAGCTCCAAGCCCAACCCTAACCCTAGCCCCAACACTAACCCTAACTCCAACCCTAACCCTAACCCTAACCCTAGCTCCAACCCTAACCCTAACCCTAACCCATGCATTCCTATGGGAAAAAATCAAATTTTTTTAGGAACGTCCTAGAGACTCGGGAGTTGGTTCATTGCACTCAGAAAAATCCTAGCTCCAAGCCCAACCCTAACCCTAGCTCCAACACTAACCCTAACTCCAACCCTAACCCTAACCCTAACCCTAGCTCCAACCCTAACCCTCACCCTAACCCATGCATTCCTATGGGAAAAAATCAAATTTTTTTAGGAACGTCCTAGAGACTCGGGAGTTGGTTCATTGCACTCAGAAAAATCCTAGCTCCAAGCCCAACCCTAACCCTAGCTCCAACACTAACCCTAACTCCAACCCTAACCCTAACCCTAACCCTAGCTCCAACCCTAACCCTAACCCTAACCCATGCATTCCTATGGGAAAAAATCAAATTTTTTTAGGAACGTCCTAGAGACTTGGGAGTTGGTTCATTGCACTCAGAAAAATCCTAGCTCCAAGCCCAACCCTAACCCTAGCTCCAACACTAACCCTAACTCCAACCCTAACCCTAACCCTAACCCTAGCTCCAACCCTAACCCTAACCCTAACCCATGCATTCCTATGGGAAAAAATCAAATTTTTTTAGGAATGTCCTAGAGACTGGGGAGTTGGTCATTGCACTCAGAAAAATCCTAGCTCCAAGCCCAACCCTAACCCTAGCTCCAACACTAACCCTAACTCCAACCCTAACCCTAACCCTAACCCTAACCCTCGCTCCAACCCTAACCCTAACCCTAACCCATGCATTCCTATGGGAAAAAATCCAATTTTTTTAGGAACGTCCTAGAGACTCGGGAGTTGGTCATTGCACTCAGAAAAATCCTAGCTCCAAGCCCAACCCTAACCCTAGCCCCAACACTAACCCTAACTCCAACCCTAACTCTAACCCTAACCCTAACCCTAGCTCCAACCCTAACCCTAACCCTAACCCATGCATTCCTATGGGAAAAAATCAAATTATTTTAGGAACGTCCTAGAGACTCGGGAGTTGGTTCATTGCACTCAGAAAAATCCTAGCTCCAAGCCCAACCCTAACCCTAGCTCCAACACTAACCCTAACTCCAACCCTAACGCTAACCCTAACCCTAGCTCCAACCCTAACCCTAACCCTAACCCATGCATTCCTATGGGAAAAAATCAAATTTTTTAGGAACGTCCTAGAGACTTGGGAGTTGGTTCATTGCACTCAGAAAAATCCTAGCTCCAAGCCCAACCCTAACCCTAGCTCCAACACTAACCCTAACTCCAACCCTAACCCTAACCCTAACCCTAGCTCAAACCCAAACCCTAACCCTAACCCATGCATTCCTATGGGAAAAAATCAAATTTTTTTAGGAATGTCCTAGAGACTGGGGAGTTGGTCATTGCACTCAGAAAAATTCTAGCTCCAAGCCCAACCCTAACCCTAGCTCCAACACTAACCCTAACTCCAACCCTAACCCTAACCCTAACCCTAACCCTCGCTCCAACCCTAACCCTAACCCATGCATTCCTATGGGAAAAAATCAAATTTTTTTAGGAACGTCCTAGAGACTCGGGAGTTGGTCATTGCACTCAGAAAAATCCTAGCTCCAAGCCCAACCCTAACCCTAGCCCCAACACTAACCCTAACTCCAACCCTAACCCTAACCCTAACCCTAGCTCCAACCCTAACCCTAACCCTAACCCATGCATTCCTATGGGAAAAAATCCAATTTTTTTAGGAACGTCCTAGAGACTCGGGAGTTGGTTCATTGCACTCAGAAAAATCCTAGCTCCAAGCCCAACCCTAACCCTAGCTCCAACACTAACCCTAACTCCAACCCTAACCCTAACCCTAACCCTAGCTCCAACCCTAACCCTAACCCTAACCCATGCATTCCTATGGGAAAAAATCAAATTTTTTTAGGAACGTCCTAGAGACTTGGGAGTTGGTTCATTGCACTCAGAAAAATCCTAGCTCCAAGCCCAACCCTAACCCTAGCTCCAACACTAACCCTAACTCCAACCCTAACCCTAACCCTAACCCTAGCTCCAACCCTTACCCTAACCCTAACCCATGCATTCCTATGGGAAAAAATCAAATTTTTTTAGGAACGTCCTAGAGACTCGGGAGTTGGTTCATTGCACTCAGAAAAATCCTAGCTCCAAGCCCAACCCTAACCCTAGCCCCAACACTAACCCTAACTCCAACCCTAACCCTAACCCTAACCCTAGCTCCAACCCTAACCCTAACCCTAACCCATGCATTCCTATGGGAAAAAATCAAATTTTTTTAGGAACGTCCTAGAGACTCGGGAGTTGGTTCATTGCACTCAGAAAAATCCTAGCTCCAAGCCCAACCCTAACCCTAGCTCCAACACTAACCCTAACTCCAACCCTAACCCTAACCCTAACCCTAGCTCCAACCCTAACCCTCACCCTAACCCATGCATTCCTATGGGAAAAAATCAAATTTTTTTAGGAACGTCCTAGAGACTCGGGAGTTGGTTCATTGCACTCAGAAAAATCCTAGCTCCAAGCCCAACCCTAACCCTAGCTCCAACACTAACCCTAACTCCAACCCTAACCCTAACCCTAGCTCCAACCCTTACCCTAACCCTAACCCATGCATTCCTATGGGAAAAAATCAAATTTTTTTAGGAACGTCCTAGAGACTCGGGAGTTGGTTCATTGCACTCAGAAAAATCCTAGCTCCAAGCCCAACCCTAACCCTAGCTCCAACACTAACCCTAACTCCAACCCTAACCCTAACCCTAACCCCTTACCCTAGCTCCAACCCTAACCCTAACCCTAACCCATGCATTCCTATGGGAAAAAATCAAATTTTTTTAGGAACGTCCTAGAGACTCGGGAGTTGGTTCATTGCACTCAGAAAAATCCTAGCTCCAAGCCCAACCCTAACCCTAGCTCCAACACTAACCCTAACTCCAACCCTAACCCTAACCCTAACCCTAACCCTAGCTTCAACCCTAACCCTAACCCTAACCCATGCATTCCTATGGGAAAAAATCAAATTTTTTTAGGAACGTCCTAGAGACTCGGGAGTTGGTTCATTGCACTCAGAAAAATCCTAGCTCCAAGCCCAACCCTAACCCTAGCTCCAACACTAACCCTAACTCCAACCCTAACCCTAACCCTAACCCTAACCCATGCATTCCTATGGGAAAAAATCAAATTTTTTTAGGAACGTCCTAGAGACTTGGGAGTTGGTTCATTGCACTCAGAAAAATCCTAGCTCCAAGCCCAACCCTAACCCTAGCTCCAACACTAACCCTAACTCCAACCCTAACCCTAACCCTAACCCTAGCTCCAACCCTAACCCTAACCCTAACCCATGCATTCCTATGGGAAAAAATCAAATTTTTTTAGGAACGTCCTAGAGACTCGGGAGTTGGTTCATTGCACTCAGAAAAATCCTAGCTCCAAGCCCAACCCTAACCCTAACTCCAACCCTAACCCTAACCCTAACCCTAGCTCCAACCCTAACCCTAACCCTAACCCATGCATTCCTATGGGAAAAAATCAAATTTTTTTAGGAACGTCCTTGAGACTCGGGAGTTGGTTCATTGCACTCAGAAAAATCCTAGCTCCAAGCCCAACCCTAACCCTAGCTCCAACACTAACCCTAGCTCCAACCCTAACCCTAACCCTAACCCATGCATTCCTATGGGAAAAAATCAAAATTTTTTAGGAACGTCCTAGAGTTGGTTCATTGCACACAGAAAAATCCTAGCTCCAAGCCCCACCCTAACCCTAGCTCCAACACTAACCCTAACTCCAACCCTAACCCTAACCCTAACCCATGCATTCCTATGGGAAAAAATCAAATTTTTTTAGGAACGTCCTAGAGACTCGGGAGTTGGTTCATTGCACTCAGAAAAATCCTAGCTCCAAGCCCAACCCTAACCCTAGCTCCAACACTAACCCTAACTCCAACCCTAACCCTAACCCTAACCCTAGCTCCAACCCTAACCCTAACCCTAACCCATGCATTCCTATGGGAAAAAATCAATTTTTTTTTAGGAACGTCCTAGAGACTCGGGAGTTGGTTCATTGCACTCAGAAAAATCCTAGCTCCAAGCCCAACCCTAACCCTAGCTCCAACACTAACCCTAACTCCAACCCTAACCCTAACCCTAACCCTAGCTCCAACCCTAACCCTAACCCTAACCCATGCATTCCTATGGGAAAAAATCAAATTTTTTTAGGAACGTCCTAGAGACTCGGGAGTTGGTTCATTGCACTCAGAAAAATCCTAGCTCCAAGCCCAACCCTAACCCTAGCTCCAACACTAACCCTAACTCCAACCCTAACCCTAACCCTAACCCTAGCTCCAACCCTAACCCTAACCCTAACCCATGCATTCCTATGGGAAAAAATCAAATTTTTTTAGGAACGTCCTAGAGACTCGGGAGTTGGTTCATTGCACTCAGAAAAATCCTAGCTCCAAGCCCAACCCTAACCCTAGCTCCAACACTAACCCTAACTTCAACCCTAACCCTAATCCTAACCCTAGCTCCAACCCTAACCCTAACCCTAACCCATGCATTCCTATGGAAAAATCAAATTTTTTTAGGAACGTCCTAGAGACTCGGGAGTTGGTTCATTGCACTCAGAAAAATCCTAGCTCCAAGCCCAACCCTAACCCTAGCTCCAACACTAACCCTAACTCCAACCCTAACCCTAACCCTAACCCTAACCCATGCATTCCTATGGGAAAAAATCAAATTTTTTTAGGAACGTCCTAGAGACTTGGGAGTTGGTTCATTGCACTCAGAAAAATCCTAGCTCCAAGCCCAACCCTAACCCTAGCTCCAACACTAACCCTAACTCCAACCCTAACCCTAACCCTAACCCTAGCTCCAACCCTAACCCTAACCCTAACCCATGCATTCCTATGGGAAAAAATCAAATTTTTTTAGGAACGTCCTAGAGACTCGGGAGTTGGTTCATTGCACTCAGAAAAATCCTAGCTCCAAGCCCAACCCTAACCCTAACTCCAACCCTAACCCTAACCCTAACCCTAACCCTAGCTCCAACCCTAACCCTAACCCTAACCCATGCATTCCTATGGGAAAAAATCAATTTTTTTTAGGAACGTCCTAGAGACTCGGGAGTTGGTTCATTGCACTCAGAAAAATCCTAGCTCCAAGCCCAACCCTAACCCTAGCTCCAACACTAACCCTAGCTCCAACCCTAACCCTAACCCTAACTCCAACCCTAACCCTAACCCTAACCCTAGCTCCAACCCTAACCCAAACCCTAACCCATGCATTCCTATGGGAAAAAATCAAATTTTTTTAGGAACGTCCTAGAGACTCGGGAGTTGGTTCATTGCACTCAGAAAAATCCTAGCTCCAAGCCCAACCCTAACCCTAGCTCCAACACTAACCCTAACTCCAACCCTAGCTCCAACCCCAACCCTAACCCTAACCCATGCATTCCTATGGGAAAAAATCAAATTTTTTTAGGAACGTCCTAGAGACTCGGGAGTTGGTCATTGCACTCAGAAAAATCCTAGCTCCAAGCCCAACCCTAACCCTAGCCCCAACACTAACCCTAACTCCAACCCTAACCCTAACCCTAACCCTAGCTCCAACCCTAACCCTAACCCTAACCCATGCATTCCTATGGGAAAAAATCAAATTTTTTTAGGAACGTCCTAGAGACTCGGGAGTTGGTTCATTGCACTCAGAAAAATCCTAGCTCCAAGCCCAACCCTAACCCTAGCTCCAACACTAACCCTAACTCCAACCCTAACCCTAACCCTAACCCTAGCTCCAACCCTAACCCTAACCCTAACCCATGCATTCCTATGGGAAAAAATCAAATTTTTTTAGGAACGTCCTAGAGACTTGGGAGTTGGTTCATTGCACTCAGAAAAATCCTAGCTCCAGGCCCAACCCTAACCCTAGCTCCAACACTAACCCTAACTCCAACCCTAACCCTAACCCTAACCCTAGCTCCAACCCTTACCCTAACCCTAACCCATGCATTCCTATGGGAAAAAATCAAAATTTTTTAGGAACGTCCTAGAGACTCGGGAGTTGGTTCATTGCACTCAGAAAAATCCTAGCTCCAAGCCCAACCCTAACCCTAGCCCCAACACTAACCCTAACTCCAACCCTAACCCTAACCCTAACCCTAACTCCAACCCTAACCCTAACCCTAACCCATGCATTCCTATGGGAAAAAATCAAATTTTTTTAGGAACGTCCTAGAGACTCGGGAGTTGGTTCATTGCACTCAGAAAAATCCTAGCTCCAAGCCCAACCCTAACCCTAGCTCCAACACTAACCCTAACTCCAACCCTAACCCTAACCCTAACCCTAGCTCCAACCCTAACCCTCACCCTAACCCATGCATTCCTATGGGAAAAAATCAAATTTTTTTAGGAACGTCCTAGAGACTCGGGAGTTGGTTCATTGCACTCAGAAAAATCCTAGCTCCAAGCCCAACCCTAACCCTAGCTCCAACACTAACCCTAACTCCAACCCTAACCCTAACCCTAACCCTAGCTCCAACCCTAACCCTAACCCTAACCCATGCATTCCTATGGGAAAAAATCAAATTTTTTTAGGAACGTCCTAGAGACTTGGGAGTTGGTTCATTGCACTCAGAAAAATCCTAGCTCCAAGCCCAACCCTATCCCTAGCTCCAACACTAACCCTAACTCCAACCCTAACCCTAACCCTAACCCTAGCTCCAACCCTAACCCTAACCCTAACCCATGCATTCCTATGGGAAAAAATCAAATTTTTTTAGGAATGTCCTAGAGACTCGGGAGTTGGTCATTGCACTCAGAAAAATCCTAGCTCCAAGCCCAACCCTAACCCTAGCTCCAACACTAACCCTAACTCCAACCCTAACCCTAACCCTAACCCTAACCCTCGCTCCAACCCTAACCCTAACCCTAACCCATGCATTCCTATGGGAAAAAATCAAATTTTTTTAGGAACGTCCTAGAGACTCGGGAGTTGGTTCATTGCACTCAGAAAAATCCTAGCTCCAAGCCCAACCCTAACCCTAGCTCCAACACTAACCCTAGCTCCAACCCTAACCCTAACCCTAACTCCAACCCTAACCCTAACCCTAACCCTAGCTCCAACCCTAACCCAAACCCTAACCCATGCATTCCTATGGGAAAAAATCAAATTTTTTTAGGAACGTCCTAGAGACTCGGGAGTTGGTTCATTGCACTCAGAAAAATCCTAGCTCCAAGCCCAACCCTAACCCTAGCTCCAACACTAACCCTAACTCCAACCCTAGCTCCAACCCCAACCCTAACCCTAACCCATGCATTCCTATGGGAAAAAATCAAATTTTTTTAGGAACGTCCTAGAGACTCGGGAGTTGGTCATTGCACTCAGAAAAATCCTAGCTCCAAGCCCAACCCTAACCCTAGCCCCAACACTAACCCTAACTCCAACCCTAACCCTAACCCTAACCCTAGCTCCAACCCTAACCCTAACCCTAACCCATGCATTCCTATGGGAAAAAATCAAATTTTTTTAGGAACGTCCTAGAGACTCGGGAGTTGGTTCATTGCACTCAGAAAAATCCTAGCTCCAAGCCCAACCCTAACCCTAGCTCCAACACTAACCCTAACTCCAACCCTAACCCTAACCCTAACCCTAGCTCCAACCCTAACCCTAACCCTAACCCATGCATTCCTATGGGAAAAAATCAAATTTTTTTAGGAACGTCCTAGAGACTTGGGAGTTGGTTCATTGCACTCAGAAAAATCCTAGCTCCAGGCCCAACCCTAACCCTAGCTCCAACACTAACCCTAACTCCAACCCTAACCCTAACCCTAACCCTAGCTCCAACCCTTACCCTAACCCTAACCCATGCATTCCTATGGGAAAAAATCAAATTTTTTTAGGAACGTCCTAGAGACTCGGGAGTTGGTTCATTGCACTCAGAAAAATCCTAGCTCCAAGCCCAACCCTAACCCTAGCCCCAACACTAACCCTAACTCCAACCCTAACCCTAACCCTAACCCTAACTCCAACCCTAACCCTAACCCTAACCCATGCATTCCTATGGGAAAAAATCAAATTTTTTTAGGAACGTCCTAGAGACTCGGGAGTTGGTTCATTGCACTCAGAAAAATCCTAGCTCCAAGCCCAACCCTAACCCTAGCTCCAACACTAACCCTAACTCCAACCCTAACCCTAACCCTAACCCTAGCTCCAACCCTAACCCTCACCCTAACCCATGCATTCCTATGGGAAAAAATCAAATTTTTTTAGGAACGTCCTAGAGACTCGGGAGTTGGTTCATTGCACTCAGAAAAATCCTAGCTCCAAGCCCAACCCTAACCCTAGCCCCAACACTAACCCTAACTCCAACCCTAACCCTAACCCTAACCCTACCTCCAACCCTAACCCTAACCCTAACCCATGCATTCCTATGGGAAAAAATCAAATTTTTTTAGGAACGTCCTAGAGACTTGGGAGTTGGTTCATTGCACTCAGAAAAATCCTAGCTCCAAGCCCAACCCTATCCCTAGCTCCAACACTAACCCTAACTCCAACCCTAACCCTAACCCTAACCCTAGCTCCAACCCTAACCCTAACCCTAACCCATGCATTCCTATGGGAAAAAATCAAATTTTTTTAGGAATGTCCTAGAGACTCGGGAGTTGGTCATTGCACTCAGAAAAATCCTAGCTCCAAGCCCAACCCTAACCCTAGCTCCAACACTAACCCTAACTCCAACCCTAACCCTAACCCTAACCCTAACCCTCGCTCCAACCCTAACCCTAACCCTAACCCATGCATTCCTATGGGAAAAAATCAAATTTTTTTAGGAACGTCCTAGAGACTTGGGAGTTGGTTCATTGCACTCAGAAAAATCCTAGCTCCAAGCCCAACCCTAACCCTAGCTCCAACACTAACCCTAACTCCAAACCTAACCCTAACCCTAACCCTAGCTCCAACCCTAACCCTAACCCTAACCCATGCATTCCTATGGGAAAAAATCAAATTTTTTTAGGAACGTCCTAGAGACTCGAGAGTTGGTTCATTGCACTCAGAAAAATCCTAGCTCCAAGCCCAACCCTAACCCTAGCTCCAACACTAACCCTAACTCCAACCCAAACCCTAACCCTAACCCTAGCTCCAACCCTAACCCTAACCCTAACCCATGCATTCCTATGGGAAAAAATCAAATTTTTTTAGGAACGTCCTAGAGACTTGGGAGTTGGTTCATTGCACTCAGAAAAATCCTAGCTCCAAGCCCAACCCTAACCCTAGCTCCAACACTAACCCTAACTCCAACCCTAACCCTAACCCTAACCCTAGCTCCAACCCTTCCCCTAACCCTAACCCATGCATTCCTATGGGAAAAAATCAAATTTTTTTAGGAACGTCCTAGAGACTCGGGAGTTGGTTCATTGCACTCAGAAAAATCCTAGCTCCAAGCCCAACCCTAACCCTAGCTCCAACACTAACCCTAACTCCAACCCTAACCCTAACCCTAACCCTAACCCTAGCTCCAACCCTAACCCTAACCCTAACCCATGCATTCCTATGGGAAAAAATCTAATTTTTTTAGGAACGTCCTAGAGACTCGGGAGTTGGTTCATTGCACTCAGAAAAATCCTAGCTCCAAGCCGAACCCTAACCCTAGCTCCAACACTAACCCTAACTCCAACCCTAACCCTAACCCTAACCCTAACCCTAGCTCCAACCCTAACCCTAACCCTAACCCATGCATTCCTATGGGAAAAAATCAAATTTTTTTAGGAACGTCCTAGAGACTCGGGAGTTGGTTCATTGCACTCAGAAAAATCCTAGCTCCAAGCCCAACCCTAACCCTAGCTCCAACACTAACCCTAACTCCAACCCTAACCCTAACCCTAACCCTAGCTCCAACCCTAACCCTAACCCTAACCCATGCATTCCTATGGGAAAAAATCAAATTTTTTTAGGAATGTCCTAGAGACTGGGGAGTTGGTCATTGCACTCAGAAAAATCCTAGCTCCAAGCCCAACCCTAACCCTAGCTCCAACACTAACCCTAACTCCAACCCTAACCCTAACCCTAACCCTAACCCTAACCCTAACCCTCGCTCCAACCCTAACCCTAACCCTAACCCATGCATTCCTATGGGAAAAAATCAAATTTTTTTAGGAACGTCCTAGAGACTCGGGAGTTGGTCATTGCACTCAGAAAAATCCTAGCTCCAAGCCCAACCCTAACCCTAGCCCCAACACTAACCCTAACTCCATCCCTAACCCTAACCCTAACCCTAGCTCCAACCCTAACCCTAACCCTAACCCATGCATTCCTATGGGAAAAAATCAAATTTTTTTAGGAACGTCCTAGAGACTCGGGAGTTGGTTCATTGCACTCAGAAAAATCCTAGCTCCAAGCCCAACCCTAACCCTAGCTCCAACACTAACCCTAACTCCAACCCTAACCCTAACCCTAACCCTAGCTCCAACCCTATCCCTAACCCTAACCCATGCATTCCTATGGGAAAAAATCAATTTTTTTTAGGAACGTCCTAGAGACTTGGGAGTTGGTTCATTGCACTCAGAAAAATCCTAGCTCCAAGCCCAACCCTAACCCTAGCTCCAACACTAACCCTAACTCCAACCCTAACCCTAACCCTAACCCTAGCTCCAACCCTAACCCTCACCCTAACCCATGCATTCCTATGGGAAAAAATCAAATTTTTTTAGGAACGTCCTAGAGACTCGGGAGTTGGTTCATTGCACTCAGAAAAATCCTAGCTCCAAGCCCAACCCTAACCCTAGCTCCAACACTAACCCTAACTCCAACCCTAACCCTAACCCTAACCCTAGCTCCAACCCGAACCCTAACCCTAACCCATGCATTCCTATGGGAAAAAATCAAATTTTTTTAGGAACGTCCTAGAGACTCGGGAGTTGGTTCATTGCACTCAGAAAAATCCTAGCTCCAAGCCCAACCCTAACCCTAGCTCCAACACTAACCCAAACTCCAACCCTAACCCTAACCCTAACCCTAGCTCCAACCCTAACCCTCACCCTAACCCATGCATTCCTATGGGAAAAAATCAAATTTTTTTAGGAACGTCCTAGAGACTCGGGAGTTGGTTCATTGCACTCAGAAAAATCCTAGCTCCAAGCCCAACCCTAACCCTAGCTCCAACACTAACCCTAACTCCAACCCTAACCCTAACCCTAACCCTAGCTCCAACCCTAACCCTAACCCTAACCCATGCATTCCTATGGGAAAAAATCAAATTTTTTTAGGAACGTCCTAGAGACTTGGGAGTTGGTTCATTGCACTCAGAAAAATCCTAGCTCCAAGCCCAACCCTAACCCTAGCTCCAACACTAACCCTAACTCCAACCCTAACCCTAACCCTAACCCTAGATCCAACCCTAACCCTAACCCTAACCCATGCATTCCTATGGGAAAAAATCAAATTTTTTTAGGAATGTCCTAGAGACTCGGGAGTTGGTTCATTGCACTCAGAAAAATCCTAGCTCCAAGCCCAACCCTAACCCTAGCTCCAACACTAACCCTAACTCCAACCCTAACCCTAACCCTAACCCTAACCCTCGCTCCAACCCTAACCCTAACCCTAACCCATGCATTCCTATGGGAAAAAATCAAATTTTTTTAGGAACGTCCTAGAGACTGGGGAGTTGGTCATTGCACTCAGAAAAATCCTAGCTCCAAGCCCAACCCTAACCCTAGCTCCAACACTAACCCTAACTCCAACCCTAACCCTAACCCTAACCCTAACCCTCGCTCCAACCCTAACCCTAACCCTAACCCATGCATTCCTATGGGAAAAAATCAAATTTTTTTAGGAACGTCCTAGAGACTCGGGAGTTGGTCATTGCACTCAGAAAAATCCTAGCTCCAAGCCCAACCCTAACCCTAGCCCCAACACTAACCCTAACTCCAACCCTAACCCTAACCCTAACCCTAGCTCCAACCCTAACCCTAACCCTAACCCATGCATTCCTATGGGAAAAAATCAAATTTTTTTAGGAACGTCCTAGAGACTGGGGAGTTGGTTCATTGCACTCAGAAAAATCCTAGCTCCAAGCCCAACCCTAACCCTAGCTCCAACACTAACCCTAACTCCAACCCTAACCCTAACCCTAACCCTAGCTCCAACCCTATCCCTAACCCTAACCCATGCATTCCTATGGGAAAAAATCAAATTTTTTTAGGAACGTCCTAGAGACTTGGGAGTTGGTTCATTGCACTCAGAAAAATCCTAGCTCCAAGCCCAACCCTAACCCTAGCTCCAACACTAACCCTAACTCCAACCCTAACCCTAACCCTAACCCTAGCTCCAACCCTTACCCTAACCCTAACCCATGCATTCCTATGGGAAAAAATCAAATTTTTTTAGGAACGTCCTAGAGACTCGGGAGTTGGTTCATTGCACTCAGAAAAATCCTAGCTCCAAGCCCAACCCTAACCCTAGCCCCAACACTAACCCTAACTCCAACCCTAACCCTAACCCTAACCCTAGCTCCAACCCTAACCCTAACCCTAACCCATGCATTCCTATGGGAAAAAATCAAATTTTTTTAGGAACGTCCTAGAGACTCGGGAGTTGGTTCATTGCACTCAGAAAAATCCTAGCTCCAAGCCCAACCCTAACCCTAGCTCCAACACTAACCCTAACTCCAACCCTAACCCTAACCCTAACCCTAGCTCCAACCCTAACCCTCACCCTAACCCATGCATTCCTATGGGAAAAAATCAAATTTTTTTAGGAACGTCCTAGAGACTCGGGAGTTGGTTCATTGCACTCAGAAAAATCCTAGCTCCAAGCCTAACCCTAACCCTAGCTCCAACACTAACCCTAACTCCAACCCTAACCCTAACCCTAACCCTAGCTCCAACCCTAACCCTAACCCTAACCCATGCATTCCTATGGGAAAAAATCAAATTTTTTTAGGAACGTCCTAGAGACTTGGGAGTTGGTTCATTGCACTCAGAAAAATCCTAGCTCCAAGCCCAACCCTAACCCTAGCTCCAACACTAACCCTAACTCCAACCCTAACCCTAACCCTAACCCTAGCTCCAACCCTAACCCTAACCCTAACCCATGCATTCCTATGGGAAAAAATCAAATTTTTTTAGGAATGTCCTAGAGACTGGGGAGTTGGTCATTGCACTCAGAAAAATCCTAGCTCCAAGCCCAACCCTAACCCTAGCTCCAACACTAACCCTAACTCCAACCCTAACCCTAACCCTAACCCTAACCCTCGCTCCAACCCTAACCCTAACCCTAACCCATGCATTCCTATGGGAAAAAATCCAATTTTTTTAGGAACGTCCTAGAGACTCGGGAGTTGGTCATTGCACTCAGAAAAATCCTAGCTCCAAGCCCAACCCTAACCCTAGCCCCAACACTAACCCTAACTCCAACCCTAACTCTAACCCTAACCCTAACCCTAGCTCCAACCCTAACCCTAACCCTAACCCATGCATTCCTATGGGAAAAAATCAAATTATTTTAGGAACGTCCTAGAGACTCGGGAGTTGGTTCATTGCACTCAGAAAAATCCTAGCTCCAAGCCCAACCCTAACCCTAGCTCCAACACTAACCCTAACTCCAACCCTAACGCTAACCCTAACCCTAGCTCCAACCCTAACCCTAACCCTAACCCATGCATTCCTATGGGAAAAAATCAAATTTTTTTAGGAACGTCCTAGAGACTTGGGAGTTGGTTCATTGCACTCAGAAAAATCCTAGCTCCAAGCCCAACCCTAACCCTAGCTCCAACACTAACCCTAACTCCAACCCTAACCCTAACCCTAACCCTAGCTCCAACCCTAACCCTAACCCTAACCCATGCATTCCTATGGGAAAAAATCAAATTTTTTTAGGAATGTCCTAGAGACTGGGGAGTTGGTCATTGCACTCAGAAAAATTCTAGCTCCAAGCCCAACCCTAACCCTAGCTCCAACACTAACCCTAACTCCAACCCTAACCCTAACCCTAACCCTAACCCTCGCTCCAACCCTAACCCTAACCCTAACCCATGCATTCCTATGGGAAAAAATCAAATTTTTTTAGGAACGTCCTAGAGACTCGGGAGTTGGTCATTGCACTCAGAAAAATCCTAGCTCCAAGCCCAACCCTAACCCTAGCCCCAACACTAACCCTAACTCCAACCCTAACCCTAACCCTAACCCTAGCTCCAACCCTAACCCTAACCCTAACCCATGCATTCCTATGGGAAAAAATCCAATTTTTTTAGGAACGTCCTAGAGACTCGGGAGTTGGTTCATTGCACTCAGAAAAATCCTAGCTCCAAGCCCAACCCTAACCCTAGCTCCAACACTAACCCTAACTCCAACCCTAACCCTAACCCTAACCCTAGCTCCAACCCTAACCCTAACCCTAACCCATGCATTCCTATGGGAAAAAATCAAATTTTTTTAGGAACGTCCTAGAGACTTGGGAGTTGGTTCATTGCACTCAGAAAAATCCTAGCTCCAAGCCCAACCCTAACCCTAGCTCCAACACTAACCCTAACTCCAACCCTAACCCTAACCCTAACCCTAGCTCCAACCCTTACCCTAACCCTAACCCATGCATTCCTATGGGAAAAAATCAAATTTTTTTAGGAACGTCCTAGAGACTCGGGAGTTGGTTCATTGCACTCAGAAAAATCCTAGCTCCAAGCCCAACCCTAACCCTAGCCCCAACACTAACCCTAACTCCAACCCTAACCCTAACCCTAACCCTAGCTCCAACCCTAACCCTAACCCTAACCCATGCATTCCTATGGGAAAAAATCAAATTTTTTTAGGAACGTCCTAGAGACTCGGGAGTTGGTTCATTGCACTCAGAAAAATCCTAGCTCCAAGCCCAACCCTAACCCTAGCTCCAACACTAACCCTAACTCCAACCCTAACCCTAACCCTAACCCTAGCTCCAACCCTAACCCTCACCCTAACCCATGCATTCCTATGGGAAAAAATCAAATTTTTTTAGGAACGTCCTAGAGACTCGGGAGTTGGTTCATTGCACTCAGAAAAATCCTAGCTCCAAGCCCAACCCTAACCCTAGCTCCAACACTAACCCTAACTCCAACCCTAACCCTAACCCTAGCTCCAACCCTTACCCTAACCCTAACCCATGCATTCCTATGGGAAAAAATCAAATTTTTTTAGGAACGTCCTAGAGACTCGGGAGTTGGTTCATTGCACTCAGAAAAATCCTAGCTCCAAGCCCAACCCTAACCCTAGCTCCAACACTAACCCTAACTCCAACCCTAACCCTAACCCTAACCCCTTACCCTAGCTCCAACCCTAACCCTAACCCTAACCCATGCATTCCTATGGGAAAAAATCAAATTTTTTTAGGAACGTCCTAGAGACTCGGGAGTTGGTTCATTGCACTCAGAAAAATCCTAGCTCCAAGCCCAACCCTAACCCTAGCTCCAACACTAACCCTAACTCCAACCCTAACCCTAACCCTAACCCTAACCCTAGCTCCAACCCTAACCCTAACCCTAACCCATGCATTCCTATGGGAAAAAATCAAATTTTTTTAGGAACGTCCTAGAGACTCGGGAGTTGGTTCATTGCACTCAGAAAAATCCTAGCTCAAGGCCCAACCCTAACCCTAGCTCCAACACTAACCCTAACTCCAACCCTAACCCTAACCCTAACCCTAGCTCCAACCCTAACCCTAACCCTAACCCATGCATTCCTATGGGAAAAAATCAAATTTTTTTAGGAACGTCCTAGAGACTTGGGAGTTGGTTCATTGCACTCAGAAAAATCCTAGCTCCAAGCCCAACCCTAACCCTAGCTCCAACACTAACCCTAACTCCAACCCTAACCCTAACCCTAACCCTAGCTCCAACCCTAACCCTAACCCTAACCCATGCATTCTTATGGTAAAAATTCAAATTTTTTTAGGAACGTCCTAGAGACTCGGGAGTTGGTTCATTGCACTCAGAAAAATCCTAGCTCCAAGCCCAACCCTAACCCTAGCTCCAACACTAACCCTAACTCCAACCCTAACCCTAACCCTAACCCTAGCTCCAACCCTAACCCTAACCCTAACCCATGCATTCCTATGGGAAAAAATCAAATTTTTTTAGGAACGTCCTAGAGACTTGGGAGTTGGTTCATTGCACTCAGAAAAATCCTAGCTCCAAGCCCAACCCTAACCCTAGCTCCAACACTAACCCTAACTCCAACCCTAACCCTAACCCTAACCCTAGCTCCAACCCTAACCCTAACCCTAACCCATGCATTCCTATGGGAAAAAATCAAATTTTTTTAGGAACGTCCTAGAGACTCGGGAGTTGGTCATTGCACTCAGAAAAATCCTAGCTCCAAGCCCAACCCTAACCCTAGCCCCAACACTAACCCTAACTCCAACCCTAACCCTAACCCTAACCCTAGCTCCAACCCTAACCCTAACCCTAACCCATGCATTCCTATGGGAAAAAATCAAATTTTTTTAGGAACGTCCTAGAGACTCGGGAGTTGGTTCATTGCACTCAGAAAAATCCTAGCTCCAAGCCCAACCCTAACCCTAGCTCCAACACTAACCCTAACTCCAACCCTAGCTCCAACCCTAACCCTAACCCTAACCCATGCATTCCTATGGGAAAAAATCAAATTTTTTTAGGAACGTCCTAGAGACTTGGGAGTTGGTCATTGCACTCAGAAAAATCCTAGCTCCAAGCCCAACCCTAACCCTAGCCCCAACACTAACCCTAACTCCAACCCTAACCCTAACCCTAACCCTAGCTCCAACCCTAACCCTAACCCTAACCCATGCATTCCTATGGGAAAAAATCAAATTTTTTTAGGAACGTCCTAGATACTCGGGAGTTGGTTCATTGCACTCAGAAAAATCCTAGCTCCAAGCCCAACCCTAACCCTAGCTCCAACACTAACCCTAACTCCAACCCTAACCCTAACCCTAACCCTAGCTCCAACCCTAACCCTAACCCTAACCCATGCATTCCTATGGGAAAAAATCAAATTTTTTTAGGAACGTCCTAGAGACTTGGGAGTTGGATTCATTGCACTCAGAAAAATCCTAGCTCCAAGCCCAACCCTAACCCTAGCTCCAACACTAACCCTAACTCCAACCCTAACCCTAACCCTAACCCTAGCTCCAACCCTTAACCCTAACCCTAACCCATGCATTCCTATGGGAAAAAATCAAATTTTTTTAGGAACGTCCTAGAGACTCGGGAGTTGGTTCATTGCACTCAGAAAAATCCTAGCTCCAAGCCCAACCCTAACCCTAGCCCCAACACTAACCCTAACTCCAACCCTAACCCTAACCCTAACCCTAGCTCCAACCCTAACCCTAACCCTAACCCATGCATTCCTATGGGAAAAAATCAATTTTTTTAGGAACGTCCTAGAGACTCGGGAGTTGGTTCATTGCACTCAGAAAAATCCTAGCTCCAAGCCCAACCCTAACCCTAGCTCCAACACTAACCCTAACTCCAACCCTAACCCTAACCCTAACCCTAGCTCCAACCCTAACCCTCAACCCTAACCCATGCATTCCTATGGGAAAAAATCAAATTTTTTTAGGAACGTCCTAGAGACTCGGGAGTTGGTTCATTGCACTCAGAAAAATCCTAGCTCCAAGCCCAACCCTATCCCTAGCTCCAACACTAACCCTAACTCCAACCCTAACCCTAACCCTAGCTCCAACCCTAACCCTAACCCTAACCCATGCATTCCTATGGGAAAAAATCAAATTTTTTTAGGAATGTCCTAGAGACTCGGGAGTTGGTCATTGCACTCAGAAAAATCCTAGCTCCAAGCCCAACCCTAACCCTAGCTCCAACACTAACCCTAACTCCAACCCTAACCCTAACCCTAACCCTAACCCTCGCTCCAACCCTAACCCTAACCCTAACCCATGCATTCCTATGGGAAAAAATCAAATTTTTTTAGGAACGTCCTAGAGACTTGGGAGTTGGTTCATTGCACTCAGAAAAATCCTAGCTCCAAGCCCAACCCTAACCCTAGCTCCAACACTAACCCTAACTCCAAACCTAACCCTAACCCTAACCCTAGCTCCAACCCTAACCCTAACCCTAACCCATGCATTCCTATGGGAAAAAATCAAATTTTTTTAGGAACGTCCTAGAGACTCGAGAGTTGGTTCATTGCACTCAGAAAAATCCTAGCTCCAAGCCCAACCCTAACCCTAGCTCCAACACTAACCCTAACTCCAACCCAAACCCTAACCCTAACCCTAGCTCCAACCCTAACCCTAACCCTAACCCATGCATTCCTATGGGAAAAAATCAAATTTTTTTAGGAACGTCCTAGAGACTTGGGAGTTGGTTCATTGCACTCAGAAAAATCCTAGCTCCAAGCCCAACCCTAACCCTAGCTCCAACACTAACCCTAACTCCAACCCTAACCCTAACCCTAGCTCCAACCCTTACCCTAACCCTAACCCATGCATTCCTATGGGAAAAAATCAAATTTTTTTAGGAACGTCCTAGAGACTCGGGAGTTGGTTCATTGCACTCAGAAAAATCCTAGCTCCAAGCCCAACCCTAACCCTAGCTCCAACACTAACCCTAACTCCAACCCTAACCCTAACCCTAACCCTAACCCTAGCTCCAACCCTAACCCTAACCCTAACCCATGCATTCCTATGGGAAAAAATCTAATTTTTTTAGGAACGTCCTAGAGACTCGGGAGTTGGTTCATTGCACTCAGAAAAATCCTAGCTCCAAGCCGAACCCTAACCCTAGCTCCAACACTAACCCTAACTCCAACCCTAACCCTAACCCTAACCCATGCATTCCTATGGGAAAAAATCAAATTTTTTTAGGAACGTCCTAGAGACTCGGGAGTTGGTTCATTGCACTCAGAAAAATCCTAGCTCCAAGCCCAACCCTAACCCTAGCCCCAACACTAACCCTAACTCCAACCCTAACCCTAACCCTAACCCTAGCTCCAACCCTAACCCTAACCCTAACCCATGCATTCCTATGGGAAAAAATCAAATTTTTTTAGGAACGTCCTAGAGACTCGGGAGTTGGTTCATTGCACTCAGAAAAATCCTAGCTCCAAGCCCAACCCTAACCCTAGCTCCAACACTAACCCTAACTCCAACCCTAGCTCCAACCCTAACCCTAACCCTAACCCATGCATTCCTATGGGAAAAAATCAAATTTTTTAGGAACGTCCTAGAGACTTGGGAGTTGGTCATTGCACTCAGAAAAATCCTAGCTCCAAGCCCAACCCTAACCCTAGCCCCAACACTAACCCTAACTCCAACCCTAACCCTAACCCTAACCCTAGCTCCAACCCTAACCCTAACCCTAACCCATGCATTCCTATGGGAAAAAATCAAATTTTTTTAGGAACGTCCTAGATACTCGGGAGTTGGTTCATTGCACTCAGAAAAATCCTAGCTCCAAGCCCAACCCTAACCCTAGCTCCAACACTAACCCTAACTCCAACCCTAACCCTAACCCTAACCCTAGCTCCAACCCTAACCCTAACCCTAACCCATGCATTCCTATGGGAAAAAATCAAATTTTTTTAGGAACGTCCTAGAGACTTGGGAGTTGGTTCATTGCACTCAGAAAAATCCTAGCTCCAAGCCCAACCCTAACCCTAGCTCCAACACTAACCCTAACTCCAACCCTAACCCTAACCCTAACCCTAGCTCCAACCCTTACCCTAACCCTAACCCATGCATTCCTATGGGAAAAAATCAAATTTTTTTAGGAACGTCCTAGAGACTCGGGAGTTGGTTCATTGCACTCAGAAAAATCCTAGCTCCAAGCCCAACCCTAACCCTAGCCCCAACACTAACCCTAACTCCAACCCTAACCCTAACCCTAACCCTAGCTCCAACCCTAACCCTAACCCTAACCCATGCATTCCTATGGGAAAAAATCAATTTTTTTTAGGAACGTCCTAGAGACTCGGGAGTTGGTTCATTGCACTCAGAAAAATCCTAGCTCCAAGCCCAACCCTAACCCTAGCTCCAACACTAACCCTAACTCCAACCCTAACCCTAACCCTAACCCTAGCTCCAACCCTAACCCTCACCCTAACCCATGCATTCCTATGGGAAAAAATCAAATTTTTTTAGGAACGTCCTAGAGACTCGGGAGTTGGTTCATTGCACTCAGAAAAATCCTAGCTCCAAGCCCAACCCTATCCCTAGCTCCAACACTAACCCTAACTCCAACCCTAACCCTAACCCTAGCTCCAACCCTAACCCTAACCCTAACCCATGCATTCCTATGGGAAAAAATCAAATTTTTTTAGGAATGTCCTAGAGACTCGGGAGTTGGTTCATTGCACTCAGAAAAATCCTAGCTCCAAGCCCAACCCTAACCCTAGCTCCAACACTAACCCTAACTCCAACCCTAACCCTAACCCTAACCCTAACCCTCGCTCCAACCCTAACCCTAACCCTAACCCATGCATTCCTATGGGAAAAAATCAAATTTTTTTAGGAACGTCCTAGAGACTTGGGAGTTGGTTCATTGCACTCAGAAAAATCCTAGCTCCAAGCCCAACCCTAACCCTAGCTCCAACACTAACCCTAACTCCAAACCCTAACCCTAACCCTAACCCTAGCTCCAACCCTAACCCTAACCCTAACCCATGCATTCCTATGGGAAAAAATCAAATTTTTTTAGGAACGTCCTAGAGACTCGAGAGTTGGTTCATTGCACTCAGAAAAATCCTAGCTCCAAGCCCAACCCTAACCCTAGCTCCAACACTAACCCTAACTCCAACCCAAACCCTAACCCTAACCCTAGCTCCAACCCTAACCCTAACCCTAACCCATGCATTCCTATGGGAAAAAATCAAATTTTTTTAGGAACGTCCTAGAGACTTGGGAGTTGGTTCATTGCACTCAGAAAAATCTTAGCTCCAAGCCCAACCCTAACCCTAGCTCCAACACTAACCCTAACTCCAACCCTAACCCTAACCCTAGCTCCAACCCTTACCCTAACCCTAACCCATGCATTCCTATGGGAAAAAATCAAATTTTTTTAGGAACGTCCTAGAGACTCGGGAGTTGGTTCATTGCACTCAGAAAAATCCTAGCTCCAAGCCCAACCCTAACCCTAGCTCCAACACTAACCCTAACTCCAACCCTAACCCTAACCCTAACCCTAACCCTAGCTCCAACCCTAACCCTAACCCTAACCCATGCATTCCTATGGGAAAAAATCTAATTTTTTTAGGAACGTCCTAGAGACTCGGGAGTTGGTTCATTGCACTCAGAAAAATCCTAGCTCCAAGCCGAACCCTAACCCTAGCTCCAACACTAACCCTAACTCCAACCCTAACCCTAACCCTAACCCTAACCCTAGCTCCAACCCTAACCCTAACCCTAACCCTAACCCTAGCTCCAACCCTAACCCTAACCCTAACCCATGCATTCCTATGGGAAAAAATCAAATTTTTTTAGGAACGTCCTAGAGACTCGGGAGTTGGTTCATTGCACTCAGAAAAATCCTAGCTCCAAGCCCAACCCTAACCCTAGCTCCAACACTAACCCTAACTCCAACCCTAACCCTAACCCTAACCCTAGCTCCAACCCTAACCCTAACCCTAACCCATGCATTCCTATGGGAAAAAATCAAATTTTTTTAGGAATGTCCTAGAGACTGGGGAGTTGGTCATTGCACTCAGAAAAATCCTAGCTCCAAGCCCAACCCTAACCCTAGCTCAAACACTAATCCTAACTCCAACCCTAACCCTAACCCTAACCCTAACCCTCTCTCCAACCCTAACCCTAACCGTAACCCATGCATTCCTATGGGAAAAAATCAAATTTTTTTAGGAACGTCCTAGAGACTCGGGAGTTGGTCATTGCACTCAGAAAAATCCTAGCTCCAAGCCCAACCCTAACCCTAGCCCCAACACTAACCCTAACTCCAACCCTAACCCTAACCCTAACCCTAGCTCCAACCCTAACCCTAACCCTAACCCATGCATTCCTATGGGAAAAAATCAAATTTTTTTAGGAACGTCCTAGAGACTTGGGAGTTGGTTCATTGCACTCAGAAAAATCCTAGCTCCAAGCCCAACCCTAACCCTAGCTCAAACACTAATCCTAACTCCAACCCTAACCCTAACCCTAACCCTAGCTCCAACCCTTCCCCTAACCCTAACCCATGCATTCCTATGGGAAAAAATCAAATTTTTTTAGGAACGTCCTAGAGACTCGGGAGTTGGTTCATTGCACTCAGAAAAATCCTAGCTCCAAGCCCAACCCTAACCCTAGCTCCAACACTAACCCTAACTCCAACCCTAACCCTAACCCTAACCCTAACCCTAGCTCCAACCCTAACCCTAACCCTAACCCATGCATTCCTATGGGAAAAAATCTAATTTTTTTAGGAACGTCCTAGAGACTCGGGAGTTGGTTCATTGCACTCAGAAAAATCCTAGCTCCAAGCCCAACCCTAACCCTAGCTCCAACACTAACCCTAACTCCAACCCTAACCCTAACCCTAACCCTAACCCTAGCTCCAACCCTAACCCTAACCCTAACCCATGCATTCCTATGGGAAAAAATCAAATTTTTTTAGGAACGTCCTAGAGACTCGGGAGTTGGTTCATTGCACTCAGAAAAATCCTAGCTCCAAGCCCAACCCTAACCCTAGCTCCAACACTAACCCTAACTCCAACCCTAACCCTAACCCTAACCCTAGCTCCAACCCTAACCCTCACCCTAACCCATGCATTCCTATGGGAAAAAATCAAATTTTTTTAGGAACGTCCTAGAGACTCGGGAGTTGGTTCATTGCACTCAGAAAAATCCTAGCTCCAAGCCCAACCCTAACCCTAGCTCCAACACTAACCCTAACTCCAACCCTAACCCTAACCCTAACCCTAGCTCCAACCCTAACCCTAACCCTAACCCATGCATTCCTATGGGAAAAAATCAAATTTTTTTAGGAACATCCTAGAGACTTGGGAGTTGGTTCATTGCACTCAGAAAAATCCTAGCTCCAAGCCCAACCCTAACCCTAGCTCCAACACTAACCCTAACTCCAACCCTAACCCTAACCCTAACCCTAGCTCCAACCCTAACCCTAACCCTAACCCATGCATTCCTATGGGAAAAAATCAAATTTTTTTAGGAATGTCCTAGAGACTCGGGAGTTGGTTCATTGCACTCAGAAAAATCCTAGCTCCAAGCCCAACCCTAACCCTAGCTCCAACACTAACCCTAACTCCAACCCTAACCCTAACCCTAACCCTAACCCTCGCTCCAACCCTAACCCTAACCCTAACCCATGCATTCCTATGGGAAAAAATCAAATTTTTTTAGGAACGTCCTAGAGACTGGGGAGTTGGTTCATTGCACTCAGAAAAATCCTAGCTCCAAGCCCAACCCTAACCCTAGCTCCAACACTAACCCTAACTCCAACCCTAACCCTAACCCTAACCCTAACCCTCGCTCCAACCCTAACCCTAACCCTAACCCATGCATTCCTATGGGAAAAAATCAAATTTTTTTAGGAACGTCCTAGAGACTCGGGAGTTGGTTCATTGCACTCAGAAAAATCCTAGCTCCAAGCCCAACCCTAACCCTAGCCCCAACACTAACCCTAACTCCAACCCTAACCCTAACCCTAACCCTAGCTCCAACCCTAACCCTAACCCTAACCCATGCATTCCTATGGGAAAAAATCAAATTTTTTTAGGAACGTCCTAGAGACTCGGGAGTTGGTTCATTGCACTCAGAAAAATCCTAGCTCCAAGCCCAACCCTAACCCTAGCTCCAACACTAACCCTAACTCCAACCCTAACCCTAACCCTAACCCTAGCTCCAACCCTATCCCTAACCCTAACCCATGCATTCCTATGGGAAAAAATCAAATTTTTTTAGGAACGTCCTAGAGACTTGGGAGTTGGTTCATTGCACTCAGAAAAATCCTAGCTCCAAGCCCAACCCTAACCCTAGCTCCAACACTAACCCTAACTCCAACCCTAACCCTAACCCTAACCCTAGCTCCAACCCTTACCCTAACCCTAACCCATGCATTCCTATGGGAAAAAATCAAATTTTTTTAGGAACGTCCTAGAGACTCGGGAGTTGGTTCATTGCACTCAGAAAAATCCTAGCTCCAAGCCCAACCCTAACCCTAGCCCCAACACTAACCCTAACTCCAACCCTAACCCTAACCCTAACCCTAGCTCCAACCCTAACCCTAACCCTAACCCATGCATTCCTATGGGAAAAAATCAAATTTTTTTAGGAACGTCCTAGAGACTCGGGAGTTGGTTCATTGCACTCAGAAAAATCCTAGCTCCAAGCCCAACCCTAACCCTAGCCCCAACACTAACCCTAACTCCAACCCTAACCCTAACCCTAACCCTAGCTCCAACCCTAACCCTAACCCTAACCCATGCATTCCTATGGGAAAAAATCAAATTTTTTTAGGAACATCCTAGAGACTTGGGAGTTGGTTCATTGCACTCAGAAAAATCCTAGCTCCAAGCCCAACCCTAACCCTAGCTCCAACACTAACCCTAACTCCAACCCTAACCCTAACCCTAGCTCCAACCCTAACCCTCACCCTAACCCATGCATTCCTATGGGAAAAGATCAATTTTTTTAGGAACGTCCTAGAGACTCGGGAGTTGGTTCATTGCACTCAGAAAAATCCTAGCTCCAAGCCCAACCCTAACCCTAGCCCCAACACTAACCCTAACTCCAACCCTAACCCTAACCCTAACCCTAGCTCCAACCCTAACCCTAACCCTAACCCATGCATTCCTATAGGAAAAAATCAAATTTTTTTAGGAACGTCCTAGAGACTCGGGAGTTGGTTCATTGCACTCAGAAAAATCCTAGCTCCAAGCCCAACCCTAACCCTAGCTCCAACACTAACCCTAACTCCAACCCTAACCCTAACCCTAACCCTAGCTCCAACCCTAACCCTAACCCTAACCCATGCATTCCTATGGGAAAAAATCTAATTTTTTTAGGAACGTCCTAGAGACTCGGGAGTTGGTTCATTGCACTCAGAAAAACCCTAGCTCCAAGCCCAACCCTAACCCTAGCTCCAACACTAACCCTAACTCCAACCCTAACCCTAACCCTAACCCTAGCTCCAACCCTAACCCTAACCCTAACCAATGCATTCCTATGGGAAAAAATCAAATTTTTTTAGGAACGTCCTAGAGACTTGGGAGTTGGTTCATTGCACTCAGAAAAATCCTAGCTCAAAGCCCAACCCTAACCCTAGCTCCAACTCTAACCCTAACTCCAACCCTAACCCTAACCCTAACCCTAGCTCCAACCCTAACCCTAACCCTAACCCATGCATTCCTATTGGAAAAAATAATTTTTTTTTAGGAACGTCCTAGAGACTCGGGAGTTGGTTCATTGCACTCAGAAAAATCCTAGCTCCAAGCCCAACCCTAACCCTAGCTCCAACACTAACCCTAACTCCAACCCTAACCCTAACCCTAGCTCCAACCCTAACCCTAACCCTAACCCATGCATTCCTATGGGAAAAAATCAAATTTTTTTTGGAACGTCCTAGAGACTCGGGAGTTGGTTCATTGCACTCAGAAAAATCCTAGCTCCAAGCCCAACCCTAACCCTAGCTCCAACACTAACCCTAACTCCAACCCTAACCCTAACCCTAACCCTAACCCTAGCTCCAACCCTAACCCTAACCCTAACCCATGCATTCCTATGGGAAAAAATCAAATTTTTTTAGGAACGTCCTAGAGACTCGGGAGTTGGTTCATTGCACTCAGAAAAATCCTAGCTCCAAGCCCAACCCTAACCCTAGCTCCAACACTAACCCTAACTCCAACCCTAACCCTAACCCTAACCCTAGCTCCAACCCTAACCCTAACCCTAACCCATGCATTCCTATGGGAAAAAAATCAAATTTTTTTAGGAACGTCCTAGAGACTCGGGAGTTGGTTCATTGCACTCAGAAAAATCCTAGCTCCAAGCCCAACCCTAACCCTTGCTCCAACACTAACCCTAACTCCAACCCTAACCCTAACCCTAACCCTAGCTCCAACCCTAACCCTAACCCTAACCCATGCATTCCTATGGGAAAAAAATCAAATTTTTTTAGGAACGTCCTAGAGACTCGGGAGTTGGTTCATTGCACTCAGAAAAATCCTAGCTCCAAGCCCAACCCTAACCTGAGCTCCAACACTAACCCTAACTCCAACCCTAACCCTAACCCTAGCTCCAACCCTAACCCTAACCCTAACCCATGCATTCCTATGGGAAAAAATCAAATTTTTTTAGGAACGTCCTAGAGACTCGGGAGTTGGTTCATTGCACTCAGAAAAATCCTAGCTCCAAGCCCAACCCTAACCCTAGCTCCAACCCTAACCCTAACCCTAACCCTAGCTCCAACCCTAACCCTAACCCTAACCCATGCATTCCTATGGGAAAAAATCAAATTTTTTTAGGAACGTCCTAGAGACTCGGGAGTTGGTTCATTGTACTCAGAAAAATCCTAGCTCCAAGCCCAACCCTAACCCTAGCTCCAACACTAACCCTAACTCCAACCCTAACCCTAACCCTTACCCTAGCTCCAACCCTAACCCTAACCCTAACCAATGCATTCCTATGAGAAAAAATCAATTTTTTTTAGGAACGTCCTAGAGACTCGGGAGTTGGTTCATTGCACTCAGAAAAATCCTAGCTCCAAGCCCAACCCTAACCCTAGCTCCAACACTAACCCTAACTCCAACCCTAACCCTAACCCTAACCCTAACCCTAGCTCCAACCCTAACCCTAACCCTAACCCATGCATTCCTATGGGAAAAAATCAAATTTTTTTAAGGAACGTCCTAGAGACTCGGGAGTTGGTTCATTGCACTCAGAAAAATCCTAGCTCCAAGCCCAACCCTAACCTGAGCTCCAACACTAACCCTAACTCCAACCCTAACCCTAACCCTAGCTCCAACCCTAACCCTAACCCTAACCCATGCATTCCTATGGGAAAAAATCAAATTTTTTTAGGAACGTCCTAGAGACTCGGGAGTTGGTTCATTGCACTCAGAAAAATCCTAGCTCCAAGCCCAACCCTAACCCTAGCTCCAACACTAACCCTAACTCCAACCCTAACCCTAACCCTAACCCTAGCTCCAACCCTAACCCTAACCCTAACCCATGCATTCCTATGGGAAAAAATCAGATTTTTTTTGGAACGTCCTAGAGACTCGGGAGTTGGTTCATTGCACTCAGAAAAATCCTAGCTCCAAGCCCAACCCTAACCCTAGCTCCAACACTAACCCTAACTCCAACCCTAACCCTAACCCTAACCCTAGCTCCAACCCTAACCCTAACCCTAACCCATGCATTCCTATGGGAAAAAATCAAATTTTTTTAGGAACGTCCTAGAGACTCGGGAGTTGGTTCATTGCACTCAGAAAAATCCTAGCTCCAAGCCCAACCCTAACCCTAGCTCCAACACTAACCCTAACTCCAACCCTAACCCTAACCCTAACCCTAGCTCCAACCCTAACCCTAACCCTAACCCATGCATTCCTATGGGAAAAAATCAATTTTTTTAGGAACGTCCTAGAGACTCGGGAGTTGGTTCATTGCACTCAGAAAAATCCTAGCTCCAAGCCCAACCCTAACCCTAGCTCCAACACTAACCCTAACTCCAACCCTAACCCTAACCCTAACCCTAGCTCCAACCCTAACCCTAACCCTAACCCATGCATTCCTATGGGAAAAAATCAAATTTTTTTAGGAACGTCCTAGAGACTCGGGAGTTGGTTCATTGCACTCAGAAAAATCCTAGCTCCAAGCCCAACCCTAACCCTAGCTCCAGCACTAACCCTAACTCCAACCCTGACCCTAACCCTAACCCTAGCTCCAACCCTAACCCTAACCCTAACCCATGCATTCCTATGGGAAAAAATCAAATTTTTTTAGGAACGTCCTAGAGACTCGGGAGTTGGTTCATTGCACTCAGAAAAATCCTAGCTCCAAGCCCAACCCTAACCCTAGCCCCAACACTAACCCTAGCTCCAACCCTAACCCTAACCCTAACCCTAACCCTAGCTCCAACCCTAACCCTAACCCTAACCCATGCATTCCTATGGGAAAAAATCAAATTTTTTTAGGAACGTCCTAGAGACTCGGGAGTTGGTTCATTGCACTCAGAAAAATCCTAGCTCCAAGCCCAACCCTAACCCTAGCTCCAACACTAACCCTAACTCCAACCCTAACCCTAACCCTAGCTCCAACCCTAACCCTAACCCTAACCCATGCATTCCTATGGGAAAAAATCAAATTTTTTTAGGAACGTCCTAGAGACTCGGGAGTTGGTTCATTGCACTCAGAAAAATCCTAGCTCCAAGCCCAACCCTAACCCTTGCTCCAACACTTACCCTAACTCCAACCCTAACCCTAACCCTAACCCTAGCTCCAACCCTAACCCTAACCCATGCATTCCTATGGGAAAAAATCAAATTTTTTTAGGAACGTCCTAGAGACTCGGGAGTTGGTTCATTGCACTCAGAAAAATCCTAGCTCCAAGCCCAACCCTAATCCTAGCTCCAACAGTAACCCTAACTCCAACCCTAACCCTAACCCTAACCCTAGCTCCAACCCCACACCTAACCCTAACCCTAGCTCCAACCCTTACTCTAACCCTAACCCATGCATTCCTATGGGAAAAAATCAAATTTTTTTAGGAACGTCCTAGAGACTTGGGAGTTGGTTCATTGCACTCAGAAAAATCCTAGCTCCAAGCCCAACCCTAACCCTAGCTCCAACACTAACCCTAACTCCAACCCTAACCCTAACCCTAACCCTAGCTCCAACCCTAACCCTAACCCTAACCCATGCATTCCTATGGGAAAAAATCAAATTTTTTTAGGAACGTCCTAGAGACTCGGGAGTTGGTTCATTGCACTCAGAAAAATCCTAGCTCCAAGCCCAACCCTAACCCTAGCTCCAACACCAACCCTAACTCCAACCCTAACCCTAACCCTAACCCTAGCTCCAACCCCACACCTAACCCTAACCCTAGCTCCAACCTTAAGAGGTCCTTCTCAAGTCTCTCCTTGAAGCTGACCCTGTTGGTAATAAAGAGAAAGATTCACAATTCTGAATCATCATTGTACCTGTGCTCTTTTATTAGAAATGGATGTGAGAAATATGAAGAGAGAATCGGACAGAGTGACTACAGGGACAATGCTGAGAAAAATACAGGGCTTCAAGAAACACTCCTGGAACAGCATGCCAGACAGACACTTAGTTTACTGCTCACTGCTTCACTAAGACAAGAATATTTTGGTATTTTGAATATGTACAGACTGATTTAATGAGCAGAAGATTTATCCCTGAATGACAGTGTAAACATCTTGTATGATTCAGAGCGTTTCTCACTGTTGATTGCACACTGTGTTAGTCCTCAGCCTTAAAGAATTCCCTTAAAGTCTGTGCTGCTCAAAATTATTACCCACTTCTCATTCAGCATGAGAACCGTTTGGGGAAAATGAATTATGAGACTCTCATTTTATTTCCTCTGCAGCTGCACCTGCATTTTATGCCTTATCTGTCTGCGACAAACACAACAAAACCAATTTATTGTTGTGTCTACTTGTTTTACCAAGTGAGGAATGTGATTCAAATCCTCTCACAGGGTTTGCCAATACTTTTCAGGATAATGACTGCAATAAATAACTTTTATATATCCTGGAACTAATTTATTACGGCTGCAACTATTGCATTGTAAAAATCTACTTTGTGTATGTTGGATTTATGCTAGTTTTAAAGAAACTCAAAGTACTTGAATTGCCTGGCTTATAGATGTAGGGCTTCTACAAACTACTCAAATCAAGCACAGATTTGACATTGATACTTGCAGCAACATCACCATTTCAGGACACATCCAGGACCTTCAGCTGTCACAGACCCTCCAGCTCTTTATCTGGCAGAGCTCAGGGTAGGCGACATCAATAAGCAACAGCAGACAGGGCATCCAAAAAACTGTTGGTAGATTCAAGCATCACTGACCTCTGTCCTCTTGTCTCCTTCCCATTGACATACATGTAGTTACATCGCTATTTAAAGCAGCTGGACAGAGTTTTCATTTTCTGTTGATTTTGGCAGCCACTATTGACGAAAGCGGTAGTGTTTTCAGCGCATATTGTAAAGACACTTATCTGGCTCTCACGTCAGGGCTCCAGACCGTAACTTTTTTTGTGAGCAGTTTGAGGCAACTTACTTTATAAATGTATTTAAAATGGGAAGTGAGTGAGAGACAGACGTGGAGCAGCAGGACTACTAAGGTTAGTGACACAGAGAAGCTCTGCCTGTCTGTCTCCCAGTGTTGCCAACTCGTAAAGTAACTACAAGTAACGTCATCGCCTAATTTGCATAATTTCTCAGTCAAACCCACCGCTGCCAACCACCCCAGCCCACCCCCGGAGGAGTTTCTGTATATGTCTGTGTCTGGCTACCCATTGAGAAGAGTGACATTGATACCTGCTACATGTTAGAGTCTCTATACTTCAGAAAAATGTGCTAGATTTGTTGCTAGACACTTTTTTGAAAATAAGTCGTCTGAAAAGTCGATTAATCTAGTGACAAAGTCGCTAGGTTGGCAACACTGCTGTCTCCGGTGTGGAGGACTCCGTGTCTACAGGTGTCTCCTGCTGCAAGACGTTGTCACCGTTTGTGTAGTGACAGTAATAGGCAGGTGTTCATTGCAAAATAAAGACAAAAAAACGCATGTGCTGTAAATCGTTTTGTTCGTGGTCCCGACCCGATCACTGGCTCAAGTTTTCCCTCTTTTCACTATTTAGAAATAGCTTATCTTCACACCGATGGGCTTATTCGCTGTTGCAGGTGACAGGGAGACATCAGCAGAAAACAAGATATTTTTTCAAATCTAGTTAAAAGTTCCTTACAGGACGTTTAACATACAGAGCAGAGAAAATACACAAACCTGCGTCCTCAAACCAGAGAAACTCAAACTATCTCGAAACTGAATTATGATGAGCTGGATAAAGTACAACTCCAATCATTTACTGGAATTTCTCAAAAACATCATTAAATGGGAGAAGAAGAAAAAAAACAGCAGAGACAGAAGTGTGTTACTGCATTTAAACATCTCAATCTTATCAAACATTTTTATCCGCTTTTGAGGACTGAATCCCTGGAACAGACTGTCATTAAGTTTTGTTTGAACTTTCTTAAATCCATTTCACTGTCAGACACCATCAGAAGCTTGATTGGTACAGTCAGTAATTTGGACTCCTGTCCTCAGAGCTGTCAGCTGCTTCTTTTGAACAAACAGTCACAGAGAGACTGTCATCTGTCTCCACGTCTTTACAGAATTTGGCAGTTTTACTCCCAGATGATGTCAGAGCAGACTCTATCTCTGAGAAACGAACTGACAGCTTGGAATCTGTCAGCTCTGTCCCTTTCCTAGCTTTCCAACCCTCAGACTGTTATTGCTGTACCTCCCGACTCTCCAGTTTTTCTGTAATGGGAACTTCTTGACTATCTTCAGGTCTGAATCAAAGTACTGGGACAGCATACCAAGAATATGACCCAAATGTCAGACCCTAGAGGTCAGCAAACTTTCAGTCATTTTATTCAAAAGCAAAGTTCTGTGGACAGTATACAATTAAGATGTATTTAGAAAATACATGGCCTAAGACTCATTTGAAAATCACTAGCATGGAATTCTCAAGGTTTTTTGGAGAGTTCCTCATTTTTCAGATGCCAGATTGCTAACGCCAGTTGTTAACATCTGTGTTTAACCAGCAACCACTGATGTTTCAATGTAGATAAGATATCTTTGGATCACTGGTTGGTTTGACACCAGACAGAATCAAAAAAAGAGTTTTTCTCTAAGTCTTTTGTGCAAGAAAAACTATTAAAATACAACTCAAAACACTAAGAATGTGTTATGATTATGTCTGAACTTGTGAACCTGGAGACAACTTAATTAGTTTTCACTCACAAAAATAGAGAAATTACATACCTGACATCTCTTTTTACTGCAGTAAAATACTGAAAATAGCTGCCGTCTCTGGAGGCACGACCTTTCTTTGCATGCTTTAGAGTAAAAATCTTCATCCTCGCGGCCCATGGCCCTAACAATGAAAACTAGGACATTTTCATCGTATTATAAAAAACAAACAAGCGGCCAGGACAGGACGTAAAAACAGGACATGGCCCAGGAAAACAGGGCATTTGGTCACCCCATTTTCCCTGTGACCTCCTGATTGTTTTATGCCTGTGAAGCCCTCAGGGGAGGGAGTAAAGATGCAAGGTGGCTCACTCTTCAGCATCTCTGTGTCAGAAATCTATATTGTTTTCTGCTTATAGCACGAACATGTCCAGTGATTTTACTTACCACAGAAATCTAAATTAACTGACGGCTACTTTTGAGATTTTTGTCAATAATGTTGACCAGCTGTCAAACCCCTGAAAACTATTTCATTCAAATAGTTTGGTAACACTTTACAATAACATGATTTATAAATGGTAAATAGATAGTTCATTAATGTTTAATCATCATTCAAAACAGCATATAGACCAATTATAAATGGCAAATAGATAGTTAATTAATGTAAGTTAATAGTTACTTTACCATTAACAAGCAATGAAATTATGATTAATAATTGTCATTAATTATTAATGGACTATTTATTAATGGTTTATAAAGGGTTTCAATATTGGTTGTAAAACATCTAGATTAAAATGTGTGTCAGCAGCACTTTGTAAATGGTTAATATTTGTTTTTTAAACCATCTATAAACAATACTCAGATGGTTATTGTAAAGTTGCAACTGATGTTTGTAATACTTAATAAATGAATAATAACTGGTTTATAAATCACCTATAAACATTACTTAGATGTTATTGTAAAGTTCGGGTTAGGGTTACAATTTATTGATGCTCTATATGCTATTTATAAATGATGATTAAACATAAATAAACTATCTAATTCCCATTTATAAGTGGTCTATTCACCATTTATAAGTGATGGTTATTGTAAAGTGTTACCAACAGTTTTACTCTCAGTTTTATTTGAAATATGGTGGAAAAAGGCGGGGCACTCCAGCAGATAATGGAACCCTTGAGAAATAACCCCATTTTCTTTACTCTGAAAAGCATTTAATATATAAAAAAAAAAAAAAACATTTGCCCAATTTACTTTTGTTATGATGTTCTTTCTTTTCCCCACCAGAATCATCAATCAGTAACCTTAGGATAGCTTTTCAATTTCTGAATTTAAAAAAAAAAAAAAAAAAGCCATGCTCTTTCTTGCTGGAGGAAATTCAGCACCTGCTTCCAAGATAAATGATCACACAAAGCACTCCTGCACAACAACAACAACAACAACCTTTTGTTCATTCTTTTCATTCACAAAGCTGACCATGAAGCACATGACATCTGTAAGTAGCAGCTGCTCAAAACACATCCCACTCACCTTGATAACCTGTCCGTCTGTTTGACCTGCTCTCCACAGCTTCTGTTACATCAGAGAGAGCTCCATCTGTTCTCATGGTGACCACCTTTTCTGGTACAGAGATAGTTTGCTCAGTCGGAGCTGCTGTGTTGAGGATCTCTGTGTCCTGCAAGAGAAACACAAAGAAACGAATCAGTACAAGGTTTAAAAACACAATGAAATGCAGCTCCATGTGAACCCACAATGGATTTCATGTAACTCCTCCTCAGTGTAATAGCTCTCTTAAGAGACCAGGACACAGACCTTCACTGTAAAGGGATGGAGTTTTCATTGAACAGATTGTTTACATAGATCTGCAGTAAAAAGGAAAAACTTGGACAGTATTACATTTTGTCAAAATACAAGCACTCAAGGTACATACAAGATACCCTTCAGGACAGAGGGCCATAGGAGCAGGGAGGAAAGAAAGAAAGAAAGAAAGCAATGAAGACAATGTCTGGCAATCCTGGAGCTCTCTCGGAGTTGGTTTTACAGATGAACTCTTATATGGTGTGGTATGGTATGGTATGGTCTTTATTGTCATTGCAACTGTGCACAACGAAATTGCATTTACAGATGGGGAAAGTACACAAAAGAGGGAGGGAGAGGAGGAGGTAAAAAAGAGAGACTGCTTTTATTAATATGTGTGCAGTGACAAAAAAAATCCTCAGCAACATGAACACATTACTGACACCACATACACAGAGATATCAGTGCAGTGCAGTCATGCTTATCAACTTTAAAAAGAGGCCTGAACCTTTGGAAGGAGAGGAAAACTTGTCTCCAGACGCTCTTTGTCTATTGGTGCCTCTCTGTTTGCTTTGTCTCTTCACCCTTGTGCTTCTTTTGTGAAAGAAATACATCGTGAAGCTCAAAGAAGAACGTGAACAAGAGGTCTTCTCTGCCTCATTTTTTTTTCCACGCATATATCACATTTTTTTCTTTTTGAAGATAACTGTCTGACATTTGCTTAGAAGTTATCAAGACCGTCAACAGCAGACTAGAGGTAAATCAAGAGGGAAGAAAACAGAAGTGACACAGCAGGCTGTGTTGAAAAAAAAAAGTGTGGTCTAGACTTGTTCTTTTTTTGGAAAGCATATTAGTACAATGACTGTTGTGATTTGGATATGATAAAGACAACAATGAAGACGTTCCACTTCTTGGTGGATCCAGAAAATGACGACATGGGGAGGATGACAATGAGTTTTCTCTCTCAGTTTGGATATGAAACAGGTCCATCACTTCACTGGCATAAAAGACAGAAAAGGAAGAGACTCAGAAAATGACTACAAACAACATGCCTTTTGCAGCTATTATGTCTCTCTTTGAAATCATTGTGCCTCTCTTTGTAGCTGTTTCTGGCCTTTTTGTTGTCATGTTTGTTTCTATGTTACTTTTTTCTTTGGTACATGATTTTTTTTGTGTGTTGCATGCACATTCACACTAACAGTTTTCAAGCAAGTATGTAACCTTGCTTTAAAACCAAGCATCTTATTAGAAGTACAGTGATTTAAGTATCAAGACATCTCAGGTGCCGGTGCTTTGCTGGAAAATCTGTCCACGCAATCATCTGTGAGGTAAAAGAAGTAGGACATCACAAAATGAGGGAAAACACTGGCTCCATGGCCTAAATCAGTCCCAGGGACTATGAAAGTTCATTGAGAGGGCACCCTGCCTCAGCATGTGCACAAAGATTAACATGTCCTTTTTGCTGTTTTTCTCTTATGTTTTTAAAACACTTTTCCATTTTCATTACTCACTTGAGTGCAAATCATAGTTTAATATAAGGCCATCTGTCTTCCTGATTGTTTGCTATTTTCAGTATGTGTGAGACAAAATTATTATTAATATTTATTAATATTTATTTTTTTATAGTTTCTGCACACGTGTTATTCGATGTGTCATATCACACCTGAGACATTGTTAGTCATTAAATATCATTATATAAAGCATCATATACTTTATTCATGACCACATTTAACAGTAACTATTAATTTACTGAAACAAAAAGAATACATTATTTTTTGTCATCTTAGTTAATCTCTTGATAAAAATGTCACATAGTTTATACTGAGAACCACTGAACTAAATCAAACAGTAGCCTCGCTCTGACACTAACAGAGTTACAACATGATCACAAGTCTGTGAGAAGAGGGAAAAAAAAGAAATTTAAAGAGAGCGTTCAAGTGTCTCACTGGGAACAAAAGGCAGAATCTCTCTCTGTGAATTCTTCTCACCTGATAATCTGCTGGCGTTGTGAAGGACTGAAATGCATGTCCTATTCATGGGACCTATTTGTACACAACCAGGTTAGCGCTCCAGAACCATGTTAGAGCATGCACCATCATGTACCCAATTCACTCACACAGTGCATAAATACACTCGATCAACTCTGACTCACACATGTGCACAAATACAATTTTGCTGCTCAGCTCAAAAAGCAGAAAACCCACAAACACACACACACACACACACACACACAGCAGCCTTTCTATTATTATAACCCCTTATTGCAAAGCGGGTTAGAAAGCGAGAGGAGAGAAGAGAGGCGACAAGAGAGGAATCAATAGTAGGTCATTATGTTCCTGTGCAACCTGGGTATAAAGGTGGGGTGTTTGGAGGCTGATATGTCTGTGTGTGAATGTTGGATAAGGGAGCAAACATCCTATTGAAATGCATATGACTGTTTAGAGAGAACTTACTGTATGTACGTGTAGCTCCAGAGCTGACACAGCTGCTTAAGTCTCTCTTCCGCTCTTATGCTCGCTCACTTTTCCTGCTTTTACCACTGCGAGCAGCCATCGGTTAAGTGACCAATGTTTACTTACAGCACGGAAGCACATCCTCACCATCAGCCTATCTTTGTTCTGCTCTCATTTGAGAAACATTTTTTCTCTGCCTCTAGTTCTTTCATGCTGTTAGTTTATGCACACCCTCCACCTCCCCATCTCCACCCAGTCTCTGCAGAATCATCAGCTCTATACTTCATCCATCTGGTCCCAGCAAGCCACCAGGACTCTGTAGGAGCTCCTGTTGTTTATGTTTTTGGTGGAGAGGAAGAGTGGACGTAGGAAGCATTTAAGAAATGTTCAGCTTCACGAAAAGCCCTCAACACTTTGAGATTTCAAACACTAAACCACTAAAAACTAGTTTTAAAATAAACAAGCAAATGCTTAAAGTGGGCGACAAATCAGTCACAGTGCAAATAAGACAAGGTGACATAAAAAATCATCTTACCTTTTACGCAGACTCAGCGTCTTTTCATTAACTTGAACAATATTGAGATGGAAAAACTTTTTACAGTCAATGGAAGCCAGGTCGGCTGGCTGATACATGGAAGAATCAAACCTCACCCACAGCTGTCAGTGTATTTATTTAACTATTTATCCAAAAGAGAGAGAGACAGAGACAGAGACAGAGAGAGAGAGAGAGAGAGAGAGAGAGAGAGAGACATGTTTTCACAATATTAAAAACTCGCCAAATCGGACAGTAAACCGCCCAATCTGGCAACACTGCCTGTAACAGGAGTTATGATAAAAGCAGTCTATTCCACCATACATATTTTTTAAAAATTCATTTTTTTTTCAGATATATCTATGCCAAATGAAAGACAAGCTTTTATATTCTTATAGGGAGTAATCTTTTTACTGATAAAGTCAAAGTATAATCCTGCACTGCAAAGAAGGGGTTCGAGCAGGGTGCTGGTAAGTAAAATGACAAGGGATGGAAGGGAAAAACGTCATTTCACTCAGGATGTAGCAGTTTTTCAATTACCAGTTTTAATTCAGGTGTGTGAGAATAATTGACTCCAGTAGCTCCACTTATTAACCACAAACGGCAAAGCAGCTTCCACAGCATTATTGGTAAATAGAGTTGAAAGCAGTTTGGAGGCAATCTGTTAAGAAATACCTTAGCTACTTTTTAAAGGAGGATCAGCAGTGATTTATTCTCTCCTCATTAATTAGATATTGATTTATTACACAATCTTTTGGCCTAAAGCTCTTAAGAATCTTGTTTACGTGGATGTGATCCCAACATGACGCACAGTAGCCAGAAATAACTTGAAGGTCTTATATTGCATTTGGGTCAGGTTATAGGCTGAAGTATATGATTCACATCATTTTATTAACAGAACATCCAGTGACCCTTTGTTCGTTGTTGATTGAAGTGATTGCATTCCAAGAATTGACCACTCTCATGTTTTGTCAGATACAAGAGGTCTCATCAGGGACAACAGAGACACTCAGTCCTATCAGTGTAGAGGTGAACCAGTCAACCCTGTGCACTTCCTTTTTGGTACGTCAGAGATGTACTCACTAACTTATTAGAAGTACATGGGGGTAACTAGGGTGCCAATCATAGACTGTATATACTATGGACAACATGGCCCCGCCTTCTGTCATTATACGCATCTGAAGCCAAGTTGCTCTCTGTATTTCTGGGATTTTCTCCACTTCCTGAAACCACCACTTGCGCGCTTCCGTTGTACGCATTCGGTGGGAGAATTGCCGAGAGTCACTGTGATGAATCTTCGTACGCCCATAGGCTGTATCAAGTGTCAATCATAGAAAACATGAACCCTCTTATAACTTTTAAAAATGAAAAAAGAGGACTTGAGCACAAACCAGTCTTATAGTAACCACATGTCAACATTGCAACCAGGGGGGAGAAAAATTTATACTCTGTGTAATAAATTTCTAAAGTTTGTCCACAGCTCCATAGGGATTGCTGGAGGAGGCGGGATTTATGACTTATACTGCAGCCCGTCACCAGAGGGTGCTGTTCCCGCAATGGCTTCACCCACTGACAGCAAACAGTCTATGGTGCCGAAAGATCATTTACAAAGCTCTGAGGTCCCAAACAGAGGTGGCTTTTATATTGAAGTCAACCACTTTGCATTCAGGTCATGTGTTAAAGGCTGCTACAAACCTTTTTGCCTTTTAATGGGAACATTTCATTTTGTTAATAAAAATGGCAGCTTTAAGCCAAAGTGTCTTCTTTTTGAGTCCTCTAAGAATTAAGTTGTCGGATATAAATGTGCCGCTCTGTTCAAGACTGTGAAATTTTAGATGATTTTATGTGGTTAATTAGAGATAATCCTCCTGGGTTGGGGTAAGCCCTTTAAGTTTTAGCTCCCCCGGCCACCTTAAGTCTGTGCTAGTCAAAAAAGTCTGTCTCTGCTGCTGTAATAGATTACCTCAGTGCAGCCTATTTGTGCTCAGCTGGAGCGATTTCCAAGCACAGTTTCTGACAACATGATGGTGTGACTGATCGCAGTCTGCTTGGATACAGTTAGATGCCCTGATGCTGAGATAGCACTGACTGTAAATAACAGATATGAGGAGGCCTCTCTCTTTCACTAATCTGTGTCTCACACCTGCAGAGGACAAACTCTGACTAATCCTGATGTCAATGTTTCTTCACTCTGTCAAATGTTGAAATTCAAGTCAGGGTGGGTACAGCTGCATCCAACCAGATGTAAACTATTCCAGACAAAGGCCCCTTATTCATGGCAAAACGAAAGAAAACATACTAATACCGAGCTTCCATCAGATGGCCCTCATTATATAATACTCTGGATTGTGAGAAGAGCGTTAATGCTTATAAGTTTGAACTGCAGCAAGTTTCAAAGGCTATGAATCAAATACTAATGATAGCATTTGGGATGTACAGTAAAGAGATGTGGGGATCACACTGGCGGTGTGAGCAAATGAGCAAACAGAGAGGAACCACACAGCAAGAGAGCGATAAGAAATTCAGGGGAGGAGAAAATGAAAACGGTTCACTCTCAGTTAGAAGGTTCTGGTTCTGGTGTTAGAGCTTGTTAGTGAAACACTGATTCTACCTCATTTGTTTCAGGAAGCTGTTTCTTCTTCTGATTTCACTTTGAGAATCAAATTAAGCAAATAAAATCTGTAACTATTACATCTCCTACTGTAAGATAAAAAAAAGAGCAAGAGCAGCGTCTCAGTGAGAACAAACATCTGTCACTTCGCTCATGACTTTTTGCTCTTCACCTTTCAGTGGAAACATCAAACTGCAGTGAGTTGTGTGTTTATTTTCTGTCTGACATATAGTGTATGAGTGTGTGTTTCTCTGAAGGAGTATAGATCTGCAGTGATCACAGAGAGATGAGAGCTTTATTGAACAGAGGTTTCTGTCATTCTGCACATAGACAAACTCTGATGTGTGTCAGCGATGATCAGCATCTACCTGAAAGTCCTGCTGCAAAAGCAATCAATGTTCAGTTCAAGCACACACTTTTAGTCCTGTGGTTTCAAAACTTTTGCAATGCTGCTGTGGATCTGCCTGCTTACCAACTGATTCAACTACACATCAATCTAACCTTCGTCCATCTCTCGCTTTTGCAGTTATGCCAGGGCTCGACAGTGTGACCGTTTCACTCACATTTGCAACTAAAAATAGATGTGTGCATATTGTAAAATGTATTTAGGGGCACATGTGTGCATAAAAAAAATCAGCTGAGTCAACAAATGTTTTTTCAAGTTAATACCGCGGTGAAGTTAGTTTTAGGTTGGATATTCGACGGACATTCACCGCAGATCAACCGGTGTCTTCTCACTCTCCACAACCGGTAATAGCAACAGCAGCGAGGTTAAACCTACTCGTCGACATCGGTTGTTGAATAAGGGACCATCAATAAATTACTGGTTGATGTTCTCAAAAAAGCTGTTTACCTTTAATAGCTTCCATGTCACATGACCAATTGACCTAAAATTGATTTCAAATAATAGAACTTATGTCGACCAATAAGACACACATTACTTAATCAATTTCCAGTGTGCCCCTAAAGTTCTTTGTGTGCTCCTTTCTTTTTCAACTTAAGAGCACATGTGCTCTAGTGAAAAAAGTTAGTGTCAAGCTCTGTATGCACATGTTTTTTTTTCACCTCTGATATGTATTTAAAGTTTAACGTATTATTGTTGTTAATGTTGTTTTAAATACAGAAACAAAGATGAAAAAAAGGACTGTCTCTGTTCATTTTTTTTATTTTTATTATTCTTATTTTTTTAATGTTTTGCCACATGATCTACTCAATTTAACCCCCTCACCATGGCCAGCAGCACAATGCCTCCAAGACAGGTGAGTGTGGACACCCCCAGCTGCCACGTCACCTCCCCTCCATCATCAGCCTGTTCAGCTCCAGGTCCACTCCTCAACTCTGCAAGGAGAGAGGGAGGATTGAGTCAGAAGAGGATTTAGATTAAAAAAAAAAAAAAAAAAAAAAAAAAGTAAAGAAATAAAGAAAGTGCAAGGCACGGAAACAAGACGGATATAAGGTGGGGTCAAAGAATGATAAAGGAGGGAAATAGATGAGCAGAAAGAAAGGAATGAAGAGGGGCAAAAATAAGAGCATGAGAAAATGTTAGTAAAACAAAAGATAACAAAGGAAAACCAAGACTAAAACAGATGGAAAGTTTGTCCATCTGATATTGAGAGGATTTTCTATCACTGGGGGAAAAGCAGCTTACCATATTTCTTTCTGCTGTAAACAAAAGAAAAAACAAATATTTGGTTAGTTTAGGATTCCTCTGCTGTTTCACATTCAGATTTTTAAGCACCAAATCCTTCAGCTCACAATCTGATATGAAACTAATCACAGCAACATTGGAATTCATTTCCACATCCACACTGAAGCACCAGAAAAGCAATTTATTTTTCCTCTTGCAGCGTGGAGCTTCTTCGTCAAGGAAATGATTTCCTCCCAGCTGATGCAGATACAGAGAAAGCAGGAAAAACAATTAATGCAAAACAAAATCCTCTGAACTGATTTGATTCGCTGCAGCTGTGAGGTTTTATTAACTGCTGCCTCTCCCTCAGGTCAGTCAGAACTGGATGTAACTCCTTTTCCAGCCACTACACATCCACAGACACAAAAGTCCACTTCACACCAAGGGATCTGAGGAGTAGCTAACATGCTGTAAGAGCAAATACAGACATGAATACAAAGATATCAAACAGGGTGTAGATCTTTTAATTACACTTCAGTTCAACGTTTATGTGAAACACACTGTTTTTGTTCTCATCATCAACGGTATGTTTCTTTTTTAAGTTGCCAATTAAAAAAGGAGGAGGAGGAAGAAAGTGGTGTCTTGAGAGAAGATCCAGGTTTCTCCTTGAACATATATTTGGCTCAGTCTGTACTAAGAGCTCCCAGTTATTCTGTGTTCTCACTTCAGAAGCCAGCCTCACTTCAAAGCTCAGACTTAAGGATCCATTTTAGTAAAAAATAATATTTAAAAGAGTATAAGAGAGAACAGTTTAGAGGGTACATTCTGGACACTACTGAGTAATGGCACCATCGCTGTTGCACAGTTAAATGTACAGCTCAAATTCAGCTGGAGATCAGTGATAAATACATTATTGCATTATTTTATCAATAACATGTATTGACAAATACAGATACTTAATACTAATATCTTTAAAACAATAATAAAATCCTTAATTTGTTAAACACATTTAATTGACAGATCTTGTGCAGACTGTCTCCTAGCTGTTATCATGGGGAAGAAACTCCAAAGAAAGTCTTTTGGTTTTTAAAGCTCCTATGAGGAACTTAAGATTTGTGTCAACTTTGGCGCCCTCTGTGGACACAGTGGTGTTTGCTGATTGTCCTATAAAGTATGAGTAGTAAAAAAAAATCTTATCCTGTTATATTTTGGCAGTCAAATGTTACTTTTTGGCTGTGCTGATTTTGGTGCCTCTTCACAGAAGCTCTAATGTGGACAATTCAAAAGCTCCACTGACTTTCACCTCCTCACCTACCCCCTCATACCCTTGCACTAGCTACAGGCATGAAACACTAAAGCATAGACACTGTTAGTCTTGAGAGTCCTGAATATGAGTTTCACAAAAAAATGCCTCACAGGAGCTTTAAAAAAAGTTTAATCTTGTTTTTATTCCGATGTAGTTCACTGTTTGTACTTTATATTTTATCATGTTTTGTAAAATGTTCAACAGTTTAAACACCTGTTTGAAAAAAAAAAGAGCTATTGTCTATTTGCTGTTTTTGTTCAAGCCACAATGCATGATGGGATGTATTGCTTGGTTAGTGCACAGTCCATTTTAAAATACATTGTGGGAAACAATAAGTGCACTATATAGGGTATATCAATTTTCACTCAGAATTCATATAGCACCACCAAATATCGTTTCACTATGTAGTGAGTGCTGAGCAGTTTTTTTTAGATTTTTCCTGCTCTGACTGCTGGATGAAGGTGACAGTGATAAAACACAGACCAGAAAGGATAAATCAAAAGATTTATTTCCCCCCAGGATTACATAACTTCATAAAAGACAAAGTGACAGAACTGTTGTGGTAAAATGAGATGAAAAATCAGCCGTGTCATTTTGAAAAGGCTTTTGAGGTTTCTCCATCTGTTGTTGTGAAAGCAAGAATAAGGTGAACGATACTACTCAAAGGTAAAAACTCACAGTCTTTCCAACCTGTAAGATACAATTTAACCACAAACCCTTTCATAGCAAAACGCCTCTGAGTAAAAAGAAGCAGAAAAATAACAAAAAAATTAAATTACGTTAAATAATCAGGAGATGATGAGGCTGCAGAGGGATGCAGCTCTTTTTCATTTCAGTGGATTCTGACACCGAGAAAAGATAGAGAAAGAAAAGTCTGCTGTCTCTTTTTAGAGACATGAGGGACTTCCTTTCATGCGTGGCAGTGATTTGGTTATCTCTGACAACAAAGATGATTCAAAGAGCTGAGTCTTTATAAACACCAAGAAGTGACAGAATGTCCAACAACAGAGAGAGAGGGAGGGAAACAGTTTGTTTGTCGGTCTACAATTTGTGTTTGTATTCGCTAAGATCAACAGCTCAAACAGCTTCATTCAGGTACAAGTAGAAATGTTTTTCTTGTCTATGGGAGCAAGAGGAAGACAGGACGGCTGACATTTCCATGAGATTCTACGTTGATTTCTAAAAATGGTTGACCATATTGCACTGTCTTGGTCAGAAAACTGTTGATTTATCTACTTTCTGCTGTAGAAACTTTGGTTGAGGAAACGCATGTTGTATAAACAGATAGAGAAACTGTGCGGACAGCATTTTGCACAGCTGCTTTAACCCTAACTGAACCCTGAGATATGAGAGAAGCAGAAATTCAGTGACAAAGCTGTAACACCAGGTGGGATGAGAAACTGCTGGCTGTCTGGCTTCACATCTCCTGAGATCCATCTCCTGCTCTCATCTTTTTCTGTGAGCTGAATCTTCTTTTCAGGAAAAAAAAATACATGTTCAAACTCTAGATATGCATTCATTTGAGGGTTTAAATATGGAGATGGTACCAAAAGCTCTGCACACATTCATCACTGGCAAAGCTTCAGTGTGTAGGAGAAATTTTAAACACTTGAAAGACTGTTTGACCTCACACACATTTATTAAATCACAGACTCCTAAAATAAACATGGTTAGAGCAAAACAAACTGAGGATGCTGTTCCTCCACTATACCAGTGAACAGCACACCTAAAATTAGCTGAATGCTACAGTTTAAAGATAGACGGAACAAACTGGCAGTGCTGTTACAGACCTGGAAAAGGACGTGAGTGGGTTAAAGAGGCAAAAGCAAAAAACAGATGAGAGAACACACCAATATTTTTAATTCACAGAAAAGGTGCAACTTTTGGGAACTACTATGCCATTACAATGATGTTTGGACACTGTGTGAAATGTGAATAAAACCTAGACTAAAACAGACCTTTCCACTTTGGGTCAGTCCATCTCAGATGAGCCTGGGTTTAGAGAAACATGCATTGTTTTTGGCTGTTGTTGATGTTGATTTTTTAAACTTGCACTTGTAGATGTAGAGATTATGGCAATGGTTGTATCCTTTACAGAGTGATGAGGATTTTTAATGCAGTGCTGCCTGAGAGATCTAAGGTCATAATCACTTAGTGTCGGTTTTCAACCTTGCTGATTACCTGCAGAGATTTCTCTGTTTTTTGAATCTTTTAATGACATTATTGACTGTAGATATGGAAATCATTTAGCTCCCGCACCTGTACATTGAGAAACATTGGTCTTAAACTGTTGGACGATTCAAAAAGTGGTGAACCTGGCCCTATCCTTGCCTGTGCCTTAAATTGTACAGTAAATCCCTCCGAGGTACAGAGAAGCAGAGGCATGTAGGCGAAAATTGAAATAAGACATCAATATTTTAGGAGGAAAAACTAAGCTTAAGTCTATAAATGTACAATCTTATTATCAATACTGGTGATTCTGGAAAAGTGTCCATTCAATACAAATGTAAATATAGAAAATAAGGTGTTGAAAGGGTAAACAGCTGCCCCAGTATAGTGCCAGTACAAAAGCAGAACTAAACACTAAAAAATGAATAAATGAATACGTGACTGACAGTGTGTTCATCTCTGTTCTCACCCAAAGTCATGCAACACTCAGAGAAAACGCTGATAGTGTGAGCCACAGCACTCCATATGAAGAGGTTGTTCACACTGCTGGATGTTTCTCCTCTGAAGCTGCTCTTTGCCTCCGTCTTTGTTTACTTCACTCATGAAGCTCATCAAGCACGTAGCAAGATCCGAGCATGAACCCGAGCGCTTTATTCGCCTATCAAAGGCAGACGGGTACGGTGATTTCATTCACCGCGACTCCAGAAATGATTAAAAAACTACAAAATGACGTATCCGCGCTCCCGCTGATATGCTGACATGCGTACACAGAGCAGAGCTGTCCCCCCGCGACTCTCTCCCCGCCTCGTCTCCTACAGTCTGTCAGCCTCTGTGCAGCACCTTCGGAGCAAGCAGGGGCGCCTACAGCAGCGGGGGGGCGCCAATTTGACAACAAGAGTTAATACAAAACCGCTTTGCGGTTAAGATTTATTATTATTATCTTTTATTTTATTTTTTTGGAAGTGCTCGTGCCGCCCCCCATGAGTCATGACACAAATGCCGCCCCGGGCGGCTGCCCTGTTCGCCCGTGCCTAGAACCGCTACTGGTCACAATCACTTAGTGTCGGTTTTCAACCTTGCTGATTACCTGCAGAGATTTCTCTGTTTCTCTGAATCTTTTAATGACATTATTGACTGTAGATGATGAAATCACTTAACTCCCGCACTTGTACATTGAGAAACATTGGTCTTAAACTGTTGGACTATTTAAAAAGTGGTGAACCTGGCTCTATCCTTGCTTGTGCCTTAAATGTGACAGTAATTCCCTCTGAGATAAAGAGAAGCAGAGGCATGTAGGCAAAAATTAAAATAATACATCAAAATTTTAGGAGGAAAAACTAAGCTTAAGTCTATAAATGTACAATCTTATTATCAATACTGGTGATTCTGGAAAATATTTGTTTCCTTTTTTAATTTTTTTTTTTTTTAAATATGAACGGACCATTTCAGACCTGTGGGGATTTGGGGAGGTAAACACAAAAAACATGACTGTGTAGCAGCCATAGTTTGAAGTAGTTTAGAGTACGTAGTAAGATTTAGTCACAAAGTTTCAGTTATATAGTAAAAGACCATAATAAAGCTGTGTGATACACATTTCAGCAATAATACAAAGACTTTAATACGATTCTTGTCTGTATTTCATATACACTCATAAAACACTTTGGTCTCAAGTCCTAACCTTGTGCTGTCTGCTGGGAGGGAGGGGGTTTGATTGAGAGGAATGAGCGTATTTCTGGAGCCATAAATATCGAAACATAACAGACAGCTCATGAAAGAGATCATAAATGAAACCACATCAGGAGGCAGATGAAACTTAAAAGAACATATTTATGTTTGCAGGAGATTTCCCCCAGGATCTATCAAACCCTCTACGCCAGCCCTGTCCCTTCTACATTAGTCTGTGTTAACCGGAAAAGAGGAGGTAAAAATGGTTAAAATATCGCTCCTCTCAGCTGTTGTCTGGTTTTGTTTTTTTCCTTCTTGTTCTGAAATGACACCATCCATCATTTTATTTTTTATTTTTTTCTATGTAGCTGAACTGCCTACTGGTCTATTTTTTCCTCAATGCCATTTTTTTTAAATTGCTCTCAAACAGTGTGTGAAATGAGAGGATTCAGACTTTCTCCATATAACAGATGTGGCTCCATCATCAGCAACAGTGCCTCTAAATCACAGCAAAAGCCAATCAGAGTCTAAAACAGCTGTGAAGACACCGACATGTAACTGCAGATAAAACAACTTCACTGTAAATGTGTGGTTCTGTAGGACCATGTTCTGAAACCATACCTGGCCCATTTATTTAGTGATTTCATTTGGACTTTCAAAATCTTGAGGGATCCTCAGGATGTCAACGGTGTGTGTCCATGTGTGGGACATCTGATCCACCGTTCAGCTGACATCTCTGAGCCAAACCAATCCCAACCACCTGTAGCCTGGACCTTCTGCTGACCTGCTCCAAGTGCTGATTGACAACCACTCAGTGCCTCCACCATCACCTTTAGTCTTTTATGCACCGAACTCCTCTCAGCAACCAGATTTTAATAATTATCCATAATCAACCAGACCAGTCTTTGTAAAAACTGTAATTTGTCATCCTCCTATTATTTTCTGTGTTCTGTCAGGGTGTTAGTAGAGCTTTCCAGAGGACTCTGCTGCTCATCCTCTTATCCTGGACAATAAGATCAACATGGTGTGACTGATCCTCCCTCAGAGTGAAAACTCTCCACCAGAAATGACTCTTTTTATTCTTCTTGTGTTACTCACACACACCGTATGGGATTAGATTAAGTTGTCTGTGTCATTATTTTCCTCTCTGCCTTCGCTGTTTGGCCTCATGGTTTAGAATTTGTGATCAGCAGCTCGAGAGGTATCTGTTTGATCATACAAAGGGCTTTCTTCTTCTCTTCCAGCGCTGTTTTTCTTTTCTTTTTTGTCTCAGTTAGAGTCCATCCTTTAAAACACCACAGTGTCAAGGGAATAGCATCAACTTGCCTTATCACTGCTTTCTTTCTTATTTAATTCTTATTCCTCTTCTGGCCTCATGCCTCATTGGGACTTTAATAGGTGAAAAAAAAGTGATGTACAGCTTTTTTTCTTAAAAGAAGGTATCTGCTAAGAGTCCATCCATCACTTATTTTCCATTAAGATTGGGAATCAGTCATAAACTAGAAATAAAAATGTTATTTTTTGCTTTTATTGGGTAGGGTGACCATATTCTGAATCCCCCAAAAGAGGACATGACTACATGGGGCGGAGTCATGGAGTTGTGTGTAGTTAATTTTGAGAGTTTTCCGGGTTTGATTGAGTGTTTTTTTACACGCTTCTAACTCAGCAAGTCCACATGACACAAACTCAAAACTTCCATACAAAACCCCAGAAATTTCAAGGATTTTATAAACAAGGCCAGACAGAAGGTGTCCGGGTACAAGAGGACGTATGGTCACTCTATCAATGGGGGTCTTGCCATTTTTCATTAATTCTGCATCAGCATCAAAGTTGCTTCTCTAGTGAACCTTCCAGAGGTTGTGACGGTGAAACACTGATTGCCACTTGAGGCGACAACCATGAGAGAATCTTGAAGCCAATGAGATGCAGATCCCTGGGCCACTAACATCACAGTGTGATCGTCATCGTTAAAAGTTGGGAAACGAAGTGAAATCTTGACAGCAGTTTGAAAATGTTTTCTCCTGTTTGTTTGTTACCTGGATGTTCGATAGTCTAAGCTGTAATTCAGTTTTAACTGGAGCTCTAAATGCCCAAAAGGATTCAATATGCATTAATACTGTTTTCTATCGAGACACAAGACCTTTTTTTTTCTAATGTTTTGACTGCAAACTTCCCGCAGTCTTCCTCAGAAGAGTCATGTGATGTTGTGACATCTGTCAGCCAATTTATAGAGTTGCAGTCATCCTACCTGAAGCGACAGAATGGCCATGCCCCCAGCTATCCGAAAGTCTATGTGACATAATGCAGGCCCCCTTATCCCGGTTGACCTTCCTCATGGACCGGGAAAAGGCGAAGGCCATCCACTCAGAGAGCAACAGACACCAACACTAAAATAAAAAAACACACCAGTCTAGACAAAATAAATATCAGTGTAGAGTCCTGATCCTCTGAGATAAATCTAAAGAGATGCTGTGTGCAAGTGTTCAATATTCACCATCACAATCAAAGCTCCGCTACACTGGAGTACACAGAGTGGGGGGTATTTTGAAAAAGTATGATTGGGAAAATGACAACACAGTGATGAGTGTTAATAAATCACTGCTATCTTAATGCTAATGTAATAAGCCCTCAGGCTTTAATGTAAATGAAGTGACTGTGGGGAGCAGAGCTCTGATGAACTCGTATTTTCATAAGTATTGACTGACAGTGTTTGTGCTCTTGTGAAATCAATTAAATTTAATTGATCTTTACACAGTATTTATTTTTAGATGATGTAAAAAAGGGTTTAAAAAAGAGAAAAGTAAACCATGCACAGGGTTTTCCTCACTGTCCATGTAATTTAACTCCATTAAGCTCTCCATCTAAATAGTTCACAAGGTAAAATTGGACCTAAGGACTTAAGTTTGGGTGGAAAACAAATATAAAGACTCAAATGGCTTCAGCTTGACTTTTTCTCTTAAAAAAAATTGTGGTATAGGTCTTTTTTAACATTCTCCATTGGCTTTCACACTGGGCAGCTGTAGCTCTAAAATGTCAGACAGTCATGGTTATTTTCACAGGACTTAACATGCATCTTTTCATGTTTATAGGCTCTGCAGGAGCATGATGCCATGAAATTTCCTCCGTGAATGATTTTAGGCCACAAATCTCCCACTCTGTCTGTATCTCCCTCTCAGACACAGCATGAATATGCCGAAACACACACACACACACACACACACACACACACACACACACACACACACACACACACACACACACACACACACACACCGCTCTCACACTCTCCTTTGTGGTTCAGTTTATTGGATCTGTGTTTGTGGACAAGGTTAATAAGAATGCTGACCCCTCCATGACCCCTCACTGGACTGAACCCTTATTTCTGCTCCCTCGTCTCATTAATCTGTGGAGTAAACAGAGCCCCCTCCTCCTCCTCCTCCTCTTCCTCCTCCTCCTCAGCTCTAGTGTGAGAGAGATGTGTTGGGAGAGAAAGATGTGCAGGCTCTCATTTTGACATCTTTTACATTTCATTCCATCTGCAGCTGAGCGGGTTAGCAAACAACTTCCTGAGGTGTTAGTCTTGTTGTGTGTTTGCGCTTCTCACCTACCCAGACGAGCACACAGAAAGGACTGGTCTCTGTATACCAGTCAGACTGGTATTATAGGTGGTGATGAATCTTTTAAAGTTACAGTGAGGAAATTGCTGCTGCAATTACATAAAGACAGGAATCATGCAGAAAGATGTTCTCTGTGTTTTATTCTTTATAACAGTTTTCAGTGTTTCTTGTTTTATTTTGTAGTAGTTGACTTCTTGTGTTTCTAGTCTGGTTTTACTTCCCAAGTTTTCCCTCCTTGATTAATTACCCATGAGTTCCACCTGTGTCTCGTTTGCCTCACCTGTTGCTCGTTTCCCAGTCTGTATATGGTCCCTGTCTTACCCTCTGTTCTGGTTGGTTCATTGTATGTCGATTTGTGGGTGTATGAATGTGAATCCTTTGTCTTCTTGTGTTTTTTTCCCCTGTGTCTTTCGCTGGATTTTGCCTTTTAGATTTTTTTTTTGGTTGGAATTGTTAAAGTAAGTTTTTGTTGCTTTTCATGTAGTCATTGTTATATAAATATTGTTTTGTCTGCATTTTGGGTCCTTTCCCTTTTGTTTTTACTCTGGCACGTGACAGTTGTGCCCTCATCATTCTTTTCCTTTGTATGATTAGCTGAAACTTTAAGCACAAAAGTAAAATAAAGACAGGAGGCTGGGTTTAAGGTGGACTTGAGTCATGGCTAAGGGAATTAGGTATCAATGAAAAGAAGGTAACTCTGAACATTGACCTGGTCCTGACCAGCTTATGAGTCAACTATAAGTCATCATCGGTGATTCAGCCAGGTCAGAGGAAAGCCATGAGATGAAAAGTTCTAGGTTTGGCCTAACAGACCCAGTTCGCGCTCCAATTTTACCCTGTTAACTGGATTCCTGAAAGGTTTTTAAACCACAAAAAAGAAGAGATACAAACCTTTGAAATTTGACAAAAAAAAAAGCAGAGGTTTTTTGAAGATCAATATTTGTAAACGGCATGTAATTTGATCAACTTTGAAGCAATTTTTTCAGTGAACGCCTTGGTGCTGGAAATCATTTCACTAGTTTCGGCAGAACCTGAACATTAACCTGAAAGTTAACCTCAAAGAGAGCTTCGAATGTTCACAGGGACCAATGATTCAGAGGTTGATTTACTAGAAGATGAAGTGGATCAGAGGGTCTGAGCTCGGGGTCCTGAGGCCAAACAGACCTGCTTTATAAAGACCAGCAGGGTCCACAGCCAATCTCCAACTCCCATGGGCAACTGTCCATCAGCACTGCCATTGGTTTCATATTGAAGTCTGATGGAGGGATGACTGAGCTCTGGTTAGAGGAGGTGGGACTCAATAAGTTTGACCCCTTAATATATTGTGCAATAAGTCCCGAGCCATGGGATACCATTTTGGAAGAGGAGCCGATCAAAACATTAGACTGACATAACAGGAAATCCAAGAAGTCACCCTCTCATTAGTTCTCAGCTGACCTCATGTAGAAGCAGAAACAGAAACAACAGATTCACAGTCCCAGAGGGATCAATCAGGGATAGTTCGTCTTTACTTCAGACTCATTCAGTGCGGGTCAAGGATATATTGTAATTCGTAGAAAAAAAAAAAAATATTACTGGACTTGTTAGGGGAAAAGACAGAGCACAACTCTAAGGAGGAGGAGGACGGGCCTTACATCAATCCTGTGAGATTAAATTAATCAAAGCTCATTAAAAGCATCATATTCATTTTTATTTTCATTGAAGATGACAGGATCGAGGGAATACATAAGTGCCAGGATATTCTGAATGGATCCTGAGTGATGGTAAAAAGTTAGAGAAGGTCAAGCAATATTTAGAGCTAATACACCCCTCATGCACATTAGATTAAGTATGATCAATAATGTCGATCCGTCTTGGGTGACGTCAGTGTCCCGACTGTCATTAGAGCTGATTTTAATTAAAGAAGAAGAAACACATGATAAACACAAAAAAGGCGACATCTAATGTCTTAGAGAGATTGAATCCATGTACATTTCAAACTAAATTGTATGTTTCCTGGTGCCCACTGGAGAAAAGAGCAGTTTCACAAACATATAAATGAGACCTCCTGGGTTTACCTCCACTTCTCTTCATCATTTTACTTTGAAAGGACCACTTACACACTGAAGTATACAAGAAAAACATGCCCACAAATCTTCACTTCAAATCTCCCCTCACTTTGTTTTTTTTTTTTTTCTTACCTGCATGCACACACACACTATCAATCTCTCCATTCTGTGTGCTAAAGTGCTGTTTGAATCACTTTTAATTAAAGAGATTACAACACTGAACTAATCAAAAGTGCTATGTTATCCGGGTCCAAACCAATGCTAGTCACTCTTGTAATTTACCACTTAATCAAACCCACATAAAAAAGTGCAGATGTGCACAAACACATGCACTCAGCAGGCGGGTAATTAACATCCCCACATCTTGCAGATGCATGGGCAGCTCCTTTATTGAAATCAGGTTTCGATGGAAGGACCTTTGATTTAACTTCAGGTTGTAATTGCAGTTATCTGCATTTACAACCCCTGGTTGGTCCTGATCTGCCTGACCTCTTATTGTGTGTTCAAAACATGTAAAGTGTGAACCAAGGTAAAATACAGATGTGTTTCAGTTCTGGGAGCCAAACTATGAAATGAACTTAATAATGAAATAACATTGTGTAGCTCCATGATGAATTTCAAAAAAGCTTTAAAATTTAAAATAATTAAGCACTATAATTCTGAGTAATAGTTCTTTTGTTGTGTTTTTGTTTTGTATTTTATTTTATTTTTTTTAATTTATTTATTTTTTCTGTTTGCTGATATTCTGGGATATCCTATAGTTTGTTTAGGAGAGGTATAAATAAGCCTTTGGGATTTAGCCTGCTCCTTTTTTGGTTAAATGATTGTGTGGAGGATATTGTGTGAAATCAGAGAGAACATGTATGATATATGGTTTTGTATTTTGTTTTTGGTAGTTTTAAATTCACATTAATTGTAATGCTTTGTCATCAAAACGCAATGTATAACCAAAATAAATTAAATCTATTAATTTACTGTCTGTTTCAGTTCAGCTTGGTGCGATCAGACTGAACAACATGGGGGGCCTCAATCCTTGCATGAAGTCAAACTGATTTATAGACACATATTTTTTAAAGCTAAACAATGTACATTTGCATGGGCTGACAGTCCAAATGTCACTGCTAAATGAACAGTGATTATTTATTCATATCTATTCTCATGTATGCTTAACCAGCAGCACACTAATTTAATATAAACACGTAATCTTTGTATTCACAGCAGGCTGGCGCTATTCTCAGAGGAACAAGTGCATAAGTGAATGACAAATATCTGCTCTTTCTAAATGACAGGATTTCCTCATAATAACTGTGCTGGATCTCATATGATAGGTGGGAGAAGCTGTCAAGGAGACAGGGCGGAGAAGTGATGAGAGAAGATTACACTTCCTACAAGGCCTCAGGTTATTATTACCATATCATGAGAGCAATCAATCAAATAGGGTTAAAATGTGCACAGTTTCAGGGACACTCCAACACGTAATATGAGGTTGTGAATAAGGCACAGCTTCCATATGAGGCTCGGAGCAAGGTTTTCACACACCTGGGACCTTAGATGACATACACCTGATTGAACATAATCTGCATGATAGAGCTGCTCATGCATGATTTAAGCTGTGGACCTCAGCCTGCCTAATAAAATCTGTTTTTTATTCAGCATATGGGCGACTAAATGGGCATACATTTTAGTGCATCTGTAAAGATATCGAAACTAATGAGCCACATTTAATTTGTTCTGCATTTATATCATTGTATAGAGGGGCAAGTTTATTAATTAACTTACTTATTTGATTAGGACAGTGTAAATTAATCACCATTTCTGCAATACACGTCAATGTAAATATGCCAGTGAGGGTACCAGGTGTGTTCAGGCTGCCAGATCTGCTCGAGGCCCAGCATCTGTTGAAGACGTCACACCATGGCAAGTCCACTCAAGCAAACTACATTGCGATCAATTAAAAAAGTTAAATGAGATGGGTTAAAAGCCCCTCATGAAGTCATCATTGATCCGTGATCCGTTCGGATCGACGTATTCGGTTCGGCACACATGTGATCCGCGGATCGATTTCTGAAAGCGGAGAAAGGAGGAGCTCGAACGCCCCGCGACACTTAAATCCCCTGTATGGGAGCATTTTGGCTTCCCTGTCAATTATGATGAAGAAGGAAAGAGGTCAGTGTACAAAACTGCGACGGAGTGTAGGCACTGTGGCATAAGAAAGCCATATGACAGTGGAAACACATCGAGCATGTTCACGCATTTGAAGCGACATCACCCGGGTGTTTTACTGACAGGTGTTGTGCCGTAGATTGCACCCCTGCCGTAGAACGCACCCCCTGCATCCCCTCCACCCGTTAGCTTCTTAAAGTGGAGATAATGATCTCATATTTGATATGAATAGCCTGAATGAAATTATTAAAGGCAAACGCTGTTGAATACATCCAACGTAAGGAAAACTTGTATTATTTCGCCTTGTTATGCACTTTCAACCGCGCTCCCGTTAGGGGGTGCACTATACGGCAGGGGTGCATTCTTTGGCATAACACCTGAGATAAAACGAAAGCTGCCCAACAACCGCTCATCACCGCAGCATTTAAGCAGCCTCTTCCTGCGCAATCCGACCAGGCTAAAGCTTTCACAAACTCTATCGGTGTGTTTATAGCTGCAGACATGAGGCCGTATTCAGTTGTGCAAAACGAGGGCTTTAAAAACATGCTGAAAGTGCTTGAGCCACGTTACGACATCCCATCGCGCACACACTTCATTTTTGGTTCATTGTTACATTTTAAAGGAAGGAGATATGCCTGTATATTGTACTTTAAGTTGTTTGTCATTAATAATTATGTTAAAAAGAAGATATTATGCCCTGTGCACTACTTTTATATATTTTATTTGTCTTGTTTTTTTTTCTTTTTGCTGATCCGAAAAATGATCCGATCCGTGACTCTTGATCCGAGGAACGATCCGATCCGTGAGTTTTGTGATCCGTTGCACCACTAGTTAAAAGCCCCTCATGAAGTCTCTGTTTGTCAAAGATACCCCCCTTCCTCTTCTTCCTCCTCCTCGTGCGTCTGGACGCTGAGTGCGGTCCGTCAACCCAACGGATTTCTCAATGCGTCAATACTAAGAAATTACACTTACATTTTAAACAAGGTGTTCTTTTTGTGTATGTATAAGTAATAGAATATCTGAAAACCAAAAAATAGAAACCATTACTGGTTAAAAGTCAGTAACCACAGTCTTTTCTAGGAGTCCCTGAGCTCCCTCGTCTCGTAGGTTCCTCTGGATCACTGCTAGAGACAACCAACCTGTTTCACAGCTGCTTCCACTGCAAGCATCAGTCCCTCCATTTTTTATCACTTTTACAAAGCTCATGTTAATTTATTAGCATCAGTCCCCTGCAAGATAACAAATGTCTCCACAGCTGCAATAAGTGCAAACATGATGAAACTAGCTGTGAGGCAAATGCTGCTGGTTTAATTATAATTCAATTCTCCTGCTGTCGTCTTGTGCTGTCACTTAGATAGTGTTGCCTGAGGAACATGTGGATATGGGTTTGCATCATGTTGTGAGTGTTGTCAGTCTGTCATTGTGTAGGTGTTGTGTGCCTGTCTTGTCAGTCTTTTAGAATAAGCCCAGCTCCCTGTCTCCCTTTCACAGCAGGAGTCGTCTCAGCAGCGGCTCACAAACTCAATGTGATGACATGTTTCATGATCCTGAAGACTTTGATTGGAAAAAGATGCTGGAGGCTTCTGTGTGATTACATGTTTGTTTGTTTTTGTGTTTCCGTGTGAGTGTCAGAGACCACACAGGTCTGAATTGAGCAGCAATTTTTGTTTTTTTTACAGCCCAGTTTAAGTCTGACTTAAAGATGGTATCAATGGCACAATGGCATCACAGCAGTGTTTTTGTTTTCTCCTTTTCAAGCAGCTGAGAGCAGGAGCTAAAAAGATGTTTGGTGGCTAGTGCTGTGGCTGGGACCCTATATGTCCTGTTGATGAAGTTAGGTGCTGTTCTGGGCATAATTTATGGCTATAGAGTGGCTTTTTGGTTGAGGTTTGCGTGTGGAGACATAGACCGCTGTGTTTTGCTATTGTGTGGTCATTACTAAAGTTGGTATAACCAGAGAAGGAAGCAGTCGGCAACATTTACCTCTTGACGGGGTGTCTAACTCGGTGTTATGGTGTGTTTGACCCTAATTTATTTTAAGCCGGAATATCCCTTTAATACACAAAAGTCTCATACAGTGTTGTATTGAACTACAAACAGCCTAAGGAATCAATTGTACTGTCCAATTAGCACAGCATGTGATGTAGTGTTTACGGACAGAAATGTGAACAGTGACAGCTGTCTGGAGTGAAAACCAACTCTCTCACCAATAAACTGTATGTGCTGTTACTTGTTCCTGTTTTACTAAAAATTCTCTTACGTGTTTTAAGTGACTGCTACAGTGGATCACAGCTGCAGCAGGTGTCATTTTAGTAGTCCATGTGCCATCATCTTGAACAAACAGTGTGATTGGGTCAGCACGTCAGCTACTCATAAGAGTGACTGGTTCCAGACCCACATGCCAACAAAATGAATAGGAGCCTGGCTGATAGCATAATAGTCATAATTATATACTTCACCTGTCATAGTGCTTTAGTTTTGAATAGTCAGTGCAAATTTCAAATTGAGAGCCTCTGGCAGTGAATTTTCTCATCAAGAGTCAGATGCCTCTCCCCACAAAGAGCAACCAATCGCATAGTCTGAAAGCTCACCTCACGAAGCAAACATTGCTGGTGTTATAACTGACCTTGCATAGATAACTTATTAATGCACATTGGGTCCATTTTAATGCCCATTCAGTAACTGAAAAAACCTTTTCCAACTGTTTGACCTCACCAAAGAGTTTGTTTCAGACCCAAAGGTCCCTTTATAATGCTTTCGTTCACATATGGACTCCAGTACATTTTATATGTAAGATATGGAAATATAGAAATGCATGGCATTAACAGTTTTTTTTTTATTATCATTATTATCCAAATGCTTCTGAATGAAAGGATATAATACCCTCACAACATGCATAACCTTGATTTGGCAGTCTTGCATAATTCAGTGTGTTTCCTCCTAACCAGAGTAGTGAAAGAAATTTATATACCACATCATCCATCACTCTCATCACCTGACACCCAGGAGGAAATAACAGCCTATAGTCAAGGTGTCACTTTGTTTGCAGCTGATTTATTTGAAAATGCAATGATTTATGTGTCAATTTGAGTGTTAAAAATGATTGACTGTAGCTCTTCCACATCCTTCAACAGTGGTGGGTGATGATCCTGTGGCCTTCGCTTCTGACATCCCAGCTCACTGTCCGCACAGCAAGGTGTCTGGACATAGCAGCTTCAGCTTCACTCTGAAACAGGAAAAACAAGTGAGAAGAAGAAACATTTATCATTAATAATAATAATAATAATAATAATAATGATAATAATAATAATAATAATAATAATAATAATAATAATAATAATAATAATAATAATAATACATTTTATTTGCAAAGTGCGTTTCACAAACACAAAGACGCTGTACATGAATAAAAGCAAGAGCAGTAAAACATACAACAATATACAATAAAAAATACATCAATATCAAATAAAATCAAGTAAAATCAGGTAAAATCCACAGGGTGGGTTATGGAGGATAAAAGGCAGTGCGGAAAAGGTGGGTTTTGAGCTGGGTCTTGAATCTGGTAATTTCGGTGCAGTTTCTGAGGTCAAGTGGGAGTGAGTTCCAGAGGGTGGGGGTGGCGACTGAGAAGGCTCTGTCCCCCCAGGTTCAGTGCTTGGTCCGGGGAACTGTGAGGAGGTTGGGGGGGGTGGATGAGATGAAAGTCTGTGACTGTGGAGGTGAGGAATTTTGGGCCAATCATGAGGGGATCTGTTTTGTCGTAGTTGAGCTTGAGAAGGTTGCTGTCTATCCAGTGTTTGATATCAGAGGCAGTTTGAGAGGGAGCGTTGGGTCTGGGGGGTGATGGAGGTGGAAGAGATTTATAATTGAATGTCATCAGCATACCAGATGATGATTTTATTTTTTCATCTGATCAGCTCTAAATTAGGTTCCTGCAGCTTCAGTGAGACACCTTATTCTCTCTCAGACACTCACACAAACATCAAAGTGAATCGAAAGTGTTCAAAGAGTGAGACTAAAATATTGGTATTTTAATACACCAGTCAGAAATGTAAGGTATTTTTTAATCTAAAAATCACATAAGCTATTAGAGAGGTATCAAAAAGTATATAGAGTGAAAAGCATATTCCCCCTTTCTCTCAGAATAGGTACTTTTTTCACAGTCAAATCATGTTTTCAGGTTTTAAACTTTTTTTTTTCTTTTTTCTTTTCCTTCAAAACATTTTCTTTTATTTTTAGATTGTATTTTTCCATGTCAAACTTTAGGATTGTGTAGTATTGTGAGTGACAGCACCACAAAGAAAGCTCAGGGCCTTTTCTTATTATGTTTCCTTCAGGAAAAGTGGGCACTTTGAAAGATATGACTCAACAGACCACTGACAAAGACCACAGAGGGCTTCACGGTTTTAGTAATAAAAAAGGAAAAACGTCAGTGTACTGGGGCTTACAGCTAAAGAGGGTTATTGCTGCTATTCATACCATCAAAACTGTATTCAAATATAACACACTGACTCACTGGTGGTTCAGTCACAAAAGTATCACCAGTGTCTGAGGGTGATATACTTTCATTACTGGGAGAAGTATAGGGTAATTTATTTGTATTCAATAGCATTGTGTCAGCAATGATGGTAGTTTATTATGTTGCAGACCACTATTAGGCAACTGAACGAGTATTTGAGCAGTTGTTTTTTTCTTGCATAAGCACCAGAGTAATGGGGAAGTCGTCTTCTGCAAAGTCATGTTTGCACCCTAGAGAAATTTATACTTCTGAGTATAAATTTCTTGAGAGTCAGCACTTCTGACCACCTAATCCAACCTGCATGAACTTTTAATAGAAAATTCGGCTAGAAAATAAAAAAGGTACAGGGAGAAAATGGATGCCTATTCTGCCATAAAAGAATAATAGTCACTTATTAATTACACACACCCACTACACCCCGTGTATCTGATATAAGGTGCTGGCAGAGAGTGAGCTGCTGGAGATAAATGAAAATAAGATCAATTACTCTGATATCAGCTCAGGAACAAAGAAAACCCCTTCAGCTCAGACATCACAGGAACATTTCTCTAAAGGCAGAACCAGATGGAAAAATCCTGTTACACAAAAGACACACAAACAGGCTCCGAAGTTTCATTTACTGACCCAATTAAAAACTTTAAAGCCACTGAAAAAGAAAACTCCAGAGATTAACATAGGTGTTTGTTTTTTTTCTGATAAATCAAGGACACACAATAACTCATGTCTGAACATGTTTTCTCAGTTAATTTTTCATATATTCATTTATTCTAATTCAGTTACTGCCCGGAGGGGAAACTGGTCAAATCACGCTGAGCTTGTTTAGTTGTCTGTTGTCCTTTAATTCTCAAACACCTGAAGCTAAATCCAGTTATTGAATGACACAAGCTGTTTTCTTTTCCCCCCTCTCTATCTCTCTTATTGGAAAAACAAACAAAAAAATCTCTCCATCACCTGGAGTAAATTTAATGAGATAGCTACTGACAGATAAAACAGCTGGAAGCTGTTTGGATAAATAGAGAAGGTGAAACTGGAGCCGCTCTGAGTCGGTTAACAGAGGAATAGTTGTGTGTGGAGTGTTTTTCAAGGCCGAGACAGACAAAGAAATAAAGAGAGCGTTAAGTCAAGTAATGACTTTGATGATGTTCTTCTCATTATCAGACCAAGGTGAAAGTGCTGGTGTGCATCAATGCAGCAAACCAAGAACAAAATGAACTCAATCAGATAAAAATCAAATAGACACGCAAAGCTCATTTCCGCCTGATGGTTCAGCGGTGTGTCTCATTACTTCACACTTTGGTCTTCTTTACTTATCTTTTTTTTGTTTCCTTTCAGATATTCTGCCTCTCTCATTGGATCTACATGTGGCTACACTACAGTTGTTGATCTTGTCAAAGACGCAGTTGTCCTGTTAGTATAGCAGCTGAGGAAGCAACAGAGCCGAATCAAATGTTTCCATGTAGTCAGAGTGAAATCACATGATGGAGCAGTAATATGACAGGATAGCTCAGTTAGGTTTGAAAAACAAACAAACAAACAAAAAGTTATTGAGGTATTTTATCAAAATTTTGATAACTCATTTTAGAGATAGTGTTAACTATGACAGTGAATCCTAACAATGACCTTTAAAACCACAATACACAATCACATACAACACTCATTGTTTCATAATGAAACTGTTTCACCAAGAATCACCAATCACAGCCACAACCACACTAATCATCAATAATAATGATAATTTAATTTATATAGAACCTTCAAAAACAAGGGTTTAAGGACCCACAGTAACAATAAAACAAAACACAAGACGTAAACATAAGAGTCGAAGCAGCAAAAAAACTAAAACAACATGAACTGGGACCAAGTGGTTAGTTTTTTAGAGTAAAAAAGGAAAGAGATGGAGACAAAGAAAAACGTAAAATGAAATTAATTTTGAGTTGACGACCAAAAAGGTAAAAGGTAATAAAAAGCAATAAAAGCAAAGTCAGGATGATATCACATAAAAGCAAGTCTATTAAAGTGGGTTCTAAGAAGAGACTCAATTCACTGGTAAAAGTTTGATAACTTGTTAAGAAAGTCTGTCGATGTCCATTGCCCATTTCCTCTCCTGCCCCGTCCTCAATATTAACAAGTAATAAGCCGATCCTTCCAGATCATTAAAGACAGGAAACTGTCTTTAGAGTAATAAGAATGAAAGTCACCCAAGATTTATTTTAGTCACTATCTACCAAAATATGAACAGAGCAATATTACAAGAGCAGCAGCTGCTGTCTGAATATTAATAGTCAGCAGGTGAACAAAAAGTTACCTTGGTATTGTGAATGATGACCTCGTGCAAGCTCTTTGAAGTAGCCTGAATGGTACAGAATAATTATGGGCTGACCAAACTCTAACTCCTGGTGCTGCTTCAGTGTGTTTCTGTGTGCCGAGGACAAAAATGAAATACGTTCTCTCTTTTAACGTTATTAAAATGAGAATAACGTTCTCTCCGTTATTTTTATTTTAACCTTGCTCCTTGTCCAAAAAGCCTTTCCCAATCAAACGTAGGCCCACTGTTTGGCTGTGGGAGAAATTTACTGTCAAAAGAAACGACTCAAATCCTGAGCAGATTACTTGTAACCTCCCTGAACAAGTGCAGCCGTATGATACTGTCACTGTCAACCAGCCCCTGACAGCCTTACAACCAGCCTATCCCACCAGGAACTGCCCCTGTTTTCCTGATTACCCACTCTGGGCCTGATGACAGACGAAGAGCAATGATACAGACAGGGGCTCAGAGGAATGAATTCCTGTCCAAATCAGAAAAGCCATGAGCTTGTGCCAAGGAAGAAACTTTAATTTAAAACCTGGGGAGGGTCTTAGTGGTAAAAAGTTGTTATTTTGCTGGATGCATTTTTATCTCAGTTCTTTCATGACTTTTTAAAGTTTTGTAACACTTTATAATACGGCCTGGTAATACTGGGGTAGTACCGGGGTAATTGCAGGGTAGTACCAGGGTAGTTGCATGGTAATACTGGGGTAGTACAGAGATAATTGCAGGGTAGTTACGGGGTAGTTGCATGGTAGTACCAGGGTAATGCCGGGGTAACTACAGGGTAATACTGGGGTACTACCGTGGTAACTGCAGGGTAGTACTGGGGTAGTTGCATGGTTATACCGAGGTAGTACTGGGGTAACTGCAAGATAATACCAGGGTAGTACCGGGGTAACTGCAGGGTAGTACTGGATTAGTATGGTAACCTGCAGTTACCCTGGTACTACCATGGTATTACCCTGCAGTTACCACGGTACATCCCAGGTATTACAGGGCCCTATTATAAAGTGTTACCTAAAGTTCTACTGTATGAGTGCAGTTGTTCTGTTGCTGAAACTGTTTTGCTGCCATTAAATAAAAAAAAAATAATAATAATAAAATAAAAAAAACTAGGACTAACTTGGCTAAATGAAGTCAAATGAAGGAAACCTGACCCATCTGTATTTGTTGGATTAACTTTGGCTGACTTTTTACCCATGGTGCCACAGGTACAATGGGAGCAAACACAAAAATGTTCTAGGACTGATGTGGAGCTGCATTTAAGGCACTTAATAGATCATTGATTTATTGAAGACTGATGTGGGGATGGAGCCTGTGGTTGTGTGTCCAGGTACTATCGGTGATCAGTTGTAACAGATTACCATTAAGCTGAATGATGTTTTTGACCATGAGAGCATGATTTGCAGATTCAATTGATTAAATGATTCAAGCTGGTGTGAGAGAGTAGTCTTCTCCAGGTTTGGTCTGTGCTTCATGTCTTGTTGTGTTTAATGGTGCAGACAAATTTGCTTTAAGCTGTTGGAAAGCAGTGCAGACAGTGATAAAGATGTGACAAGAAAGGTAAAAACCATCTTGACAGTAAAACATATTCATGTCCATCTGAAAGCTGTGTCAGAGGTGTCATAAAAGGTTTTCAGATGTCAGCTCAGTTCAAGAAAAAATGACAGCAAATGAAAAATCAATCTCAGGTTTGCTCTCAGTATCTAGAATTTGCAGACAAACATTCAGTCTTTTCTCAGGGTCAGGTTAAATCCAGTTTAGTACATCTTAACAGCCTCCTCTGCTCTCTGCCAGGTTCACATTATTGAAAAATGACGAGCTGAAATTGCCTTTACTCTCCTCAGATGCAAAAAAACAAATAAATCAAACAGGTTCACTGATGTAGGTAATCTTTGATATTTTCCAAACTTTCCATCATAAGAGATCTGAATCTCAATATTTACTCAAACAGTCAGTCCATCACTATGCGTCTGAATGAACACAAGTTCACCTTTAACAAACTGTGTTACCCAAAACCTGAAATCAACCTGTCAACCAGTCAAATCTCTATTTATTTTAATTTTTTTCAATTTTCACTTCGCTCAAATTGGCTTTGTGTGTAACTTTTATTAGCTGCAATTTCGAATTTTTATTTATTTATTTTGCAAAGATTAAGATTTATTTATTTTTACTTTCATTTTTTAAATGGGACGATATGCATTAATGAACATGTTCATGTAAAAACATGAGATTGTTTTTTACCTGCTGTTTACAATGAAAGCTAGATATTTAAATTCTTGAACTACCTCTTTGTATTCAGTACAAAAATGTTAGGATCACTGTTGTTATTTGGTTTTCTGGAGTACATATTGACAGTTTTAGAGATCTTAGGATGAAGCTGAGAGCTCTCACAATAGTCATGGCATAAGTCAATTCTTTAGCATCTTGTTCATTGTCTTTTGCATAAACATACAAAACTGCATCATCTGCATACACTTATAGGACAACAATTTAGCAACAATTTCAGCAAAATATGATGATTGACAGCATCTAATACTTTTTTCAGGTTGATAAAGACAGCCTCAACAACTCCAACAGCATCCAGCTATATATTTTATATATAGGAGGCAAACAACACATAAGCTCATGGTACTACCCACCACTGGACACTAATTTTCAGTTACATAACATTTGCTTGTCTCTGTCTTTCATTCTGCCAATCAGGACTGTCAGAAAAAAGAAACACACCACAAACATCTCACACAAACCTAGTGCAGCCTCTTTTGTGTACGCACAGACAAACAGTCCTTTTCATCTTTTCATTCAGCAAACACACAGCACCTCACACACATGGCTACATAAGCAAACCCCTGTGCAGATCAAGGCTTATCTGCCCTGTGGTGGTGGCTCTGCAGGATGATGAAGGCTTGGATTCAAAGTCGCTGCATCTATCTGCAGATCAATGGCTGACCTCCAAACCAGCTACAGCCCCACTGACCAGCACTACAGCTAAAAAACACAGCCAAAGACTCGGCTCTAAGCTGCACGCTGAATATTACATCAATCTAATGATTCTCCTCAGAAGACTAGACTCTGTCAGCTTGTCACTTTGTTTTTCTCTTTCTTGCTCTCGCTAGTTCTTTATTTTCAAAGGTCTTTTTTTCTGCTGTTGTTGTTTCTCTGCCTCGGTGAAGGAAAGGTGAAATGTTCAGGGAATGAAAGCAGACTGTATAAAAGACAAGAATATTTTTGGAGGAGCAGAAGGTGAATTTGGTCTTGAACAAAAATACCCTTGCTCAGATGGGGAAAATATTTTTTAAATAAATGAAGCCTTCAGAAATACTGCATATTTTAATTTTGGAAAATTTTCTTTTACTTTATTGAGAATGATAAAAAAAATTAATAATAAAATACATTAAAAAAAGGTCAAGTCCAAGGGGATTTTTACCAGTAAAGCAGGCTTATGAGGTCATGCCCACTGAGTCCAACATTATGTCTGTTTTACTATGCTCTGTGTATTTGCTTTCATTTTATGGCTTTTCACCTAAATAAATAAATAACAATTGTAAGAAATCAAGTGAAAGCTGTAGACATAGACAACCAAACTGGTCCTTGGGAGAATGATAGTTGAGATAAAGTAAAATATATGTTGTATTCAAAGATTTAACAAACCCTGCATAGATAAACATGTTAGAGCTCCGCCCCTCCATAGATTGTCTTTGTGAGCTTACGCTAGTAGTATGTCAAACACAGCACAACGACATTTGTATGACAAGAAATAAAAATTTAAAGTCTTAAATGTGATCTTGATCTTTTTTAAAGTATTTTTTTTACTATTTTTTGAGAAAATAAATCCCAACCCTCGACAGTCAAAGGCTTATTTGAGATCTTTATCAGTGAACTCAGTAGTGAGGATACCAATGACCTCATGTCTGGACTATTGTGTGATTCTATGGTGAAATTGAAGACAAACTTCCACATTGTAGCCAAAAAAAGTTCTTTCATTCATTATTCATTCAACCCAAGGCGAATGTGCAAATGCAATTCTTAGAAAACGTATAAAAATAAGAGAAATGGGGAAAGAGACAGACCTGTTTGTAGTGACCTTTAAAGAAACTCCATCACAGAGAAGAGGAGTCAAGATAAGACTGATACACAGGGGGGAGCATCTTTATTCCAACCTTTTCACCGGGTGATATCACAGCAAATAATGACTGAAAACACCTGATCTGTAAACCAAACAGCAGACAGACTTCAGAATAATCCACTTTATCCATAACCTGACACTGAACCTGCTTTCTTAACCCGCTCAGTCCGTGAATAACAAAAATAACTCCTGCAGGAATCTCACTCTTCTATTTTCAGATATTAGAGACTCATTTGCATTCATCAGCAGTCCCACCCCTGAGGGTATTTATCTTTGAAAAAAACTGTTAATTTGTTCAGGGTGAAACTGTGTTTTCATTCACATGTTATTCTCCAACATACTCTACCTCACTCTTCATGGCTAATAAGCCGACCAGCAGGAATTTCCAAAGGGAGCTTTTAGCGTAGCAAACACACTGTGACTTTACAATTAACACACTCTCCGTCCACTTGGGAATTTGTGTTAGTGCACATGTGCACAGGTTTGAAAGTGCAGCAGTGTTTGTGTAGTCACCCTGTTTACTGCAATTCACTATCATTACTACAGATAAGACTAGATCTAGTGTTTAAGTTACATCCTAAATCAGACAGAAAAATGGCTGCTGTTAGTATAAAACATGGTAAAGAAGCTGTGTAACAAAGTAAAGTGATCTAAGTAGAAGTGTCTGATGACATGTAAATGCACTGTGTATGTTTTGCTGTATCAAAGCACTGTGAGGACAAAGCACATGTGCTGATCCAGTGTGTGATAAACACACCTTGTGGACTCTTTTACTGTGTGGTTTAGTGCTGGTAACAATGAGTCAAGGCTAGACACAAAACAGTCAACAAGTTACTTATTGAACTGGAATAATAAATTATCAAGTATCTGGTGTCAGTATGAGGATAAGTGGTCATTTCTGACATCTATGCATGAGTTAAAAAGTTGTGTAATGTGGTATAAAGAGGTACAAAGAGGTATAAGCAGTAGGCTCAGGTGCTCAAAGGACCTTTATCCTATCTGTATACACTACCCATCACAGCTCCACCCACATACCAGGCAGCAGCAACACTGACACAACAGAGCATGACATGCAGGCAGAGCGTGGGGGGTTATCCCAGCTCGGCTCCTTCATTGGGTTCATCACCTCTGGAGTGAGAGAAAAGCAATGAGGATTTTTGGCAGATTTCCTGCTCAGTCGGGGTTGAGAAATTGGCAAAGCCCTCCATTATAGCTCCGCTCTAAAGAGACGCCAACTGGTTCATCTGCTGTGGTTTAGATCTCAGGCAGAAAATGGAATATTCCTCACACCTTTTATTGTCACAGCATTGAATATTTAGAACAATCTTAATGTTCATTTGTACAAGATGAAGCCCAGGGAATCATTGACCTCTTGTTGTATGGACTCAGAAGATGTTAAATTCTTTTTTGAGACAGACAGTTTTAAGGTAAGAACATGAAAACAATCCTCAGAAAAGCACAGACGTGTGATGATGTTATAATCCTGTCAACAAAATCCCCTCCATGCCATCAAATAGGCAGTTTAGAAGGCATTTTAATGACAGCAGCAACTCGAGAAAGTTCAATTTTAAGAGTCAAACTGTCATGATTGTTTGGTTGTTTTTTGGTTTTCCTGTTGGCCTGTGTGTTTTGTATTTCCCCCCTCAGTGACCACAGAAGCATCACACTTGTGTGTTCACTGATCATGGAGCTCCTGCTGAGTGCAGCTGATGCAGATCAGCAATCAGCAGGTTTTGAGGAGCTGGGGGAAGGCTGCTGCCAGAACATCATTGTTCTTTGTCCAGAGAAGAAGTCTGTAGTTTTTAACCTTCGCCTGATCTGTGAATCACATTTAGAGACATTTCACCTTTTAGTCTTGGTTTGTTGTTTCCTTTCAGTTCCTTTTCCTTTTCACATTTGTGTTTTAAATTAAAATTTTAAACTTACCTTGTTTGCCATAGGATTGTGAACTTTTAAAAACATTTTGAAAACTTTCATTTTTGGCTTATGCAGAATATTTAAACAAACAGAAAATTTTAATCTTAGTCCAAAATTTTGATTTGATGTGTCAAAATCTTATCCTGTTGCAGAAATGCTCCTCCTCAAGCACATTCTGATGTGCATTACTTCTGATTATAAAAGGATTATAATCTGAGTTTGAAAAGTGTAGTGCCTTTGTGTACTGCATTAGCATTGCTATTGAAAGTAGTTTTCTAAAAAATAATATTTTACAAGACCAGTGAAACACCTGATGATTAATTTCAAGGTAAGATTCAAACAAACCATGACTTAGATTTCCTCGTCTTTTTAAAATCATATTTCTAAGCATCATGTGATTTAGAAGTGACAAATACAGGTTGTAAGTGTTTGATCGTCACCATTATCATCCCTTTATGTACAGAAACAACTCTTTTTTTTTTGCTGTCTGGTGGATTAACAGCTGGACTGCAGGGTTCAATTTAGTTTTATTGGGGGCAGGATAGTAATTTTTTTTCCTCCAGAGGGAGCTGACTCATCTGAGGAACAAAATTTGACAGTGTTTCTCTCTATCCAGCAGGTTTGGATGGTGCTATCAGCACACAGTTGACCAGCTTCAGCTCTAACAGCAGCTGTAACAGTCTAACACTGTGAGTGCAAAGGTCATTGCTCTGCAAAATATCCCATGGGCTTCTGCTGGTCTGTGCAGGCAGGGTGCCTTTCCCAGAATCCTCCGAGTTGCAGTCTCCACTGTCCCTGTTTTGAACCATGTAGTAAAGGAGTGCCCTAGGCCTGCCCTAAGACCGTCTGCCCTCCTGGCCTGATGGTGGGCGGGCTGAACCAGCCCACCAGGAGCTCAAGTTCAGCAACATATGGTTCCATCTCACCTTTTAGCCTACATGTCCCACGCATTAGTCCCATGAAAGGCAAAGATCCTGATGTAGGGCAGCTTGTGGATGGCGCTGTACTCATCCCCATATATGTGTAGGATATCATCTGACCCTCTGACCAACTGGAGAAGATCCCGTCACAGAATATGAATGTGTGGACCTTTAGGCTGAATGTAAAAATGCAATAATTATGTATGTGTGTGTGCGTGTGTTTGTGTGTGTGTGCTCTGATATTTGTGGCATGGTGAGGTCCAGGTACAGGGAGCACACCAACGGTATGAGGCCATGTAACCTCGTGGGGCCCAAAATGCTAGGCCCCACACCTGTTTCCCTTTTAATAAGCTAAGCAGCCTCCCCTGATACTCCCCTTGCTTTTTTTCACTTGGCTTACAAGGTGACAAAAACTGATTTTCAGTGTGTAAGTGTGTGTGGGAAAGCTCCCCTGTAGGTGGGAACCCGAAACTGCAGCTTATACACACTCCAGGAAGTGTGGTTACACACTACAGGAAGTCACTACCCTGTCAGCAAAATCTTGCGAGAGTCTACAAAATTTTGAATGCCAATTTCAATACCACCACGATATCACATAGTTGTGCGGGGTGCACACTGAAGACTGTGTCGCTATAGTCATGTAGGTAAGTTAATCATAAATCTTATTTTAATTCATTTTTTCTCATTTTGCAGGCTGGTTCTTGCAGCAAGAGAGGTCGTACCTGTGAAGACCATCAAAGAGCTAATCAAACCTGAGAACTATGTGCATGTTGTTTCCTCTGCAAGATTCCTGGCTGGATTCAGTGAAGAAATTGGAAAATATAAATGTCCATCTCAATGAGAGACAAAAAAACTGTGCAAGATGCTGACGAATTCCACAGCTGTATCAAGAAAGTTGGAAATTTGACATTGTAAGCCAAGCATTAACTCAACTTGAACAGTCAAAGTGGAATGCTCCACAGTTCCTGCCATTCACTCAGGACGTCCAGATACTTTATTACTTTTTAACTGAAAAACAGCAGCAAGTCCTGGATGCCCTGAAAGAGGAGGTTTCACCTTCAAACTGGAAAGATGTTGCTTAAATGACACTGGCGCAAGTCATCCTCTTCAATCACCGAAGAGAAGGGGAAGTATCAAGACTTTTATTATGTGACTTTTAAGGGTTTTAATACTCATGTTGTGACCTCATCAACTATTGTGTTTTTACTGTTCATGCCTTAAGTATTAACTTGAACAATTATACAATTTTGTGGTCAAATGAATGTCATGTTCCAAGTTTAAATGTAAGACGCCATGTGCAAACTGTAATTCAAACAAATATATCCCGAGTTCAACATACTGTATGTTGCAAAGTGTTTATTTCTGTTTATATGAACATTTAAGGTAATACAGGTGTGGAGTGCTATGCTTCATTTTGAAGTGTCTTTATGCTTCAGAGGGTCCATATTTCAGTGTCATGTCCCTGCTCTGACCCTAAATGAGAGCAGATGAAATGCAGGGTGAACACAAGGTCAGTCATTATTAAAATCAGTCCTTAGTTTAATTATTATTAGGAAAAAGAAAAATTCTTCTTCATTTGGAGGAGCTTTTAAGTCCACCTCTATTAAAGCTGTTGGATCTGTTTCGTTGCATTAGTCATGCCAAAATTTGGGTGGCAGGAGCATCAGTTCCATTTTTAGTGAGTCACTTTTATTCCATTATGACAATGAAATTATTCAAAATATTTGTCTCTATGGCGACTAGCAAAATTGTGTTGACTGAAAACAAAAACACAGTCAGAGCTAAACATAAACAGACCTCAGTTGATCAAAATGGTATTTATTTAAATGTAGACACTGATATGGGAAAAGAAGCCTTTAAAACTAGGATAACGAGGTCATTACTTTCAAAAAGTACTTCTTTGTTTGTTTCTGTCTTGCGTGTTTTTATTTGACCTCCTCAGACATGGGAGTTAAACTGCATTGTTATCCATCACCGCCTCACTGATAGGAAACTAAAAGCCTTCACTGAGATGATTCACAGTAAGAGACTGCTGGAGCTCAGCTTTGACAGTGTGAGGGATGCTTACTTTGAAAAATAACAAAACAGACAGCCATGTCGTTTGGGGATGAGAATCTGAGCTCCTGTTTATGATATCAGATCCCTCAGTTTCTCAGAGGGATGTGACACACTACCCCTGACTCCATCTACCATGACTCAAATTGGACCAAATACCTTCCTACTGCCAAAAACTGTTGAAGATATAATTCACAGTGCTAAATGTGCCCCTTTCTATGACACCAATAGACCATCAAAACTAAATTAAGAAATGCGGGCTTATTTGAAGCCTTGAGCTGTCAAATTTATTTTATGTAACCATTTCCCAAAACCCAAATATCAAGAGATATTTTGAATATCTATAAGAATCTGGATCATATCTAGATCATATGTAAGTGAATAGATATGCTTTACAAGGGGACAAATGCTGAGCAGAGTTTTAATCACATAGTATAGTTTGCCCATCCAAGTCAAATATTACAAACACTCACTAAAATACCAAGTGTGACCCAATGCCATAATTGAGTATTTGAATGGAGTCTTGGCCAATTTTTGGCATAACCTCCTTTTCCCAAAAGCTTAAGAATATTGAGCAGCATGCATGCAAACTGTTATAATACTGCATTAATTATAAATATATCTCAACTCCATATTCTGATAGTACCTAAGTGGTCCTATCAGAATGTAATGACTGCCATTTGCATTTTGCTATTTGTTGCTTTGTCTGTTGTCTCTGAAGAATAGTTATCTCTAGCCTTTTCACATTGCTGATTTTGTATTTTAAGAGATACCCACAGCTTATATCTGTTCTAAAGATGACATTTAAAAAGCTTTTGATACAAGACCTGATCTTTCTGTGCCATTTTCCTCTGTAAAACATTTGCACTTTTTAGGGCTTTGCTCTTCCGTGGAACTGCTTTGGACCTTAAACTCAACATCAATGGACCCTAATGTCTGTCAGTATGAGAGTGAACTTTTATTTCAGCCACAGACAATGAAGTGTAAATGGTATTTTACCTTATCAGAGGGCTGGATATAAATGTCAGAGCTGCTCGGGTGGAGTAAATGAGACTTGTCGAGTTAGAAAGATGATTTTTGACGGTTGCTGAATGTCTTCAAAATAACTTGACTAAAACCTTCTAACTTGATATAAGAGGTGACAGAGGACAAATGAAATCAATCATTTTAGTACGTTTCAGTCCAGATTAAGAGCAAAGGAAAAAGACATAAATGGGTGGTTTGCTTCAGACAGAGCTGTACAGAAAAAAAAGAGGACTTGAGTACAAACCAGTCTTACAGTAACTACATGTCAACATCACAACCAGGGGGGAGAGAAATTTATATTCTGTGTAATTAATTTCTAAAGTTTGTCCATAGGGATTGCTGGAAGAGGTAGGATTTATGACGTATACTGCAGCCTGTCACCAGAGGGTGCTGTTCTCGTGGTGGCTTCCCTCAGTGAAGAGGCAGACAACCTCCATTCTAGATACAGTCTGTGGCCTGAGCCTTGGGTATGTGAAACTTCCAGCAGCTTCCAGATATATCTATGTTTGCATAAAGAACATTTTCCCCACTCTTTCTGCTCAACATCTCCTCTCCCTGGTGGGATTTTAGAGCAGCAGCAATCTGCTGAATGTTCAGAGAGGAAAAAAAAAACACAGAACTTTCTGCCTGGAGGACACATTTGGGACATGGATGGGCTTTCAATGACACTTGGATTCAGCTTGTTGCCTGTGGGCCCTATGTCGTGTCGGTAAAGAAGGAGGTGAATGTTGGAGCAGGATGTCACAGAGGAGCTGGTGGTTGTTTAGATGAGATAAACAAGGAGACGTGAGCTCTTATATGAAGAAGGCCGAATATGCTGAGCCTCGCAGAGCCGCAGTTAGACTGAGGGCCCACAGAGACAATCCAATACTTAAACTTTAACTATGTGGGCTGTGCAAGCATTAAAACCACAGTCACATAGTGAGATTATAAATGTGTCAATCTGTCTGCCTCTGAAGTAAGTATACTTTTAAGTGAGTCAAATAAAAAGTGACGGGAAGAACTTATGTGGTGGTGTGCTTAGACAGAGGCAGATCTGTGTCATAAATATGGATCGGGATCAGAAGAACTTTGATGAGATTTCTTAAACTAATGTTCAAAGTACGTTTCCTCTCAAGGATACTTTCAAGGGAGAAAAATGAAATACAATAAAGTAATAAAATAAATGAATTCATTCTTTTAACACACATATCTGAGTGGACACTACAACCTCTAGACCTTCAAAACCACACTGATCATCGACACTTGAGGAACGTGTTGCTCTTATGACTTTAGAAAGGTAGAGAGCAGCATGGAAGCCTCTACCTGAAGCAAGCTCTGCAAACAGCGAGCATCTTTTTACCCATATCTAAAAGTGCTGTAGAGGATTTTCAATTTTGGAGTGAACTAAATGATTTGGGAAATAAACAGAAAATGGGACGAAAAAGGTGTGAGGAGAAAGTTGATTTCAATGTTCAGACCTAGTTTTTTACTTGTCAGAATCAGTCGTCTTTAGGCTTCATTTTTACAGCAAGTCATAAAATAAAATGCAGCGCATCATAAAAGGTCTCAAGAGGATGGTTTTTGGAGAGTCAGCATCACTTATGGTTGAAGTGTGTGTGTGACAGAGGCACAAGGTTACGCAGTTTATAGGTAAGTTGAGTAAATCAAGAATAGACCAAAGCAATAAATGAACAATCTAGTATATCATCATCATTTTTACAGGTCTTTCCTGGCTCCTTCTTCACATTTCACATAAAGGACACACTTTCTTCAGCAGAGAGTTGGGAATACAGGACAGAAACAGAAACATCAGCAGAAGAAACACGCTTTAGGAGAAAAAAAAAAGTTCAGGAGAAAAGGCCAACAGTCAAATCAGCCTGTTATTCCTTTCTCTGTTTTCTAGTAAACTCTATGGATACGTTCAATCTGTCTATCCCTGCCTTGGGGTCCAGTCAGATCCAAAACCTAACACGGAGAACTACAACATCAAAGTCACATGATCTGTTGTGGGGTTATGAAGCTCTTAACTAGAGCAGGTCTTTTACAGCTGCAGCTTTATGAGCTATATGTAACACTTTCATGTCGTTTTAATGTCATAAAGTGCTGACAACAACATCGAAAGCTTTACAAGACGCTTTATTGTCAGTAAAGTGACTGGAGTTCTCAAGTAGTCCCTTCAGTGTTACTTCTTTTCCTCTTATGGGGGGTTGTTTAAATCTTAAGCTTTATCATTCATATTTTATGCTTTTCTTTCTCTTTTATTTATTGGTTGGAGACATCTATTTCTGTTAAAGAGTCTAGTTACTCGACTATAACAGCAGACTGCGTGCTGTATTGACTTACAGACTACAAGGACAAGTTAACAACCAAAGCATCTTAAATTCTTAAGGCTTTTTCTGCTTTCTTAAGCATTCCTGCATTCTCCACATTAGTGCTTCAGCTTTCAGTCCTCTACATACTCCACATACTCCACTTCCTGTGCTTCTTCTATACCTTATTCATAGCACATTCCTACCTGTTGCTTAAATGACATTGATGTAACAGTCTGGCATTTCTACATTGAATGGCATCTTTGAAATCAAACAGACGTATGCACAGACTCCTTTTGTGTTACTTTTCTGGTTTGCCACCAAGCTTGCAATCTGAGGATCACTTAGTCTGTTCTTAACAACAAAATGAACCTTTTCATGTGGGGAATCAAAGAGGTTAGCTCTTTGTTAAGACAAGCGCTGGTCTGAAATTGGTGCAGAAAGACAGCTTTAATGACCTGTGAATCCCATGTCTCTTTTGATTTTCTCCGCAAGCATGAGCACGGGCACATTAGTGTTCACATTCATTGATATTCATTTCACGTGTCCGGTTGTCTAAAAGGAGAGAAAGCCGTTAAAGGATAAGGTCTCTGTTTGTGGGAGCAGATCAATATCTAACATGCTATTATCATCTCAGACCAAACTAGGAGCTCAAAGTTAATGATCTGTCCTAAATACCAGGAGAAATCAGTTGTTTGTTATTCTGCAACTATCTGACACAGTGTGTACACGGCATTGTATTTGCACAGGCCCTGTCAAAAACAAGACCTTACCAAACTTCAATGATGACTTCCTGAATGAAATAGAAAGCACAGCAGCTGGTGAGTAGGGCTCAACGATTGGGGAAAATAATCTAAATGCGATTTTGCATTTTAATATGCATTTTATCAAGGTCTTCTTTTATTGCATTTTTCAAAAAACACAAACAATAAATCAATCTGTATTATAGTAAACAATATCAGATTAACTATACACAAATTGTTCTTTCTGGCAATTATCATTTCAAACACAAAGGCTCTCTCTGCTCAAACACTATTGCGCACACACACATGCATGCGCCATCATATACATCATGATACTAATCTACATACCGATGTCAAGATGTAATCATTGCCCAAAACACTTGAGTCTATTCATCCATCCATGAATTCTCTCTCTACCTGCTCTGCTTCCCTCCTCTTGCTCACACGTCACATGACCAGATCACATGACCATACAAAATCGCAGCCTTTGTGGTTGGAAAATTGCATTCTATCATACCGCAATGTAATCGCAAATGCAATTAATTGTTCAGCCTTACTGGTGATTGAGGAAGTTTTCTGGGGAGCCAAACAAGCTATCTATGACTGTGTTTATCAGTAACTAGATCTGATATCCACAAATGTTTTTAATTAATGCTCACATGCAGTCACTACTGTTGTCTCTTAACAAGCCAGCTGAGCCGTCCACAAGCTTCATCGTGGGCATTGTGCCTTGCCGCTCTCTGCAGCTTGGCATTGTTCCTCCTGGCCATTAAAAAGCTTTTGTTGGTTTTATTTTCTCACTTCAGCAGGGAGAGCCATTAAAGATAAAAACAGAGTTTGTCTTTGTCACACACAGAGAATAGGCCTGACATTTAAACAACCAGAGGCACTGATGTACCAAAGAAGGCAAAACTGGTCTCAACGTGAAATTTAAATCTTTGACACAGAGTCAAGCACATAAAATAGAGAACTCGGACTGTCAATGGATTGATTGGGCGTGTTAGTGTGTCTCTTAATGTGATATGATAAAGCAACATGCAGAAACACTTTGTATGGAGAAACTCTCAGATGCTTATGCTCTATCATGCATAATTAAAACCCTCTAAAATGATGGAGGGCTATTAAGGGGAGGGCTGTAGTATTTTTTTTAGACTCAGTTGAGGTTCCCATCTGTCCTAACATTCAGAACCACCAATCTCCAGAATACATCATGAACTCCTGCTTCTACTCTCCACAAGAATGTTGTTCATAACAGACATTTTCTCCAGGGCTCTCGTTCTCAGCTCACTGTGAACTAATTTCTGAACCACACAGGATGTTCCACATTCTTCATTCAGCCAGAGATGAGATGGATTCAAAGGTCACACAGTTTCTATAGAGGAGGGGTCCCATTTCAATGAGATTGTGTGGGGACATCTACAGTACAGGCTCTACATGTTTGTGTGGAAATATGCAGAGGTTCGTGCATTGCAGAGTATAAATTCTATTTCACGTTCGTGTAAATGTAAAAATAAAAGATGTAATAAATGTACTATTAGATGAACAAAACAGGAGGCTTGACTTCCTATATTTCAACCATTTGTTGGAAACATTTTGGGTTTGTTGAAGCCTCTTAGATGACGCCTCAACACCAGTAACACAGCTAGTGTTGGAAGTAAGATGGCTAGAAGCAAATAACTGATCAGACTAGCATCAGGCCGGCTGCTGCTGAAAGGTCAAGCCAGAGACCAACTGTTTGGCAGCTGACACTGGAGTGAACCCATGCCCTGTTGATTGAGAGTGCTCAGATTTGACAACTTGATAGTTGACGATACTCAGAATAAAAAATTGGAAAGGCTTGCACGTGCGGTCCTGCGTAAAATAGTGTTACAATAACAGTGATCTCTATACTGTGGGTTGGAAGCTGGAAAAAAAGGTCGAATTAAAAGAACTGTTTTCCTGCCATATATACTACACTGAACAGGATGCTGCCAATGAATGCACAGTTTTAGGGTTTTACAATGCACCAGACATTACCTCTGATCGGGGGTGTATTTAGCCATTTGGGAGCTCAAGGAAAACCCAGTCATTGGGGCCTCACCTAAACATAACATCATCTGTCACTAAAACAAGACACCACAAATATAAACAAGCTCAATATCAAAATCAGACAATTTAACAGTATAATTTTATCTAAGTAACCTTTTGTCTTTTTTTCCTTCTCCCTTTCCTCTTTTTCTTTCTCTCCTTTATTCTATGGTATGTTTTCTTCATCTCCCTTTCCTCTTTTTCTGTCTCTCCTCTATTCTATGGTATGTTTTCTTCATCTCTCTTTCTGTCCTCCTGTCCCATTTCTCATTTTTTCTCCTTTGTATTCCTCTACTTTATCTTTCCTCTCCTCTCGTACCATCAGGCCACATTTATGCACAGCACACTTGAAATTATCAAACTAAAATTCAGCCTTCCTGGTCTTTGCCTCAACTGCTGAGTGAGTGATGGAGTCTCACAATCCAACTCTTCATCATCCTCAGAGCTAGACTGGCTTTCCCCTGGGTCTATTACTGTCTCATTTTGAGAATCAATAAATAAAACAGTGTTAATCTTGTACTTGGTAACATAACGAAATTAAAAGCATTTCCTGTACTTCTGTACTTTATCTAGTTTAGGAAATAGGAGAATTTCCACAAATTCTCACTTTTCAGTTGATGATAGAAATTGAGCTACTGCCTCTTAAAATCCCATGAGGGAGTTTGTGGCACATCTCCTGTGAACAAAACCTCATTTGGTGTTGTGAGCTACTCAAGAATCAATCAGAGAAACAGACAGGAACACATGGTGGAGCTGTTTTTGCAACAGCTAACAACGGGGGAGCTATCCATGGTACTAGTCCCTGCTAGACAGCTCTTAATACAATGCTTGTCTAAATCCCTTTTACACACTCTTTACCACATTCAACTGCCAGTCATTTTTTAAAAATATTTTTGTTAAATGTTCCAGTTATAGTGTGTATTGAAAAGCAGTGTTATTGGATTAACTTGTTCTGCACCTAAATTAATACAGACAAGGGGTTTTAGAGGGTTTAAAGTAAAGTCAAGATGTAATACCCAAGACCTGTCCAGAAAGTACTCTAGAACTGGAGTAAAGCCAAAAACCAGCTGTTACAAGTGCTGATAACATCACTTGCATTTCCCATGATACTCCTCTCTCAGACTTTGGATCCCATTATTTAATTGTACTGGAGTAAAAATGAAATGACAGCTTGTTGCTCCACCTCCTTGTGTTTCAAAAGCTCATATTCAAATGGAGCTTTGGCATATAAATAACCGTTGGACGACATGATTGAGGGTGATTTGTGTGCTTGGAAATGTATAATGTATCAAAGAAAGATTTAAGTTGGCCTCCCATGTGACATCTACAGCAGGGCATGGGCTTGAGCAGAATAATTATAAATCTTTGAGCAATGCTGGTTTTTACAGCTCCATCTGGTTTCATTTCACAAAGTGCATTACAGCATTATATCCTTATTCAGCATGCGATGCAGTGAATTGGAAAGGTCCGAGAAGAAAAAACATGATAATACAATCAATCCTTTTTTTTTTTTTTTGCTGTCCCTTTTTAAATTTTGTTTAAATGAAATTTTCTAATCTTGACTCCTCACTTTGTTTTTGTTTTTTATTTTTTTTGTTCATTTTAATTTTTTCTTTTCATACCTCAGCCTGCAGCTAAACTCTAGCAAACCAAAAGTGACTCCTGCAAGACAGCTCTCATCCTCACCACATCACGAGGACTTTACAGTGTCACCCACCTATAGTACAGCCTGGCACCCTGTCAGTCTCAAAAATACACACATACTCACGTCTGCAAAAAACAAAGACATATCTAAATGTTGAAATGCATTTCGCACTGTTCCTGCATTTGAAGAAGAACACTGCAGGCATTTTCAACAAATCACAAAAGCAAAAAACATACAAACACAATCAATGGATCCGTCTCCAAACACAGACAAGTGTGCAGCTGCTCTCACAGCTTCTGTCATGGTCAGCTGTCTTTCCTGCAGAGTTCTTCACATCACACTAAATCTTCTACAGTCAATATTTACATCCCACCAGAGGAGATGCTCTCTGCTGCCAAAACCAACTTTTCACTGCACCTGCTGCCTGAATTATGAGACACATTTCTCTGTCATTTTAATGAGCTTTAAGAGTGGTAAAAGCATCAAAGGGAAGCTGGTGGCATCCTCCAACTTTCTTTTTAAGTCACTATCTGTGTAAAAAAGAAGCTGTGATGTTTGGGCCACAATTTTAAGCTGTGAAGAAATTAATACATGAGCTGCCAATCTGTGATTTGAGGTTCATTTCTCTCTTTCGTTTTTTTTTCTGATGACTGAAATGCAATGAAACTACTAGAAAGCATCATTTGCAAACGTTCTCCAACAATCTTTTAAGTTCATGATATCAGACACAACCAAGTGATTTATAATGACCGAATTTCCCCTGGGATAAATAAATGGTTCTTACTCGGATTAATATCAGCAAAGACGATGACCTTGCTCATGAATGGATGTCCTGTGGTTGATACAGAAGGGAAAAAGAGATAGATAATGTTTGCATTGTGAAATCAAATAGTAAGCAGAAGGCGTCTAGAAAGCTACACAGATACAGAGAGAGCAGATGACTCACTGTGGGCTTGTTGCTAGGGGTGAAACGATTCATCTACAACATCATCGATGTATCGATTTATCTTCCTATGATCCGACTACATCGATCCGTGCTTGGCAAGTTGGCCTTTCGGACAACATATATCAATCTAACATCTTTTAAAAATGGAATAAATCAATTGTATGGAACAGGAATCTAGAAAATTTCACCTGCATTGTCCAGTATTCAGGTATTCATTTCACAGTCACACTGGTTGATATTTTGGCTAAAAAGTTACTGAATCGATTTCAAGTTACTGAATCATTTTGGATCGTATTGTTCTGAATGAATCAATATTGTCCTTGAATCAAATCGACAACCACAAATCATGAAACAGTTGTTAAAATGAATTTTTACACCTCTACTTGTTACTGAAATGAACTTCACATTTACGTAAAAAAAATCATAAAAATCATCAACCATGTAGATATTGGTTTTGGTTGTTTGTTTTTGGAGAGCAAAACAAAGTACCGATATTAATTTCAGTCAATTTCATAAACAGACAAAAAACTCTTCTAAGGTGCTTTAATTGAACATTCATTCAAATATATGCTTGAGCAAACCTTGTAGTTTATTCCTTTTGTTAGTACTGCTCTCAGATTTTATAGCCATATGAATTTGTACCACTTGACACAGCATGAAATTAAATCAAACACATCTGCCTGCTGTTCTTTACTCTACAGTCTCTTAACGTTTCCACAGGAGGAAGCTGCAGACCCTGCATTTTTACCTCTCTGTTCATAAACCACGACTCCTCCCTTCAAAGCCAGAATGGATCCACATTTACATTACAAATTGAGATTCTTCTAATTGAGCTGAGAGCTGAGGGAATATCTGTATTTACATGCTAGAGGGAGAAAAACTTCCCTTTAGCACTAATTTGCTTCAACAAACTGAACATGAAATGTGAGGAATTCAATTTCAGTTTTTTTTTTTTCTTTTTTCTTGACTTGCCCATTAGATAAAACCAGAGAAGTCAATGAAACCATGACAGGGTAATTATAACACAGTGTGTAACTGCTGTGAGCAATTAAAGCTGTGAATTCTTTTTCCAAACAGTGTCGAGCAGTGAGATCAGATGGGAACCACGATTTAATTTCATTGCTCCACAGTTATTATCCACAGTTTCTGCAAATGTAAGAAATTATGATATTTCAGCCAAGTCTGGAGAGACAACTAACTTTTCTTTTGTTTTTTTGAACATGTCTGTTCACAGCAAGTGATCCACACTAATGAAATCGCAAATCTCACACACTCCCATGGCTGTAATATCACACTGACGGGCTATGTTCATGGGAATCTACAGAAAGAGGGAGATATTAAAGCGAAAACAAAGTGTGATCGAGTCAAAAACAAAGGATGATGGTTTGGAAAGAACTAACTGTTTCAAAACTGGACTAAGGACTTCTTCTGAAACATTATTTTACCTTCAAATGAGTTAAAGGGATATTCCGGCTTAAAATAAAGTTAGGGTCAAACACACCGTAACTGACTGCTTGCTTCTCTAGTTACACCAATTGAAGCAACGACCCCACGATAGCAATACACAGCGGTCTATCACTCCATGTGCAAACCTCAACTATCATAATGTCTGTAGGTCATAAATGTTCTTCCTTAAGCTGTGTCACCCCACTGCAGTCGGTGATCGACTCGTCAGGGCTCCCCCTACAAACAAGCAGCTGCTGGAGGAGAGTGGGTGAGCCGTGTTTAGTCTCTTTGCTAAAGAAACCAGGCACAGCTAAAAAGATGTTTGGTGGCTAGTACTATGGCTGGGACCCTGTATGTACTGTTAATGAAGTTAGGTTCTGTTCTGAGCATTATTTGGGGCTACAGAGTGGCTTTTTGGTTGATGTTTGTGCGTGGAGACATAGACCGCTGTGTATTGCTATCGTGCGGTCGTTACTAAAGTTGGTATAACTAGAGAAGCAAGCGGTCGGCAACATGAATCTCTCTATGGCCTGTCTTACTCGGTGTTATGGTGTGTTTGACCCTAACTTAATTTTACACCAGAATATCCCTTTAAGGAAGTAAAAGTTGATGGAAGGGGAGGTGATACCAAGCTTAATAAGTTCAACTCCACTGACAGCGTAGAGCAGACAGCCTGAGAAAGTCTGTGCAGCTTCAGTAAACAGACAGCCTCCCACCCTAATAACAGAGACAACTCTAAAAATATTTATCAAAGCTGGGAATAAGGTGATTTTTTTCTGTGTGCATGCTGAAGCGTAAGAGGGTTGGTGAAAGAAATGATCTCTCTGACAAACCTGCAGTTTATCAGGATAAAACGATTCAATCCTGAGGAGATCAAGGTGTGCGGTGAGTGGAGGCCACTCTGATGTGAGACAATCTTTCCCATTTTCAATTACACACTCCAACAGCGCTCTAACTACCAAAACCAAGCTCATTTGCATGACTGAAATTCAATTACACCGTGCTGAAACCACTGTACTGTTTTCATTTCCCTTATAAACAGTTGTCCATTTGTCTTGTAGAAATCCATTTCCTGTGAGTCCTCAAGGAAATATGGTAAAAAAACGAGTTAGAGCGTAAGAAAAAGGAACTATAGAGAGGAGGAATCTTGCAAAGGTGGTCCCTGCTTGCATCACATATTGCAAAAGAGGAGCTCTTGTTCTGCATGCTGCTCACGTCCTCCTCTGCTTAGTCAGGAGATTTATTCCTTGACCAACAGAGGCAGAGTAGCTGCTGTTTTGACTCGCATGTTTTCACAGGTCAGTGAGCAGCTCCTGGACAATATTAGGATGTGTGTTAGCAGATTGCTGGCCTGCTCCCTGAAACACACACTCCATGTAAAGGTGAAGTTTTCTCACCTGGCACACAGATGGTATTTACACAACCTCTCAATTATCAGGGTCTGGGAATAACCTTCGACAGTCAGTCCCTCTGGTATGTACACACACAGAGGGAGAGCTTCTTTTTTTTTGTTGTCCTACACTATTGTTTAGGATGTCATGTGTTTCTGGATGAATATAATTATCAGCCTACTACAGGATAAGTGTGGGTGGCAGCATTCATTGTTGTTGTGTGAAATAAATCAGCTCTGCTACACCCTCTCAGTAGCCCTGAAGTAAAATCTGATGGTAAAATCAATTTTCCCGAGGACACAAACAAGTTTTTCTCTATTGTGGTTAGCCTAAGGTCTACTTTTTCTGTTGGAAAGAGATAGAAATGCTTATGTTAGGTACAGCTTCTTGTTTGTCATCACCTGGAAGTCCTACAGTTTTTAAATTCCCAATGATCCGAATCTGCCACATTTAGGTCATTAATCATAAGTTTAAAATTTATTGTAACAACAGAGAGTCTAGCTCAGTCAGAGCCAGACTGAGTTAAATAACGAGAAATGACAATAAGTTAAGTTACTCATGATATAATATACAATACTTGGCCTGGAGTAAAGATAATCTCACAATACAGCAATGCTGCTGCAAGTATCCATGGTCAAAACAATCATCAAACAATACATATTAATATCTGGTTATCTAGTCACCATCTTCATTATTCTATAGCTTTCAGAAAAACTTCCTTTTTAGCAGGAAAAGCAGTGTGGTAATGACAGGCAGTGCTACATTTTTATCTGAATCATCCTGTAAAGAAAAACAGCAGAGTTATAAATACTCGTATTTTTTTTTTTTCTTAAGAGACTCTTTAATTTATGAAAAAATGTGAAGCAGCCTTAGTCACGTCTCAAGGCAACTTAGCAGCCATGGGTGGATCTGTATCAATGAGCATCACACGTAGGAGGACATTTCCAGCCTGTTGTCAGTAAAATGAGAAACTCTCTGTACTGAGATGAAAGGAAAAGTGGAGGATGCACTTCAGTCTACAAAGATCTTTCTTCTTTCTTTCTCTTTGGTTTTTTAAGTGGGCCAGCTTATCTTGTAGCTCCATTTTACCACTACTCAACATCCTGCTGTCTTTTCTGGTATTACGTAGCTGTCACCTTCCTCTTTTTGAACTATTATATTGACTGCTATTAATGCCCCCCTCAGTCAGACCCAGAGGCATTGAGTGTCCCCTGAGAGGGGCAGAGCGAACCTCTGATCAAACTGGTACTTTACAAGTATCTATTATATACTCTATGCTTAAATTAAGATTACAATCTGGGTTACAGCATCTGCACAAGAGGCTCTCTCTCACTTTCTTGCTTGTTCTTTCTCGTACTCTCATATATCACACGTACTCACAACATAGACTGAAACATGTTGTGTTTTGTCAACAACACAGTGAACAGTCAGTCTGAATCTACAGTCATCAACATTGTGGTCAGCTGCAGAGTAAATGCTGAGATCAGTCAGGGAACATTGGGCAAACATCTCTGAGGTTGCAGCTTGAGTGATCCTAGTCCAGTTGATTAGGACTGTTATTATGTGTATCTGCTCGATTGTCTCTTCTTTAGCTCCATCGCAAGTTAGGATTCTTCCTCAGTGTGTCTTATGAGGATTTAAATTAAAATAAAGTGGGACTGTTGTATTCTCCCACCAGGGTCCTATTTTCTCATGTGTTTGTGTGTGCTTGACTGATGGGGAGAGCAATTTCAGTGGATATTTCTGGGAGACAGGTTCGGATCAGAGACAGTTCATAGGCAGTGGTGAGCTGTGAGGAGGGTTCCTGGTTGGAATTTCCATACTTTTCCATAATAATAGAATTATTTTTGGAAATACCTACTTTTCTATTTTAGAAAACAGTATTTTACAACTTTGGTAATAGTCTGGAAACATAAATATTTTCCCATAGTATATTTTTTATTTTCCATTCTTTTTAAAGATGATTTCTGTTGTATGATATCAAACCTGTTCATTAGTTTCACAGTCCATGGTAGCTTGACTTCACACTTAACACATTGATCCTGTTTTCACCAAGCTTTTTTTTTTTATTATTAATCTCAGAAATGGTCCTGTGACAGCTCAATATTTCACTTTCGCTCTACTTTGCTTATTTCGCAACAAGCTTTTAGCACATTGGTCCATGAAAGAAAACCTGCATAAATACGGTCGACTGACACCAAATAAGAGGACCTTAAGTTTTTTATCATTTTATGTCCATTGCTGCACACTGTGTTTAGTGATCAGACACTTCTTCTCATTCTGCTTTGTACAACCCCTGCATAACAAAGTGACCCCAAGGTCTGATTTAAATTGAATTTGATTGAATCTGATCCCCCAAAGGGGCGGCAAAATAAACCAAAAAATTCACATCAAACAAGCCCAGGCTGACATTTGCACTTTTTCCAATTCAGTAGTGAGCAGAACCTGCAAGAGGTATTTTAATGTTCTCCCTCCTCAACATCCCCGATCATTCTTCTTAATTACAGTCCTGCTGCACCACAAACATGACCCACACCAATAAAATGTGCTATTATTCCAACACACCCAAGAATACATTACTTTAATCTCCATGCTGAGGCAGGGATTCAGCTCCATGTGAGGTACTGAAGTTTGTTTAAATTATTATAGAAAAGAAAATAAAGAGAAGGATTCCTTTTATTCATGCAGGCCCTCATCAGACACTCGTGCCCCCGACAGACACAGCTGCATCAAAGAAACTCATCTATTTATTTTCTTCAGTCCCCGAGTTTATGAGGACACACATTATAATTAGTCTACAAAGACTCACTGAATATGCAGTGGTCTAGATCCTCAGTTTTCATTTATAACACAATGTGGATGAAAACAGATCACACAGAGCTCATAACACAAGTTCAGGACTGACTTTTGATCAGCTGAACCTCTAACTGTGCGGTTCATACTTGAGCATTAGTCGTTCCCAGCTTGATCAGCTCGTTGGTGATACCTCAGGCTCACTGCGAGTCATTCTTGACTCAGTTACTCCTCTTTAACAGAAAACTGTTGAACACCAGAGGCTGGCTCTGTGGTGCTGAAACTTGTGAGCTTAGACAATTACTAAGAAAAAAAGAAAGGCTATGGCGCTCTTCCAAAACAGCTGAAGCTCGCAAACTCTGGCAGGACTGTCTTTATAAATAAAGGAAGCCTTGTGATGTGCTCAGGTGGCTTACTACTCCTCCTATTGAAGAAAATAGAACAACCCCAGGTATCTCTTCAGCACTGTAGCCGTGTACTTCCTTAGCCCTCTGCAGCAATGACTATTTGCACTTCTTTAATGATAAAATCTTCAAAATTAGAGTTAAAATTAATATTCGCTTGCCTTCAAAATTCAATAACATTGGAATTGTGGAGACATCCTTAAAGACTCCAGTGTACCTCTAACCCTAAGCCTGGGTCTTTGCAATACATCAAACAATTAAGTTAGGTTTAGACCTGCTCTTTTGGAAAGTGTCTCGAGATAACGATTGTTGTGATTGTAAAAAATGATTGATTGAATATGGTTTTTAAATCCACATGATTCATCAAGCCAGATACCAATATATGTATATACTTGGACTTGCACAGTTAACAAGTACATTCAGTAGGATATTTCAACAAAACTGTTATTTCTCTACAGCGAGCTGTACAGAGTCAGCAGAACAATACAGACGAGTGTTGTCTGCACAAAGATGGATGTTACAATTACTTACAGAGGAGACAATGTTATTGATATGGATAGTAAATAAAACAAGGCCCAGGACTGATCCTTATGGGACACCTCTGATTGACAGTAAAAGCTCTGATTAAATATTGCTCAATTCTACATAATGAGATCTGCCAGAAAGAGAGCTCAAACCATGAACAAACGATGGAATCAGGGCTAGCTTCATGAAGAAAACACATAATGAGTAAGGGTAAAAATAATAGTGTTTCTTCACCTGCTTTGTAGCTGAAAATGGTACATTCAGTGGCTTTATGGTCTGGGCCACTTAAAACCCACTTCCCAACACAACCTTACAAAAGTCCATTGTACTATAAAAGCAGTATTAGTCCATCATTTATGTTTTTTCTTTTTCTTTTAGGCACTTAGGAAGGTAAGAAAAAATCTCCAACGCTGAGCCTCAGAAACATCACAATCAGTACTCTTATTCTCAGCAGCCACTCATCAGTGTCAGATTACCTACAGACTGGGTCCTTCACTTTAATCCCACTCACAGTTATTGTGAAGTACACACAGATGCTGTGCGCAAGACAGGAGATCACACTAACAGTCTGATCCACATCCAGAAGCCTTTAACAGCACACCTGCAGAGCAACATAAGCCCTCCATCCTTCCTTTAGTTTTCTCACCATCTCCTGTGTAATACAATATCAGTGAAAATAGAGGAAATCATTATTAAAGAAATGCTAAAAGCAAATGGAAGAAACTGACAAATTTAAGATGTTTAAAATTAAAACAACCACCTTCTCCTGCAAGTTTCACCTTCTGTAAGAGCTCCAGGGAGGCTCAGCCATCCCTAAATGTTTCACAGTCAACCCTCATCAGCTAACACAACATTAACATCCTAATCAGCTGGCTCCTCACCCATCTGACAGCCGGAGAGACAAGTGCATGTGCTTCTCCTCTGTGACATTGGAGTGGGGATGGTCTAATGCTGCAGGATGATGATTGATGGCTACTTCCACATTTTCCCTATTCCCCCAAAGTTTTCCTAAAACAAGCATTCATAACTAACTCAGACAGAACCGAGCAGACCCAGAAGCCAGATAAATTAAACAAATATAGTATAACTGGCTACTTGTCTTCAAGAAATGTACGGTTTCAGATTAATGTTTAAGTTTAATGTCTAACTAAATGAAAAAGTCCACGCCTTGCAGGAGAAAGGATGAATGAACTGTCTCATCCCTGACTTTGCCTCCTCATTACTTTACTCCTCGAATACAGTTCATATTAATGATTGGACTTACCAAGGCTTTTGATCTGCTTTCACCCCCATAATTATCCAGCTACATGAGGGTGTTACATAGTAAAGTGAAGCATAGATTTTGAAGCAGCATGGTGCCATTTCCCAGCTTTGATATCCGAATATGACTTTGTGAGCGGGTAGTTCTGCTGATGAGGAAATATCCAGCCATCAGCATCCTGTGGTTTCCAGATCTCAGAGCAGGAAAAAGAAAAATCTCTCAATGTAAATCAGATTTAATGAGCTCACTATGGTTTAACTTAATTAAATCCACATTTGAAAGTCCTCTGCCCTGTTCAATATTGGAGCCTAGGGTGGTAATTATTTTCACAGACCAGTCATTTGCATTTGATTATGAGCAAATCTGACAGAAAATCTCTGGAGATAAATATTTACTGTTGGTGGAAAAACCTAATCCTAAACTGACATGAAGTCTAGAGGAGTGAAGAGATTCCCCCAGTATGATGGTACACAATTGTATCTAGGGCTGTAATCAACCGAAGAAATTCTTGGTCAGCTAAAACCCTGAAATTTTCGACCAAAATTGACTAATGGGGGGTGGCCTTCTGCAGCGGTGGACTCGGTGGAACGTGGCTCTGCGGGGTGACAATATACTGATATAACGTGGACGCTCTTCAATCTTCCTGTCTTCAGTCAGTCTGCAGTGGGTTGGACGAATCCAAAACAAGGTGAAAACAAGGGGGGTGTTCTGAGACAGGCTGTTCCTGTAAAATGGGCATGCTCTAAAACACCCCCATTAGAGATTGATACATTCCTCCTGATGAAATTAACCATAGACTGTGAATTGACGCGGAAAAGATTGGAATAAACCAATCAGAATTTTGTTCAACACAGCACGTATCCCACCAATAAGTCATCCAGTCGGCTAGGACTTTACAGCCCTAATTTTATCAATAAAATAACCATTTAATGAAAATACACACCTTTTGGCACAAAAAGCTTCAATTACCTGCAGGGGAATGTATCCAAGAGGCCAAAGAGTGGAACCAAGAGCCGACAACAGGCTCACTCATACAGCTCCGTACCTGCAGTGAAACAAAAAAAACTTTCATGTATGAATTTACTATTTCACTGTTACAGTCTAATTCTGTAAAAAGCAACTTTCAACTGAGAGTACATACAACACAAGCAAGGATCCAGACAGGGGGAATTAACAGAAGTTACATAAACTGCTTCAAGTCCAGTCAAACAGTACTAAAGGCAGTTTCAGCTATAATGAGTGAGATGCTGCCGGTGACACTGCAAAGGTTAGGCACAACTATAAAAACGCGTTTTTAAGAGAGATTCAAAAGATGATCAAGAGGTCACCACTCTGATCTCCTCAGCGAGATTGTTCCAGAGGGTGAGGGCTCTGAGAGAAAACACTCAATCACCTTTGGTCCTCTGTCTCGACTAAATGATGCCGAGCAGAACTTTGGCTGAGAACCTCAGGCTACGACCAGGCTCATATGGAGTGAGGAGATCAGAAATGTTCTTGAGTGCAAGACCAGAGTGATCTTTTAAAGTTAACAGTGAAATCTTAAAATCAATTCTAAAACTCACTGGACGCTGGTGAAGTGAAGTTGTGCAAACCCTGAAGACCTGTAGGGGTTTGAGTTTGATGCAACCTACAACTGGGACCCAGCGAAGGGAGACAAACAGCAGAGTGACCTGCTGATGTGGGTCGGTTTAAGACCACTCTGGATCGCCTTCAGAGTTTTGAATGTGCATGCAGGAAGGCCTGCCCTTTAACAACAATTGAAAATATTTTAGTTCCCCACGATATGGACCTTTTAAGAATTGATTCAGCCTCCATTACTGAGGTACAAGACCAATATCTGGCAGCAGAATGAACCAGGAACTTACAAAACAGAGACTATGACAATATCAAACTGTGCTATTGGAGATTTTAAAGCACAAATGATTTTATAACAATGTCACCCAGCAGGACTATTTCCACTCTTTTCAGTCATGTTGGACAAAAAAAAGGAAACTTGAAGCTATACTTTTTAGCTCTTTCAGCTCCAACCTGGGAAGATAACAGCAATTACAAAAACTCTCTCAGCAACCCTGCCATCATTCTCAACCTCCATTCACACAAGCGCTGACAAAAAAATGACATACTTCTCAAAAGTGGAACACAGAAAAATGCCTTCTCAGAAAACTTGTGAAACTTTTCTTTCACTCCTCCTGAAAGCGATGCAGTGCAAGGCCTCTTCCTCATTGGTTGGAACAAATGTGAGAACACATTCACTAACTGGAGGGAGGTCTCTAGAAAAAAAAATATGGCCTCCCTCTGTCAATCTTTTATGGAAGTGACAAAAATTAAACATTCTCTTTCTCTGCTCTGTTGTTCGTTTCTCTCTGCTTTGCTGAGTGTGAGCTGAGCTTTCTGTTAGTCATGCTTATGGTCCCCAGACCTCCCACCGGATGAGAGCGTGATCCGCTCCCAATTGGATGGTGGAAAAATTGTTTGCCTGAGCAGATGAGCCTGTGTGTGTGTGTGTGTGTGTGTGTGTGTGTGTGTGTGTGTGTTTTCTGTATCTACACTGAAGCTGCACACATGCGTTTGTGTGTGATTATGTGTGTCAGGCTACAGTGCACAGATCTTCATGTGCCAGCCACAGTTAGATGTATTTCCAATCATAACAATAGTCAGAGTGAAGACAGAAAGTGGATTCATGGGTCATCTTGAAGATATAAAATATTGATTATTTTATTTTCCATTAGACCCGTCTTTGAGCCTGTTAGTAAGGCAAAATCTGTTGGTGTATAACAATGATATACTCTATTTACTTCAGGGGCAAAATCAGGTTTTTGGGAGAGCAAATAACCACGAACAAATCAAAATTAAATTCATCTCAGTGGCTTAGCTTTCACAGGTAATGACATCAATTTTAGTGAAATTTCTCGGAGACCTATGTCTGGTTTATTTTTATAGCACTTCTTAAAAGCACACAGCATTACTAACTCCTCCAACCCTGAGACAGTTAAAGCTTTTTCACCCACGGTTTGTTTGGACGTTACTCTGAAACTCGGCCCAGATTGTTTAGACATATACACACAGGCACTCTGAAACAGAACAAAACAAGCCAGGCAGGATCTCTTAGAAGAGGTGGTCTTAGCTCAAGGTGTGTTTTGCTTCCATCTGATCTGACAATCAGAACCTCCCCAACCTGAAATCATTACTATCAAACATGTTTAACCTGAATGGGGATCCCCAAGAGCAGACAGCAATGTATGATGTGCGTTGTCACATAGAACAAAACATTAGCTACTCTGGAAGCCAGCTGACTCGAGATGGAAGCAGTGTTAATGCAACCATGACAACAGCAAATATAGAATCTGTTTGTTGATACATGACAAAAACATAAGTGTCTCCACATCGTGTTTGGTAAAACAGCTGAGGAGACTCAAAATGACAAGGCGAGGTGTTGAAAAGAAATGTTTACTTTAGTGGTTGGACTAGGAGGCTAAGCAGCTAGCAACAATTCGCTCTCACTGTCTGCCATGTTTGTTTACTCTTAAGACGAATTTGATTGAGAGGGATTTTATCTGGTTTTTCCAGTTTTAACAGTCGGGACTCTGGCTACTGGTTAATAGTCTTTGTGTAAGGGAAGAAAACTATTCTCCCCATCATCCTTTGGCTGCATTAGATTTTTCACAAAATAAGTGATTCTATCTAATGTTACCTTACTCACCACAGAACATTTATTATAGACTTACAATAAAACAGGAAAATTGAGACTTAAAACAGAATATCACACTGCTGAAATTTCAGCCATGTGGTTCCTAACATAACTGAGTGACCTTTGGCTTTGTGTTTTGTCCTTGGAGAGTGACTAAAGCTGACATAAGGCAGTTTTTGATGCTGTAAATCTGGCAGGATGTGCATGTGTGTTTTAGCAACAAAGCTGTGGCTGTAATCTTTTCATGTAGGTATGTGAAGCCAGCTCAGTCATGTTAGGTCATTTGCATGTTTTCGTTCTACACAGATTTTTTTAATAGCTGACATACAGTATATGATTGGGAAGACATGATTGCCTAAAATGTTGATCACTGATCAATTACAAAGGGATGAAGCAGGTGGTGAGAGTTTTCAAGAGTGGCTTTGGCCTTTTGAGAGGCTCTTACACTTATAAACATGGTCAAAAACCATTAAGGTTAATGCTAAGAAGCTTTAGGCACCATTTAACAATATTTCCAAGCCTGTTACTATTAACAATGCTGATCATCACAAAAGTTCAAATTGACTCGATAAAAAGATGTGTAGAAACTTTTTTTAAAGTGATTTTTCAACATTAAAACTTTTCAACTTCCCCCAAAAGAATCATCCCTGATTGTCTTTCTTGCACTTGGCATCCTCAAAGGTGAATTTGTCATGAAGCATTACCTATAGGTACACTGTTTTACTGTCTCTACAGCTGTTCCACTGATGACAGCCGATACATAAGAAAATCAATGAACATCTCGTTTTGTCTTACACTCAGATAAATGTTAAGAAATAGTGTGAATAATTTTAAGTACTCATTGGTGGCCAATCTCCTCATCCTGCAGCAGGCTGACCATCACTGAATCATCTGCCAACTTTATCTCTAAACTGTGACTCAAACTTACTCCGCCGGGGACCAGGGATCAGTCCCATTATAACAAGGAGACACCATCTATTTGATTTACACTCTCAAGGTCCATAATATTTTTGAGAAGGTTTAAAACAATTCCAATTTGAAGCAAACAACTGTGAGTACTCTTCATAAATATTTGAGCACTCTAAAGTGAGTTAAGTGCTGAAGTGTCACAACCATACCTGGTCTCCCCTACCCTTTGCTTCTAGTTGACTAAGGTGGTCCACGTAATGATACATACACAGCAGGTCATTAATAAGAGTGAAACAGGCGTGTGTAATCCTTATATTCGCTTAATATAAGGAGAGATAAACTTCTAGAGTTACAGAGAAATAGACTTTTGTGTGCGCTAACTGAACAATCAAAAACACACAAATTTTATATATTCATATGCACAACTCACAACCACGATACGACAAACAGGGAAAAGACATCAAGTTTTAGAAACAGTTTCTCTTACCATTTCTATGAAATACAGACTTTCATCTTCTTTCCAAGTCGCTCAAGTCTTTTATCCAAAATTTACGCAGCGAAGTCCTCAGTTTCGGTTTATGGAGACGTCATGACACGCAGCGGTGTGTTGACTTGGTCTTTCACACAGCCAAGTGGATCCACAGCGATCAACAGCATGGGTTTGGGCCAGTGTACTTATCCGTCAAACAATCCTGTAACTTTCCGGGTGAAGTGCGCACGGAGCAGAGCCGGTGACAGAGGAGCAGACACTCGGCTGAGCTGTCCTGGCGCTTTACTTTGAGTCTGTGCAATGAAGAGAGGTGGAGAAGGGGCGGAGCTCCACTGAGGTTCCCCCCGGGTTTTTTTTCCTTCTAGATTGGGACAGTCAGATATGCACTTTCTTTAGAAGTATTTTTTAATCCACATATCAGAAATAAGGTAGATTAGAAGTAGCTTCGTTTGTTTATTTGTACTTCAAATGTCTTTGTTTCAAAGTGCTGGACTAAACTTGTGTCCCCCAACAGGTTGTTTCTTCAAAGTTCATATTTGGATCATTTACATTTTTTGCTTTGAGGCTGAAGGGAACAGATTTGGGGGAGTTCAAATACACTTAAAGATAACAAGTACCCAAAAGTTTCTCATTTCATCTTTGTTAAATCCCTCTCTAATTTAGTAAAACCTACTTTTCCTTCCTTTAATTTGTTCTTTTCACAGTCAGAAATACTCCAAGGATGTTGGATTGATTAACTTTAAAGTCATCTCTGGCTCAAGCTGCTGATCTAAGAATAAAGAAAGTTTGACTGAGATGTGCTTTAACTGAAAGCCATCTGTTCCCCTGAAAAAAAAAGAGAGTAAACTGATTGAACATTTGGCTTTGCTGCTTCCCAAGACCGTATTGAGCATTTCATCCTCCTCGACTGTCATTTGTGTGTGATGGCTCACTCAATAAGTATCATTCACCAAACCTTCACTAGAGAAATTTGTTCTTAATTCCAGTTATTCACCAAATATTGTGTTCTTTGGGATCAGTTCAAATAATTACACCAAAATGTGCTTTTATGACATTTCAATGCTGATAAACCAGTGTAGAATAATTGGATATTGGCACCTTTTTTACTATGAAGAGACATTTATAAAAATGTGATTTAATTGTAGCTGACTTTTAATACAAACATGATTCAAACTGAAAAATGTTTGATAAGAAACACAAACCAATTCACATCAATAACACAAACAAATGAGCTGTTGAATCTTGTTAATTGAGGGGGGAAAGTTGGGAACTGTCTGTATCTGCCTTCCTTCACAGGAAGTTTTCACCAATTACAGTTCAATGCTTCCAATGTCTCCTCTTTCTTCTCTCTTCTTTCTAGTCTCTGCTTTCTGTGTGCAAACAGCACTGCAGTTTCATGCTCTAATGTGGGCTGTAGAGGCATGTAAGTCTACGCTAATGGAAACATCAAGGGCAAGCTTCAAACTTTTAGCATTCATCGGGTTATTAACACAGGAGTAGATCAGCCCCCAAAGACACAATTGCACAGCACCTGCTCAAAACCTTTTGTCAAGCAGAGTTAGCAAATAACAAAGAAAGTATTCAGCGGTTTTAGGGTCAAATCTTCTGCTTACACCTGAATTTCGCCAGATCAGTGATTGGGCTTCCACTGCTACACTGCTATGTCAAATCTGTGGCAGCCCACTGCAGCACATATGTATGACCTGTCCTTATGACAGACACCAGTGCATCTCAAATGACTTAGCACAAGACAGATCAGAGGAAACAGGAAGTCAGACACCAAAAAATTGAAATATCCAAACATGATTTCTGTCATAGTGGTCATTTTGTGTATGTAGATGCTGATTTATGTGTCAGTGTCCACTCATCAGAACAGACTGTCTTGGGTTTTGATTGGTTATTTAATGTTTAAAAAGGGGGAACCTGATGCTTTGATTGACAGCTCCTTTACAGTAAGCCGATTAACTGGAGATCTGCTGTCCAATCAAACTTTCACAGCGATGTATTTCTGAGTTTAACAGTTTACTTCATAATGCAGGAGCTATTGATTTCATCAAGCAAACAAGAGAGCAGAGACGTGAAGCAGTAAATGCACCACTGATGTAATAAATCTTCTTTTTTCTTCCACGTCTGCAAACTCTCTCTCTCTCTCTCTTCCTCCTCCGCTCAAACACATAGACACACAGGTTAGATTAGAGTCATCCCCAGCTGATCAGGGAAACTTGTTTATATGCCCTTCTTGTAGCAAAACAATATCATAATGTGCTGATAAATGAGGGGCAGCCACTCAGTGACAGAGAGTGATACAGTATGAATAAAAGATCAGATACCGCTGTGAACGGGACAATGTGATGCCCTTTTTAAGTATTCCTCCACACACATGCAGAACTGAAGGTCAGACAGACGAGTGGACACAGAATTTAATTGAAAAACATGGAAAAAAACATTAGTGAAGTAAACATGTCAAACGCAGTGATTTAATTCATGATGAGCACTTCCAACGGTATTCATCAAGTCCAGCTCTATCCTTTCTCGGAGCTGCTCTGCACAACTACTACAGGTACTAATCATTATACGTAGTACATAAAACAACTGGGTAACACTTTACTTGACACCTTTCCTGATATCATAAAATTATAATATTATATTATAATTTATAATATTGTATTATAAAAATTATTATCATACCTGACCTTGTAAGTCATGATAAGATGCTTTATAATGTGTCGTGATTTTTGTTATAAAGGCTTATGACAGTTAATTAGATTGTTATACAAGTTTATGAGCAAATTATAACACATCATAAATATATGTATAATGCATTATCAATGTGGGCATTGTCAGTGAGTTGTTAACACAATAAATTGAAATTTAAACGGCAAATTTAAGTTTGGAGGAAACAGTTAACTCTCAGTTTTTCCTTTTTTGGTAGAATTGTTGTCTCTAATTCTTAGAATGAAAAGAATCAAGTTCAGTATTACCTCTGATATTTGTGGTTGAATTGAAGTAACAGTTTAAAGTTTTCATCATAAAAGAAAACATTAAAAAGATAGGAAGCTCAAGCTGGGCTGTCATCTGCCTCTGCCAGCTTTGTTTGGCAGAGACAGAAAAATCAGCACAGAGATTTGCTTTATCAAGAAAACCTTTTTTTTTCTTCACATGGTGTTGTTTCTATTCACCTTTCAGTGTTTCTTTAGGATACAGCAGCTGGTCTGCACACACATTACATGCTCTTCTTCTGAGGTATTGATTATCTCTTTTACTTCCTTGCTGTTTCCACTTGGCTGATTCACTCAGACTCTTGGCTGATCTACTGCGTATTGATTCATGAGGAAAAATCTACAGAAATGTGCTGCTTCACCAAATAAACACTTCTTTTGTTGTCTACTTGACATTTTCAGCATTCATTTTCAAAGTGTTGAGTTTTGCAAGTTTTGCATTTGAGTTTCCCCTGACAGACAATCCTGCTGCTTTTGTTTTAAAAATAATGATGACCAACTAAAAGTCAGGGATAAAGTACTTAGGAAATTTTTGAGAAAAGAAGACCACAAAATGGGTGGAAAAACAGTTTTCTAATTCATGGCTTTGGGCAATGAGCCTTGGGGCTCAATGGTAGAGACCAGTGGTGTGCAATCAAGGGAGGTAGAGGAAGCACTGCCTCCTCCAGGCTAATAAGAAAGAGGAAAAACAAAAAACAAAAGAGATATGGATTAAGAGCATATTGAATGCTCCTTATTTTCAGAGCTGCCCTAAGTCAATATGGGAGGCTGACAGTGAAGAGGCTGACTCAACCTCTGCTTCTTCGCCTATTGAATTGAACAGAATGTTTTGGAGGTTCACGCGTGCATGCTCTGGTCTCACACTGTTTAACATGGGGATCATTGAGGCACAGTGCTTCTCTGCCTCTGTACCTCCTGTTTTATGCAACACCGCCCAGTCATTTTCAGTAGCTTGTTAGCGTGTGAATATGGATTTGCAGTTTCCAAGACTGCACATTTCTAAAGACAAGAGAGTAAATACTGTGAACACTGCTGCATACCGCTTTGTTTGGAGTCATTTAATGGTGTGCTAAGTTTTCACGGCTCTCCGTCTGGTCCTGCCCTGAGGAAGCGATGGCTAGTAAACATTCGCCAAGGTAAATTCACGATCAACTCTCACACACAGGTTTGTAGCTGACACTTAATGTTTAATCGCCTTATTGAGCCATCCACTCTGGAGGGTAGAAGGAGGCCTCATAAAAGGTGCTAAAAAAGGTGGCTAAAAAAAATCGAGGAGCTCAGTAAGGAGTCACAGGAACGGCGTATCCAGCGAGAGCTTGGCTTACAGCAGTTTGCTGGCTGACATCTGTTTCTACACCAGGTAAGTTTATTTTCTTCTGTGCTGTCCATTATAATTTCAATGAATCATAATTACAATTATAAAACATAATTTCATTTTACTTTATTAAAAATAGATGACATGTCTGTCTCTGTGAATAGATTTTCGAGCTACAATCTCTTGAGCCCTCAGTTTACAAAATGGTCCGGGTTTCACTAACCGGAAACACAGCGGCCATACATAGAGCAAAGCAGAGGTGTAAGTCCTGTGATGTTAAGATACAGGTGATTATAGTTTGTGTCGTGCTCTTGCTCCTCCAATGTAAATCCTGTAGAAATGCAGGTGAATGTATGTTTCAGATTTTAATTCTAGCCTTGGCTGATGCTGCCCCCTAGTCATGGACCTCACTGCACATTACTGGTAGGGTCAGTCATCTCAATCGAAGGGTTGGGGGTTCGGCCCACATGCTGGGCATAACACCTGACCCCAACCCCCACCGATTATGCCCAGTAATGTGTGGATGGGATTAGTTAAAACTCACATTTTTTATAGAGGAGCTTCTGTGTGTGTTAATGTGGCGTAAAAAGGTGAATGTGACATGTAATGTAAACGTGCTTTAAATTGTCAGAAGAATACAGACAATATAGTCCATTTACAAAGTCAAAGTGAGAGGCTGGTACTTTAAAACAAACATGGTGCTGCTCCACAGAGAGCTCTGACTGACCTTTAGGCCCAAACCTTAAGAGAAGAGCCCCACTGGCAACAGAGATACAAGCAATACTGTAATTCAGCCATCTTCCTGTGATGTCACGGGAAGATGGCTGCTGTGGGGATATGGTCTGATGGAAACCAATTTAAAGGTTATACTGAACTATATCTTCTTATGATAAATATGTTGGCTCTTCCATACCTTTAGCGTAAAACTTAGTCAAAGATACTTTTGATGACTTTGACAAAAAGAAGTCAAATTCATCCACCGTAGTTGCATAAAGCTTAGTCTGAAGAAAAGTACTGAAAAAGTGCATCAATTAGGCAGACTAGCAGGGGTATCATTTTCAGGCACAAAGTACCCATTACCTTTTGAATTAATGTTTAATCTCCCAGCCATTAAATTAAGTTTCCTGGCTTATTCAGTGGCTCTTGAGACAGACCAATAGTCCGCTTCATGAAAAAAAAAATTAAATTAAATTAAAAAATTGATGAGTCACAGAGTCATAAAAGACTTTGCAACATCAAAAAGCAGGAGATACTTATCGGTATTTGATTTGTCAGAGAAGTTAAACATATTGATGCTCCTACAATGTCTTAAAGTGTCAGAAAGCTAACTGGAAAGTATGATAATGGTGTAACCTTAGAGGAATATAAAAGTTTTTGTTCATACACAGAAAGAAAGAAAGATTCCTGACATTTGTGTTTGAAGCAGTTACAAAGTGAGAGATTTTTTTGGCCTTGTTACCATGGAGAGTGTCTCTGTGATTCAAGCATCTGCAGAGCCACCAAATGTCAGCTCTCTATTACTGTCCTCAGCTAAGTGGAACAGACAGCAATATTTGCGTGCAGTGCTAAAGGCCTCTGTGATCCACTCAGAGCTGTTTAGAAGGCTAACGAAAACATACTGCCTACAATAATTTAGCGACTTTGTAAACTACTTTTCTCCACAAATAAATATTGTACAGAATCATCTCTGGTATTACAAGAGGTACATTGATTTCTGAGACAGCCATTATTACAGTTTAAGAGCTAACAGTTCACTTTGTGAGAAATAATGCTGTGTTCCAGTTGTACTCGGACAACCTTCTCCAACCCTGACTTGACGACAACCTCATAATCTAAGATGGCAGCACAGTGCATCAACGGTAGAGAGTAACAGTGAAAGCTCTTGTAATGTATTATTTATTAGCACTTCTGTTTTGTTTTTGTGAAATTAAATAGGTGGTTTATGTTGTACTGCCCAACGTCTACCTGGGAACACGGTGCTACGGTGTTTGTAAGAGTAAAATACTGTTATGCGTTGTTTACAACTGGTATCACTAACAACTAACAAAAGCTGACAACCGCTAACAACAACTGACAACGGGTAACTGTAGGTGTCCATCTTGGTTTTCCAACTTGTAAACTGGAACGCCGTCAACACGGGTGTAATGTCATTCCCCGCTCTGACATCCGACTTCTGAGGTAACTGGAACGCAGCATAAAGCTCCTAGAATCCAGATGAAGAATGGGGAGGCATGGATGCCATGGTGTTTTGTAATGATTTGGGCTGTCACTTCTGGGATTGGATGGTTCAATCTCAGAAGTGTGTTCCAATTTGGACCACATTTTTGATTAAATGCAAAGTTAAAGCAGTCGTTTACCAGGAGGTTTTAAAGCACTCCATGCTGCTATCAGCTCCCAGATGCTAAGTTCCTTTCCCGGCTGCACCTGCCCACAGTGCAAAAACTACTGTCAAATGATGTGATGGCTTTGATTTTACTGTGCTTGATTTGTGTAAATCCAAGAGAGACACATGACTGCATGGAAGAATTGAATTTGAAAGAACAATCATGACATGTATCATAGACTATAAAATCCCTGATCCACTTTAAACTCAAATCCACTGCATATCAAAGCTAACACAGAGTTGGATATTTCTTGATTTCTACCTTTTGTATGTGAGAGATCAAATGACATTTTGAGTGGTTGCAGTGACAGCAAGAGCTTATTGCTCCCTGAGCTGAGCTGCATAGACGAAGGACAACAACTGCACCCCAGTGTAGTTCTTTCACACACGCTTTATCTTATCTTGGATGGTGTCAGAAGAGACAGCACCTGACACACACACAAACACTTGCAAGTCATTGAACTGGAGATTTTCTTTCATTCTTTTTTTTTTTGGACAGTGACTGAAAAGGAAAATCCAATTTACTAGAAGCCATCCTACTGACAAAGGTGCCATTGAAGATCTTCAATCTTGCAGCTCTTAAATTTTGCACAAACAATCATGTATACAAATAAATTTCCCTGAAATATGCCTGTTTTCTTCATATATGCAGTATGTCAAAGACAAGCAAGATTAACACGTAGCCTAGACTGTGAATGTGGGACAAATTTATGTTTCATAATCCAGAGTCCTTTTGGCCAACAGCTATCCTGCTATGCATTCTGCCAAACATACATAATATACTGGGTTTTTCTGTGGTACAGATGTTCGCATTTCGTCGAACTCATATATCATCCCCTCAGTCCAACCCTGATGACATACAAGCAAATGTCCAGACTTCCATTGGACATACTGTAATTTGAGAGGTCAGAGCTCCCCCCCTCGGTCCTGTGTTAGCAGTTAGATTCTTTTATCAGAGTCCCTTGTGCGAATGCAGGTGTGTGATGCCTCTCTTTCCTCCACATATTGCAGCTCTGGCCTTTGTCCCACACTGGGAAATTCCCCCACCACACATGTCAGGTCCTGTCCTCATACCAGTCTCAGTTCACACACTGCTGCATACCAACCCAGAAAACAATTAAAAAACTCTGCCATGCCCGGTTTTCCTATTCAGAGCTGTCAGAGTCATGTCTTATATGATTTGTGACCAGATCTCAGAGGGTTTTCACCCACAGAACCCGTGAAATCCCATTTGCACCTGGATCTGATCTGCTACAACCCAGCAGTCTTATCACCCTGACCCATTGTACTGACACTTTTGCTATGGATATTTTTTTTTTTTAAGTGTCCCATCCTCTCATTTTATCCATGACATGTCAGAGATCAGAAAAGATTAATTCATATTCATAAACTGTTGACAAGACAGCCAGTTAACAGTATCTAATCTTTATTAAATATGGATTCCTCTGTGGTTTTTCAAAGCTTCAACTTTCATTAAATTTTACAATCCAAATCTTTTTGTTGTACTCCTAATTAAATAAGTATTGGAGCCTATAATTGAAGCATTTACTGTATTAGTACAACACTTTTGAGATAATTAAAACTGCAATTTTTTTTCAAATTGATTCAACGCCTGGCAAGAAATACGAATACTGAAATTGGCTGTGTTGTTAAATAGGACAATTTGGAACGCATGACCAGTGATTCACTGAGCTGATTTCAGATTTCTGTCTATTTCAAAAAAATGCAACCCCTGGTGAACCATTTTTTCCAGCATGTTTCACCATGCTGGTGAAACATGCTCCACCAATCTAAGGCTATCTGACCTTTACCTTTAACTTAATCCGGTTGAGCTGAAGCAGTTTCTAGCCAACAGCCACCTTAGGAACACCTGCCGTGTCGGCTCCTTGACACGGGCTGTTGGAGAGGCAGCTCGCTGTTATGCTCCACTTTCTCCCAGACAAGATCGAATCAAATGACCCTCTTTTCCACATGAAAAACGTTTTATTGTCTTAGAGGTGAAAAAAAATATTTGAAACAATCAACACTGAATAAAAACCCCACCAGTGCAGCTAACCTTTAACTTAGCCTTAGCGGACCATGGCGACTTCTCGCCAGGGGCCCCCTATGCCCGCAGGTTGTGGCGGCTCCCCACCAAAAGCTGTGGGAGAAGCAGCAGCAGCAGCTTGCCAATATGCTCTCCTTTTTTCAGACAACATCGCACCAGCTAACCCTCCACAAAAACATTCTGTTGCCTTAGATGTGGAAAAATTGTATTTAAGCATATTGAGGATAAGATAACAAAGACTGCTTTGTCCACAGCGGGCGCCAAAGCAACAAAGCATAAGTCACCCTGACTTGTTAAGCTAAGCGTTTAAACCTACTTATCACTATTCCACTGAGTTCTATTGAGATTTCTTCCGGTTTCTTTTAAAGTATTTTGAGGTTGATTTTGTGAAATACAGCTGTCAAAGAAGACAAGTTTGAAGATATTCTTTTGTCTGAACTTTAGAATTTTTTCAATTCAACAAGTGCTGTCCTCATAATGTCTTCTTTAAAAGCTCGACTGAATTGTTGTAAATCTCATTTTCATGTAGGTAAGTGTGAAAATGATCGAGAGACAGTCATTTTGAAAGTCTTGCCAAGGAAAGGCAGGTTTGACATAGGCGTGGAATTATTAGGTTAGAGGGGTCAAGGGTATACTTTTGGGGAGAAGTCTGGCCAGATATGCTATAAGTATGTTTGGGAAGATGTCTGTCTTTAAACAGAGTGTAAGAAGAAAACTTTTAAAGTGACTTTAAGTCTTTAAAAGGGCTTTTAAAACACTTGCTCATTATTTTAAAATCTTGCTTTTGCTATGTTTTTTTGACCTGCCTGGGTCACTTTGCTGCCTTTGTAGAGAACTGTATCACTTGGTTTGAAGAAAAAAAGAGGTACGTCTGGTAAATAATGCATTTCCAAGGACAGTTTCTGCAGGACAACTTGTTTGTGAACAATGTGGATCTGTTCCAACATATAGAACTGGGAAAAACATGAGTGTTTTTTCCTTCAGTCAGAAGAAAAAGGCGAACTCAAACTGAATCATGAAGAGCTGGATATAGAAAGACTCTTCATTTACTGCAATTCAACTAATACATCCTTGAATGAGAGAAACAAACACAGCAGAGACATCAGAAGTGTGTTATTACATTCAAACATTAAAATCTCTTTAAACATTTTTATTCAGTCTTGAAGACTTAATCCCTTGAACAGCCTGTCATTAAGCTTTGATTAAACTCCCTTACATTCATTTTGGTCTCAAACACCATCAGAAGCTTGATTGGGATGAGAAATAATGTGGACCAACGTCCTCAGAGCTGTCAGCTTTTGAACAAACAGTCACAGACAGACTGTCATCTGTCTCCGCGTCTTTACTTGGCTGTTTTACTCCTAGATGACTTCAGACCAGACTCTATCTCTGAGAAACTAAACTGACAGCTTGGTGTCTGTCAGCTCTGTCCTCCCTCTTTTCACATCCTTCCTCTCGCTCACCCCTCGCTGTCACCTTCAGACTACTTAATTAATACTTTATACATCTCTGTCCTCCTCTGATAAGAACACACTGAGCTGAAGGAATAACAGAGCAGGGGTGAGGCTCAAAGTCAGGGTAAAGTTAGATTTTTATGAAAGTGCACAGGTTTATTAATCAGATTAAAGTTTATATGAGAAAAATCACTTTTAGAAGAATAAACTGTGACACTGCTATATCCAGCTACCATGAGTGTCTAACATCAACCATCAACAACTGACATTTAGCTACAAGACAGTCTTACATCTGCCACAGCCATTTCACTGTGTTCTGTTGACCTGTGTGTTGAATTTACAACTCTCAACAGAGGTGCTAAAGATGTCTCACTCTCCGGCGGATCAGAAGCTACAGTGTCCACTCTTAGCTGCTGCTTTACTGAGGGTTTTTTCATGAAACAAATGTGTGCAACTACAGAGCATCTGCAAAGAAATGCCCAAGCTGATCTACGAACAAAATATGGATTGTGTCTTTCAAATGTGCAAGTGTTGTCCATTTAGCATTTTTGCCTTGATGAAAATTCGTTTTTTATCCTGTGTGCAAAATACTGGAAAGAGAAAATGCAAAGGAGTATACCTAGCTCATGTTTTGTGATTTACCAAGGCTGAAAGTAGTTTCTGACATTTTTTTATGTGCAAATATAAGACCTTAATAAAGACTATGTTACCTAGGCGCCAAGTGTGACACAGATGGCTGCTTTTAATGTGTTGAGAAGGGGACAGAATTACAATTCAGGTTATTTATTTACTTTTATTTATCATTCAATAATCTTCAATGGGTAAAAATGCTATAATCAAACATACATACATTTAGACCTATATTTGTGGCCAATTCACAGCCATAGAACATTAAAATGGACTTTCAAGTTATTTGTGTCTTTTCTCCAATACTCTTTTTCTGCTTCTCCTGTGTACACTTATATTGCCTTTACCAGCTGTCTGGTGCCTGCCTCTCTTTAAACATGTTAAAATGAGGGCTTGTTAAACAGCAGATTTGAGATTTAATGTTTCCAAGGATTTCTAAAGCTCATTTCTCACTGGGTGACACTCTTGGTTCAACATTTTTCATTTCAATAACAAGTAATATTTCTGAAATTTCCTTTGATCCAGTTTTAAGAACGTCTTTAAAAAAATTCCTCTTAGGGGACAGCGAACCTTTTGTCCCCTTTATGATTTGTCCAAGTGATTTCATTAGCAAGCGCTCATGATGCATTCAGAAAAAAAAAAAAAAAACATCTGTAAAGTTTCTGTGAGTGTGTTTCTTTATGGACCAAGCATAATTTAAGAAATATTCTTTCTTACCTAAGCACACAGGGCATTTTAAGAGAACCCAAACATGCAACATTCCCAGCTACATTGCTGTTTTTTGTCAATCTGTGACACCTGAAGATAACTTCTGGAGAACCATTAAACTAAAAAATAAGCCGCCATGCTGGAGGAAATTCAGCACCTGCTTCCAAGATAAATGATTACACAAAGCACTTTAGCACAACAACAACCTTTTGTTCATCTAGTCCATCCACCCACACACCACTAGAAGGATGACCATGAAACAGACTACAGTAAACCTGATGTAAGGGGACAGCTGTTCAAAACACATCCCTGTCCATCTGTTTACTTTCACTCCACCAACTCTGTTGATCGCAAAAAGCTCCATCTGTTCCCACGGTAACTTTCTTTACTTGTACAGCCACCGCTGGCTTCAGTCATGGCTGTGTTGAAGACGCTTTATCAAAACACTGACATGAGCCAAATTGGATTTTTTTACAACTCTTAAATGATGATGTAGTCCTCTTTGAAGACCTGAAAACAGACTGATATGTTAAAGAGTGAAGTCTTCCTTGAGGAAATGGTTTTTGTAGGGCTTCTTTAATAGAAAATTTTGACGGTAATAGGTTTTACCAAATTGTGTGCTGTGAAAAGATACCGCAAGACACTTTTGAGAACAGAGGGGAGCAGAAAATGAGATCAATTAAGCTAATGTCTGGTAATCCTGGAGCTCTTTCAGTGTTGGTTGTACAGAGGAAATGTTATATCAGTGGATCCTGCTCATCACAGTTTAGTTCAATAAAAGACTTTAGAGGACTAAACCTTTGAAAGACCGAAGAAAACTTGTCTCCAGAGTCCAGATGCTCTTTATTCAATAGAACTGATGCCTCTCTGTTTGCTCTGTTGTGCTTTATGAAAGAAACACATTATGAAGTTCAAAAGTGCATGAGGAGTTCAAAGCCTACAAAAAAAAGTCTCCACTGTTTGTTGACTTTCTCTTATACAAGTTACAGTAGAGACGAAAATTTTCCTTTAAGAGGCAGAAACCATGAGCAGAACCAGACTTATGTTAGACAGTCATTTGCTAAAACTGCATTGGGTTTAAAGCGGAGATAGAGGGAGATGGAGACAGAGAGAGATGGACAGAGGAGAGACTATAGACTGTATATAGAATGGACACTGTCTGCCTCCTCACTGGGTGAAGCCACCGCAAGAACAGCACCCTCTGGTGACAGGCTGCAGTATAGGTCATAAATCCCGCCTCCTCCAACACTCCCTATGGAGCTGTGGACAAACTTTAGAAATTAATTACACAGAAAATAAATTTCCCCCCTGGTTGCTATGTTGTCATGTAGTTACTGTAAAACTGGTTTGTGCTCAAGTCCTCTTTTTTCTGTAAAGCTCCATTTTTAAAAGTTATTAAGGGGTTCATGTTTGCTATGATTGACACCTAATATAGCCAATGGGCATACAAGATTGCATAGCTCACCTGTGGGATACGCTGTTTGAGCCGAGCGTCATCACCGAATGCTTACAATGCTACTGCGCTAGTGGTGGTTCCAGGAAGTGGAGAAAATCCAGGAAATTCCGGGATCAATTCAGCTTCAAATTCTCATAATGACAAAAGGCGGAGCCAAGTTGTCCATAATACATGGGTGAGATTGCTGCGCATAGTTGAAGCAGCTGGAAAGCAGACAGGTCCACGGTAGCAGAACGTCTGCAGCGGCGATCCAGAGGAACCTACAGCATGATGGAGCTCAAGGGCTTCCAGAAAAGACAGTGTGTTAGTGATTCTAATGGGACATGATGGTTCAAAGTATTTATAGATATGTCTCACCTTTATCAAGGCCATAAACGCGTACAACAAACTACAAACAAGTGTCCGCTCAGTACCACAAAGGTAACTCCAAAACAAACTGTTTGTTGAGGCTAAAAAAAGAAAAAAGAAGTGGGTTCACAAGACCTTGGTTTCTTTTGTAGGTTTGTGCTTGCTGAGGGGAAGACCAGGATATCTTATGTAGCTGATTGGGCTACTTCTTGTCCACGTCAAGAGGTTGCAAAGGAGGAACCCTTGCAAAGAATCACAGTGAAGCACTACATGGTTCACGTTGTTCAAGTTCTCTGGGATTAAGAAAGTCACATTGTCGATTAGAGGAGGTTGAACTCTGAAGAGACTGGCCCAGAGAAACATGTTTTGGATACATACACTCAACACAATGACACCAAATGGACTTAATGATCATTTCAGCTTAAAATATATAAATATACATATTTTAATTAAAATGAGTCTGTAGAGAGCCCAAACTGAGCATGAGGAGCTGTGTTTATAGAAAACATCTAAGGTTTTCCTTCAACATATTTTGGCTCAGCCTGTGTTTAAACTTGCTGTGCTCTTCACTCCACTCTACTTCAGAGGCCAGCCTCACTTCAAAGCTCAGATTTAAGGATCCTCTCAGCTAGAAAAGTACAAGAGAGATGCAGTTTAGAGGGTAAATATCAGTGTGGAGAAAAACAGCTTAAACAGCAGTTCTGTTTCAGGTAAAAACAGCTTTCCTGTTTTCAGTGTGTGATGATCTGAATTACACTGTCCATTTTTAAAGAGGGGGAATTATGCAATCTTTTCAGACTCTCAGAGCCTGTTGCAATTACGTCATTAGTTAATGAGTCTAATTGGCATTTTCTGGCATCTCTTATGGAAGCTTTTTAAGCAGTTTATATCTGTTTTTTTTAGGATTATGGCCACATACGTTTACCTCGTGATTTTAAATTACATTCATCTAGTATAGACACCTTATTTTTATTCTTATTCTTATTCTGTAGTGACATTAGAAAAGAAAAAAAATGTGTGGCCATGAGATAATTCACCTTCAGTTGCACTTGTCAGTTTTAGAGTAATTCTGTTTATTATTCATGAATAATAAGGTAATTACTGTCTGCTTTTGTATTAAAGAGGAGCTTTGTTATCGTTGTCACGGGGAGTGCAAAGTCAATAATAAAACTATGACGGGCGGGAGGAGCTGTGGCCATGTCAGTGTTGTTAATGCTAAATGAAAGACGGTAAGATCTTTTAATACTGTAGTGACAGTAATGTTCCTGTTCAAATGTTTTTGTTCTGTGTTTGCTGACTAACAGTGAATGTGTATGGCATGGGAACATAATGTGGTTGTATGAGAAACTGAGGGGGCGGGGTTAGTGAGAGAGACAGGGGTCCAGTATGTGTGTGTGTGTGTGTGTGTGTGTACTTTCCTACCTATCCAAGAGGGGAACTTGGCATCGTAACACTTCCACCAAGATGGGACCGTATAGCCAACAGGGGACATTTTTTTAGGCCTCTTGGTCATGCTCTAAATCATGCTAAAATCATGTGTAACACACTCTGGTGAAGTTTTTTACACTTATGAGAGTGCATTTTTTTTTTACCATGCATCACAGAAAAAAAGGGACTTCCCCTTTTTGGAATGACAAAGGTTCCCTGTTGGCTGGTAAATAGAGACAGGAGTTCCCACTTCGATAGTATGCAGTGACTTCACACTCTGCCATGGATGAAAAGAAAAAAATAAGTAAAATTAATAAGTAAAATGGCAATCTTATACATATATAAGTAATTGTTGGTCAAATGGGATTTTTTATGCATATTACAAAAAAAAAAAAGTAGCGAGACCTCAGGCCAGTCCATTACGGACTGCTGCAGGATGACGCATCTCTGGAGGGGGTGTCTAACTCAATGTTATGGTGTGTTTGACCCTAACCTAATTTTATCCCGGAATATCCCTTTAAGGTGACTTATCTCATGGCCATGCATTAACTTTTTTTTTTTTCTCTCCAATAGCACCACAGAGGCTCCATAGACACCAAACATCGTGACTTTGCATTTTATGTTGTAATGTGGAAAGATGAGGGATTTTATAAGGATTTTACAAACAGTCAAACCTTCAGTGCTGCATTCAACCTGTCCTTTTCCCTCCCACCTTTATTTGTCTTTCATCTTTTGCTCTCTTTATCGCCATACTCCCGATAACTGCAGTGCAAATTTGCTCCCATATCAGGCAGCTCTCTCACACATACATCACCCTGTCACCTGGCATGTGTTAGAGATGATGAATGTCTGCAGTCCAGCATTCAGAGAGGGCAGCCTACTTCCTGCATGTTCCCATTAAATTCACAGGCAACTGCAGCATGTGCCCTTTTCTCAAAATTTACATGCGGTTCAATACTCTCTATGACTTCCTCTGCTCTGACTCAAAAATGGGGGTGAAAGCAAGAGACAAAACACAGACTGGAGCAGGGTCAAAAGGTCAAGTAAAAAGGAAAATGCTTTCCTGGATTACACAACAAGAAAAGACAACAACAACAGCGCTCCAGTTTGTGCTGATACAAGTTGTGAAATTGGTCATATCATTTCAGGGAGCTTTTAGGGTATTTGGGACCGGTTGTTTTGTTGAACTCACAAATAGAATAGAAGCAATAATCCACTCAGGGGAACACACACTCTCTCAGTTTTATAAGATATATTTCAAACACAAACCCTTTTGTAAGAAAGCTTTTCTGAGTGTAAAATAGCGGCAAAACAACAAAAGAATTGACAAGAATGGAATTCTTCAGATGAAAAGTGTGGAACTAAAAGTGTCTCTGAGGAACGCTGAAGCTCGGTTGAACATGCGGCCATGTTTTCTTCTTTTTACTCTGAACACCTCGGTGGATATCAGGCTCTGAGAAAAGTAGAGTAAAAAGTCTGTTGCTTCTTTTTGGAGACCTGGGGGACTTCCTTTCATGCACGGCAGTGATTTGGTTAGCTCCGACAACAATGATGCTTCAAAGAGCATCAACACAAAGAAGTGACAGAGAGTCCAACAACAGAGGGGGTGTCTTTGTACATCTTTGGCTTCAATGCACTAGGATTAACACCTCATACAGCTCCATTCAAGTCAAAATAAATATATCTCCAATGGGAGTAAGATGAGAACAGAATTTACCACAAGGCCAATGTTTTCTATTTTTTAACCGTTATGACTGGGAAAAAAAAGATTGCTGGAAAGGTTGATAATGCCTGCACTCTTTTTCTTTTTCTGCAGCAAATCAGCCTTCAGCTGTAAAAAAAACATTGCTTGAAGGAAATGACAATGTATAAACAGATGGAGTAGCTATACAGACAGCATTTTGCACATTTGAATCTTGACGTGAGAGCAGCAGAAATTCAGAGAGCAGGGGGAATAAGAAACTGTTGA